CTGAGCCAACATAAAAAATGAGAATTGTGTGTGCAGTGATGATCAACTAAGCACAGGTCCCCACGTGACAGTGACAAGTTGTGATCATCCTCCATCAGTGGCATCGAGGAATTGACAGCTTGGAGCTACAAGCTCAAAGGGAAGGAGTCCATGCCATTTCGTGAGACACTCAAGCCTTTATTTCCAAAAGGGCTGTGTTAAGCCCTTGTAATGCAGTGCATTTTTGGTAGTTTGAAGAAAATTAGTTCCCTTGCATCTGTTTTAGTAGAGCTAGTTGAATAAAACTATATGTCAGACTGTTGGCAGTTTAGTAGTATCCCATTGGCTGGCTTTAAATTAGAAACTAGATGTTTCTTTTCAATGCTTCAAGTTTCCTGAAGGCAGATCTCTGAAAGTCAGTCTCTATACAGAAAGCCCAAGCTCTGTTAATGCATTCCTTATGCCTGCAACTACAGTTAGACTGATGTACCCTATGAGCTGTTCCTGTTACTTGTCTTCCTTGAGCAGCTTTGTAACTAGCTATCCTTGGGTATTTTTTATTATAAAGCCACTTGACTTTTCTGGTTGATGTGGTAGCTATTATGGGAAGATTTTGAAAGGCAAGAAGCGTGTTGATTTTGGAGTTTGGGTTATGACCTTGGCTATCCTTGCCTGTGAATCTATACTGATCCTATGTATATGTACAGAGAGATGAGAAAGACTTCAGTGTTTGGAGATTCTGCTAAGTTGGCATTCCTTAATGCAAATGGTTTACTAGATGATCCAGCTGGGTGTGTGAGAGTGGGAAGGAGAGGTAAACATTGAGTTAAGAAGCAAAAAAGAGAGTCAGGTGGCAGAAACAGAGAAGGTGAAATGTTTATCTGCCAATATTAGTTTCCAATGTACTTAATACTTCGTAACGTCAGTTGCTTGGAAACCAGTGTTCTGTGCCCTTTTCCTGGTTGGCAGAAATCACTCTAATTGTCATGTTTCTAGCACTGTCACTGCTGGCAGTTTGTAACATTTTATTTCCAGAAGCAAAAATTTTCTTTTACGTGAGTGATGGCTCACATTAATTAGACAGCAGTCACGGCCAAAGACATCCATTTATGTGTACGGGTGTATGAATCATTATCCCTATCATCAATCACTGGAAAGACTGCTATTCCCATCAACAATTCTGCCCTTCCAGACTGTTCATTTGAGTCTCCATCTCCTTTCTTCTCGTGCAAAAATATATTTGTATTTGAATTTCTGTAAGTGCGAGTAGTTCGTTGCTTATTAGATTTTACTATCTAAACATGACAGCCTAATTCCATGTATCGTGGAACAAAATGACATGTTGTCACTGAATGGTTGAACAAAGCTAACACTTAAAATGAGTTTTCCGTTATTTAGTATTAAAATGTCATTGTTCTGTAAATACCTTTGCGTGCTAAGGCAGGAAGATTGATCTTCTCCCTGCTCTGCCCTTGTGATGCCTCACCTAGAGCATCGCATCCAGGTCTGGTGCCCCTAACACAGAAAAGACATGGAGCTACTGGAGATCTGCTGTCTTCTTAAGAAGACGTGCTGAGGGAGCTGCCTTCATGGCAGGCTTGCTTTGGTTTTGTTATTTTTTGGAGCGTGGTTTTTTTGGGAGGGTGTTTGCTTGTTTTGTTTATAAACGAACCCGTTTGAGTACGGATTATTGTACTCATCTTCAGGACAACAAAATGGGAATCTACATCCAAAATAATGTGGGTATTCCAGATTGTGTGTGTGACTTCAATGGCTCAAGGCAGATGTTGATCTGGTGCCACTTCAGTTCCTTGCCAGAACGTTCAGTGGTTCAGCATGGTAAATGATAACATATGTCTGAGTTTCTGTGGGTTAGTAACTACATTTAATAGATCTTAATGTAATTATAATCTGGTATTAGCTGAACTTAGGGAAAACAGAAGTGTGAATATTTACCTATTAGACTCTTCTTGTGTGATTACTCAGCCATTAAATAGGAGCAGTAATTGTTTTGTTCCTGATTTTCCTTTGCCTCGTGCGTACACTTGTATCTCTTTAGCTTGGTTACAAACACTACCTAACCCAAATTCTTCATTATTTTACATTAGTATCTACATATTAATTGTGAGTACCTGTAAGCTCTTTTTCCCATGTGCTAAACTTTCAGAACACAGCCCAAATGCCATGTGAAGCACAAGAGCAGGACTTGCTCTGTCAGGCTCACCTCTCATGGCTGCTGGTAATTTAAGGAGGGTCATGAAAGCACTCTATGATAACTCACTGGCTATATTTTAAGTGAACAACTCCCTAATTCTCATTTACAGTGAGACTTTCTCACCTCACTCGGGATCCCAAAGGTGTGAAGTGATCTTAATGTAACTAACTTATGAACATACAGGCACAGATATATATATATATATATGTATGTATGTATGTTATCACACTGAATGTAAGGGCACTAAAGAACTGAGTGCAATGGTCAACAGCTCCAGTATTCACTGATAAGAGAAAGGAGCTCATTCTCCATTGGTATAAATGGATATTACCATTGTCAATCTGCAACAAACGCAGAGTTCGGTCTCCTGTTGTTCTTTGTGTCCTTTGTAAGTAAAAACAGCTCTGTGTGCAAATGTATTTTCTTTTATCTCAATTTACAGTTGGCTCTATGCCTGTGGAAAAAGGTTGAATTTCTGCTGTATGTTGTCTGGAGCAGAAGATGTTCTTTCATTAACTTTATTGCTAGAAAGCCTTTTTCCATTAAGATAAGTAAATGCTATGAAACAGTGACTAGCAATTTCCATGATCAGAGGAATTATCTGTGTATAGTTGAATCGTTTGATGGATAGTTATTGTCCTTAAAGCTCACAACTCAGCTTTTGTTCACTGTGACCATAACGTTAGGTCTTAGAGAGAGGAAGAATTAAGCTAGTATAGTAGACTGCAACTACTTTGCTAACAAAGTTCTTAACTTGAAAAGAAAGTCCTTTTGTCTGAAACAAATCTGTTGAAAATCTGTGTTGTAACTAAAATTGACTGAGGCTCCATTATTTTAATAAACACACTGAAAAGTTCATCACTGATTGCATTTGCATTTTAATGAATGATTCTCACCTACTTGTCAAATAGGCAACCCAGCTAAATTTATTACTTTATGGTATGAACAGGGTATCCTGATACCAGAATTCAAATGTAGAAATCTTTGATGTCCTATTCTAGATATGTGCTATAAATCAGTAGTGCAGAAAAATATATTGGTCCCCTATATTCTAAGCTTGGATTTATTTTACAGTTTCTCTGACCAGAGTCAGTGAACGTTTGGGGTAATTCATAAATACTCCCGAAGTAATTCACTGAAATTATGAGGAATTTTTCTCTGTTTGTCTCTTGTTAAAGCTCTTCTGTATGCCATGCATCTGTTTATTTCATTTCTTGTCTTGCAGACTGCAGAGCTATCTGTTGTTATACCTGAGACTTCAAGGAAGTCTCAGGATGTTTGTTCACAAGTGTGTGTAGCTTTTCTTTTCCTATTGGTATATGGGATGGATCATTGATTTTTGTGTACACATATGAAATCACTCAATAATAATTTATACTCCATAATATTTTTTTAAAATTGTACTTTATTGTACCAATTGCCATTTACACATCTTCCTCCCATATGCCTGGTTGTGGCTGTTAATATTACAAGAAGCAACCGCACAACGAGCAAACAAAAAACATCTCTCTGGTTTATAACCATCTGTTTCTATCAGTTGTCTTATTTCACATGATAACCTCATTGTTCACTATTTGTATGGTCATAACATGCAGCTACAGCAATGGTTTTGATCTGTAAGAGGGAATACTTATATAAATCTTTTTCATACCGGTATCTTCATGGTTGGGAGAAATGAGAGGAAGCGAGAACCACTGGAGAAGTGCATAAAGCAGGAATGTGGCGTTATTTCCTACCACCCAATAAATGTCTGTTACTCAAAATACTAGGGTTTCATGGAAGAAAAACGTCGTGTCACACACAGCTCTGAAATCCTCACGTTTATAAAGCACACAGTATTTCTTATCGGAGACATTTTCTCATTTCATTTTTTTCCAAAGTTAGCATAGAAATAGCCAGCGGGTGGGTTATCATCTACCTGAACATGAAAGCTGTTCAGACATTGTTTATGATTGGTGGACTTAAAAATAAGGCTGACAAAACCAAGTCCTCCAACCATTAAGCTGTGCAAGTAGTTTTTCATCAAGGAAACCATTTCAATTGAGAACTTGTGAGCTCAGTGGCTGAAATTTGTAGTCTGTGATCTTCAGATGCTTTAATGTATTTCTGGTAGTTAAAGGGAGGCTGTTAATTTCGGTAAAAGAAACAAGGCCAATCTTTCAAGACTAGATAGAGAAAGAATCAATGCAGCCTGATGACACTAATTTGAAAGTCAGCACCATGCTAATTTAAAGGGCTGCATCCTGTGCCTGAACAGCATGCCCTTGTCTGGCTTGGATTATCTGCTACTTTAGAGGTAATGTTTTAATAATTAATTAATGCTTTAAGCCTTTCCCTGCCCTGGCTCACCTTTTCTTTTCTTTTTTTCTTTTTTTATTTTTACTCCTGCTGTCATCTAACGGGTGTGCATTATGGTTTCCTCCTTGTTTCCTGCTTTTGCAGTAATTCCCTGCCTTTTACCTTCCCTGGTAGCTTCAGGGCATGGCCTGAATACAGCATGTGATGGACAGGGGCCCAGTAATCAATTGGCTGCTATATGTTAGAATTAGAGAGTTTTTAAATCAAGTAGTGAACACCATGGCGTTGAGTTCAGTTGTTAAACTCCAACATCCAACAGTGCTGAAAGAGGTGATGGAAAGATCTCCCAGTTCATATTGGGGAATTATCCTTTGTTATCATATTGCAAAAGGAAATACTGGTGTTGAACTCTTGGTTATAGAAGAGTGTGAATGCAAAGAATGGAAAACTTCTTAAAATTTAAGTTGGTGTCTTCAGTACACATTATAAAACGAAATTTTTTTTGCAGGCATCATATAAGTATTGTGAAGCAGGGTGGAGAATATTTTCATATCCTTCACCAAGAATCACTGGAGCAGAAGAAAGCATTGAAAGCACAAAAGTCCCAGGTGACGAGATGGAGAACTGACTTCCAGCCAAGCAAATATTCTTCTGAGGTAGAGGTGTCAGATGAAGAAATGAACACGTAAGTTGATTCAGAGGGTTTCTTGTAGTCCAAAGTCAGTGGTTTTAAAACGAGGCAATCTCCATTTCTGTCACTGAGCCAGAATATTACTACTTATTACCATGAGCTTGAAGAGAAAATGCTTAAAAGTCTCAGTGAGCACACGTGAACTTAACAATCATGGACCAAAAAGTGCTTGTTGCACTGTTAAAAAAAGGAGGAAGCTTGGAAGGTGGAAAGTTAGGGTGAACTGAGAGAGGTTTTGTAGGCACTTAGAAGTGGTTATCTGAAGGGAAGATCTGGTGAGAGTTTGCTGTGTTTTTGCTGCCCATTGTAACCACAACACTGAGAATAATGAAGAACTGCATGCAGAATTTGTGGCTTGCAGAATGGATTTATTGGCTAGTTCAGCCCTATTTACCACCTTCTTCTGGTTTTCTCTCTATTCAATCACTAAATAGTGTTCCTTTTATATACTCCTTTTTTTAACTTCCATCTTCATTCTTTCTGACAGTTCCTCTCCAATAGAAGGCAGCCACCCAAAAAAATCAGGGAAGAAGAAAAAAAAGGTGACCTTACGGTCTTATACTCCCATTTATACCAGTGTCCTGATTTCAAGACCCTCTGAAGCACAAAGGTATATTTGAAGGGATCATTTGCTCCCAGGTCTTGACTTAACATATTCTGACTGATTTGCATCAAATCTGGGTACATGGTGTTTTGAGGAAAGGCTGTCAAAGTTAAATTTTGTTTTTCCCAGCTTAGAAAACAAAAAAATTAGGCCTAAGAAAGAGAGAGGGAGAACGCAGTGCATATACAATGCACACTATTTTGTTCATTAATCTCTTGCTCACCAAAAGTGTCTTTGTATCTATATTTGCATGTGGATTAAGCTACAGTGATAAACTTAGAATGGCTTTGGTTGGAAGGGACCCCAAAGATCATCAATTTCCAACCCCCCTGCCATAGGCAGGACCACCAACCTCCAGATCTGGCATTAGACCAGGCTGCCCAGGGCTCCATCCAACCTGGTCTTGAACACCTCCATGGATGGAGCATCCACAGCTTCTCTGGGCAGCTGTTCCAGCACCTCACCACTCTGTGAAGAGCTTCCCCTTGACATCCAATCCAAACTTTCCCTCCTTGAAATTAAAGCCATCCCCCCTTGTCCTATCATTATCTTCCCGAGTAAAAAGTTGATTCCTCTGAAGGTAGTCTTAGCTCATAAAAATCTTGGCTTGGCATTTTGAATTCATACACTGTCTCTTCTCAATTGCAAAGCTGTAGAAGCTACCATAGAATCCAAAACACGTTAGGAACCCAAATCACGAGTTCATAAATGCTGGAATCCTCGTAGGTGTGAAAGTGCTGAGCATTTCACAAAGTCAAGTCCTCTGAGAAGCTTCGTGTTCAAAAATATGCTTCAACATTATAAAACCTTGAAGGATGTGTAGAATTCATTGGGTCATTGGAAGTATTCTGGTGCAGGATTGCTTTTTATCAACAAAACCTTCTTTTACTGTTATATATATCTATTTCAGTCAACACAGTGGCAGCTTGACTATGTTTTCCTATCTGTACCATAACACAGTTGTCTCTTCTTTTAGCAGTGGATGCGTTTTCCGCCAGCTGTGTGCCATACATTGGCTTTTGGAAGCTCTGACTCTTGAATCCAGCAGCTCAATGCATTCTATATTATCCTGCTGGAACCTGACGTACGTGTGCAATTCACAACAGTCTTTGGAATGAGAGTTTGGGAATGTTTATGTCATTAGTTGTTTTTTTCTCTTATTTCACTATTTAAGTGAAGCAAGACAGAAAATACTGAGCTAACATAGTGAAATTGTTTTCTTTATCTGTTTGCTAATAATTATGTAAACTAGAAACTTTAGTAATGTATGTATGCATGTTCCTGAAGCATTCCTTAGAGGGATATCCCCTAACTAAACAGGAATTCCAGATACATTTTAATTACAGAACAAAGCCAGATATTAAGTGATATTTAGGTGGTGTTTTCATTCTATCAGTGATGCATGACAGTGATAAGTACTTACAGAAGGTGCATCGCTTCTGAATTTTTATGCTGTTGGAAGTAAATAAATTTAAGTTCTCAACATTTTTATCTGTAAATACAACAGTGTTGACTTAACATTTATTTGAATTATTCACAAACTTTGTACAGTTTATGCTCTGATTTGCAGGGCAAAGCTCTTCAGAGCTGTTCTGTTTTCTCTGTGTTTTCTCAATGAAGACAAACTGTGCCTATACAGAACAAGAGTGGCATAGTACCATGATGTAGAATTAGCCTGGAGGAGAATCAGTCCATTGTGTATCATGGATGAATTTTTCACCCCTTTACATATGAGGACTGACCAATAGACGGATGCTGACATCAGGGTGTTAATATATAAGACTCTGGAGTCATTTCAAGATACAAAAGTAGTGCTGTCTCTTCTTCCTTCTACTTTCTATTGCAGTCTCTCCACACCACTCCTCTTTCTCAACATCATCTAAACTGATAAGCCAACATATACTTACTTCATTTTGCAGTAACCATAAAAAATCATGCTTTCATTCAGATCATATAGCATCTATGTATACAAAAAGATTTTTAAATATAGTGAAGGGAGCAAGCTTAGAACATTAATCTGCTTTATGAAACTTATGGCTGATTAGATGGGGATTGGATGATAAATGAGACAACCTCAGCAGTGACCTACTAATAGAGGTCCTCACTCAGCCAACAGGGTAGAAAAACCAGACTTTTGCATGAAGCTGCCATCATTCTGATCCATGAAGTCTTGCACAGAGAAAGTGGAGAGCATAATCTGGCTCAGTACATGTCTGGTAGTTTGTCTTGTGACTGTGGTCACTCATGGCCTGCACTGCTTGTGCTGGCTGTCTGATAAGCAAACATGTCATAATCAGTCACCATTTGCCCTCTGTTTATTACGATCTTAAAAGAGCTTAATAAGGAGAACTCTTGAAATAGGAAACTAATTACGTTTTTTTTACTTAGGGACCCTGGTGGCTTTAAAAAATCAGTGAAGGAAATCGAAGAGGAAAAGTTTGCAACATATATGTGGGAGCTCTTCATTACGAACACAAAGGTATTAATTTGTTCTTTGGGAACGAATCCAATTTTTCAAGCATTTATTCTTTTTGTTGCCTAATTGAACTCCTTGATACCTCATTTTGTATTCTGGGTGAATTGCAGATTATTCTTCTGTGTTTCTGTAGAATAACACTTTGATTCTCGGTAATAGGAAGAGCAATAGGTAACTGCTCAGAAGATTGAAGCTGTGCCTTGGCCTTAGTGATAATACTGATGTAGGAAGGATTAAACGTTCTGCTAAAAGTTATGTTAGACTCTGGTTTGCATTTGTTCCCTTTTTCTTAAGAGCTGAGACCCTAGGGATTTCAAATTGGCATCCTGGAGGGCTGGTGGGGAATAAGCAGCAAGCTGTGAAACTTCCCTAAGATAAAGATTGTGTTTTTATGCAGCTCTTCTTTTTGCTGTAAGCAAACAGTGAGGGCAAGCCAGAAGGTCACAGAACTAAGAGTTGTTTCTCAGTAGGTGCCTTTCTGATTTTTCCATATGGTCTTCCCACTTCTCTAAAGTCAGGTCCCAAAGAGCACAAGCAGAGGAACACAAAGTGCATCTCAGCCTTCACGTGTCATAAAGCATTCACATTTTTAATTTTCCTCCTCCCTGAATTAATTTCCTCTCTATCATTTATGCTAATTATTCCTTGAACACAGCTTTTCAATTTGATGTGAAACTTCTGGTGGACATACTGGGTTTCTCCAGGGGTACTTGGTTTATAATACATAGTGTTCTCACTGTCAGGCCTGAAGAATTCAGTTTGCATTCAGTTCTATGTGTCGGACACAGGAAACTTACTTGTAAGTTACCATATGTGAGGAGGAGACCTGAACATTTATCAAACTATTTTGACTTACTCATCCATAAACATGACAAAAAATTGCTTCATTCCCAACTCTCTCCATAGCTGCAGTGTTACTTGCTTACAAATCAGCTTAACCTGTTGTCATTAATGCTACAGCAGAGGAATATGGAAGAAAGATGCCCAAAAAAGCAGGCCCTACCCATGTAATTGCTGCCGTGGTGCAGTCAGTGAAGAAGAGTGGGTGAGGTTACAGGAAGACCAGATAAACCTACTTCTGGGATTAGTACAGAAAAAAAAAAAAAAAAAAGATTTCTCATTGTCAAAGATGCTACAGAAATTTGAAACCAAATGTGCTGAAATTTGCTGCAGAAAATCCCTTTTTGTTCTCTCTTTCTTATATGTACAGAAATACATGCGGAAGGCACGGCGCATCCCATTTAGGAGGCAGACAAACAAAGCAGCTGCTCCAGCCAGCTCTCAGCTTAGCAGTCACTCATCTCATGGTCCGACCCCTCTCAGCAGTGTAAATTCTCTTGTGCTTTACTCTGAAGACAACATCAACCTGAGCGGAGCTTTGCCCAATGTTTCGAGTGTGTCAATGCAAACTAAAGAACAACAATTTTTCCCCTGTAAGTTACTTTTCTTGACTGCCAGTATCAAGTAGGCTTACTTTCAGCATCACTAAGGAGTACTTCAAGGCACTGCTGGATGTGCCAGTGTAAAAGTGTTCATCCTCTTCAGGTATAGGAAACTTCATACATGTCTCTCTGCCCTCACCAGTCACAAATTGGTTTAAAGATGGCATAATCCCATGTGAATCTTAAGGAAGAGTTTTATTAGTAGTCAGTTATACCAGCTGTATAATCAGACTGTTGTTTATATCTGCAATGTCCAGTATGAGGTAAAACCATTGAAACTGTTCTCTGGCATAATCAACTGATGCACTGAGCATATATCTATTTAATGGAGGGCTTTGTTATTCTGTGTTCCTCCTACTCATCCGTTATTGATTGCCTGCACTTGATAGACGTGACAGAATAGTTTCAGTCTATAGTGAGGCAATCTTAAGCCTTTCCCTTCTTCTATTTCAAGGCCAGAAAAGCAAATTAGTATTTATCAGAGAATCATTGAATGGCCTGGGTTGAAAAGGACCACAATGCTCATCCAGTTCCAACCCCCTGCTATGTGCAGGTCACCAACCAGCAGCCCAGGCTGCCCAGAGCCACATCCTATCTGTCCTTGAACACCTCCAGGGATGGGGCATCCAAACCTCCTTGGGCAACCTGTTCCAGTGCCTCACCACCCTCTGTGTGTATTTAGGATGTCTATGTTATTTTTAGATTGTTAGTTATATTATTATGAGTCTGACATTATCATAGATTCTTAGAATACCAAGGTTGGAAAAGACCTACAAGATCATCCAGTTAATGTAATAATGTTCTGCTAGGCTCTAAATTAGCACTCAGGAAGAAGATCTTGGACTTATTTGGGATAGTTCTGTGAATGCTTACTAGTTATCAAAAAGGTTTTAAAAATAAACAACAAAACCCTGGGGAGAATGAGTGAGAGACGATGTAAAAGGCACTTAAGGAAAACAAGTGCTTGATATTTCCTTCTTCAGTTACAATCTTTCAGAGGTAAATTATCTGAAGAGAAGAAGACAACTTATTGTTCTTTATTGTGAAGGAGTGGTCACGTTTTCTGAGTCTAAAAGACCTTCAGTTTGCCAGAGGCTGGGTAGACATATGAGAGAAGGCTTTGCACTAAACAGCATGTTCTACATCAGTTGCAGCTGTCCATGATGCTGAGCACAGATGGATGGCCTTGCTAGGACGTGGGTGGGAGCAGTGGAGAATTCTGAGCTTTAAGTTCAAGCAATTCATTTAGAGATGTAGGTGAAAAACTGCTTTCTGTGTGAGATGAGATTTGAAAATAATCCTGAGAGCTGTAACACCTGAGAGCTTCATTTGGCTATGAGATGAAGAAACATCCCATAGAGACAGGCAAGCAAAAACTGGGAGACCATTGGCCAGAGTTAACATATTTTTACAGATTATTTTTCACCAGCCCCACAGAAGCAGACCCAGAGAACAGACGTGAAGGCATCAAAAGATGTCCAAGAACAAGCAGACATGCTTACAAAGACTGGACTTCAGAGGTTTGTGATCCAATGGCTTTCTGAAAGACCAGGAGAAGGAGCTCACCAGGACAGAGCTGAGGGGCGTTGGGATTTTGTTGTTGTTTTGCTGGTGTTGTTTCAGAGCAGCTGAATTCGGTGGTCAATGAATTCAAATGGGACCGATATCTCTCAGCCCAGGTGGCAGAATAGACTTCCGTTAGGTGTGCTCCCTCAGTGCTCAGTTTGGTGATGCTTTCTGCAGCTGTAAGACTGACACAACTGATCATTCCTATAATTGGGCTTTGCTGAAGCATTCTTTTTTTTCCTTGGAGTTGAGGTCAAGAGAAATATGATGAAAATATGAATATAAAAATATGAATAATATGGAAAAAAAATGATACACTTTGTTCCTGGATAACTCCAGCAAGCCTGCCACACTAAGAGTGTTTTTGCAGTTTTCATAGGGTGTCTCACAGTGGGAAAGGCACACTGTACTCAATTTTAAACCTCGTCTTGTCTTACAATTTACTGTCAGTGGCTTAGAAGGACTACAGAGTAAGCATGATATTCATTAAAGACCCCCCCCCCAAAAAAAAAACATTCATAGAATCATAGAATGGCTTGGGTTGGAAGGGACATCAAGGATCACCAAGCTCCAACCCCCTGCCACAGGCAGGGCAGCCAACCTCCATATCTAATATCAGACTGGCTGCCCAGAGCTCCATCCAACCTGGCCTTGAACACCTCCAGTAACAGAGCATCCACAACCTGTCTGGGCAGCTGGTCCAGCACCACACTGCTCTCTTGGTTAAGAACTTCCCCCTGATACCCAACCTAAATCTTTCCTCCTTCAACTTAAAACCATTTCCCCTTGTCCTGCTGTTATCTACCCTTGTGAAGAGTTGGCTCCCCTCCTGTTTGTAGGCTCCCTTTAGGCACTGGAGGTCACCCCACAGCCTTCTCTTCTCCAGGCTGAACAAGCCTGGATTGGATTTTAATGTGAATAAAAGATCTCTGACTTCAGATGCGTTCACACTGCTGTGAGGTGGTTACCGCAAGATGCTAACTCCACTTTTCTTGTTTTATTTCCAGCTGCCACATCAGCCATTTCATTAAAAGCAAATCTAATCTGTGTGCTGACACAAGGCACCAGTTCATGGCAATACGTGAAGAAGCAGCTCAGTGTTTGCATGATGCTCTGGAGAGCCTTGAGAGGTAAGAAGAGACTGTTTGCTGTGTAATTCTAAAATGTACACTCCTTGCTCCTGACCTTTTATCTTCAGATGTTTTAAAGGTGTGTTAAATGATTTATATGGAACAATAAAATAGGGAATGATCTGGAAAACGTTGACTGTCCACGTATGAAAATATACTCCAGTGTTTGGGGATGGTTCTGAGCGACTTTTGTGGAATGCAGCTGTGATAAATACATGGGATGTGTTTGCTTTGAACATCATAAGTCCTTTTCACTCAGAGAGAGAGTAATAAATTCAGTTCACATGCAATCTGCATGGCTGTCTTGTCATTTCATTTCAGAGGTGACTGTGTTGTTCTTCAGCATTACATGGACTATTTTTATGGTAACACTTGCAGTGTCCTCTCTCAAGGCCCTTTCCCTGATCAGCAGAGTTACTACTTTGTTAACCAGCCAAAAACTGTCACCCTTTCCTTTCACAGATGAATGTTTCTGGGTAATATTTGTGCAAATTTTTTTTTTTTCTCAGTAAACATCACACCTGAAATCCTTCCCTACACAACTGTTTTATTTCTTCCTTTCTCTCCCTCCTAATTTCCATTCTTTCATTCCATTTTGTAGTTAGATTTTATCTTTTTTTGCCCCAGAGCTTTCCTTATTTTTAGAAGAAATATGGGTATATTCAGAATGCTGTACAAGCAAACATTGTTATGAGCATCCACATGTGTTCTTCTGCCTTCCTTGGTGTCTTCCCACTTAACTATGAAGAAGAATGGTAATGTTTAAAGTACAGATTCATTTTTAAGGGTTTTTTTTGTTGTTGTTAGGAGCCAGGAAGAGCGATGCTGTAAAAAATACATGGCTTTGAAACAGCTGAAGTACTTTAAAAAGGACATGGAAAGAATAAGACAGCTGGATGTGAGAGCTGAAAGAGAACGTGATGAAAATGGGCTTAAATGGTAAGGAGCCATTGGGATCCTCATTTCAGATGAGGTTGTCATGGTCTTAGATTTGTCTTTTGTACAAAAAGCTGTAATTCTATTCCTTTTCTACTCCAAGTATCACTAGAAAGCATTGAAATTGGTTGCTGAAAATGCAGCCTTCACAAACTGGTGGCAAAAAACCCTCAGATATTCCTAGGAGCAGCCTGCTCAGAGATAAGTTAATTGGGTATGGTAAGAAAAGGGATGGGAAGATTTCCTTCTGGCGATACTGGGGACAAAAAGTGCTCTGGCTGTGCATTCATAGATGCTCTCTAAGAAACTTCGTCCATCAGGAGGTGTGTAAAATACTCTGTACCCTGAAGAGGAGAGATGCCTTATAAATGTACGTGGGTTAAAGTCGCAGCAACCTCTTGATGAACTGAGAATTCACACTGCTAAAACTGATGGTGAAGAAACTCTGATTCTAGCTGTCCATCCATGTAAAAAAAGAAAATATTTCCCTGCCAGCGAGGATATTGACTGTGTCCAGTGATCAGCTTCCAGATCCACACTATAAATAGCTTACAGGAATACCTCAGCATGCTCCCTGCCATGAGAACCCCTCAGCCACAGAACTGCAGGGAAAAAAAGCTGTGTGGAACATTTATTTCAGCCTGCCCTCTTTGGTCTCCTTGCTAGTAAGCCTTCTGTCCCTCATACATTGAAGTCAGTTTCTTATCTTAGGTCCAACTTGCAGGTGGCCCAGGAACTCATCAGTCATGAGTTAATTAATAAACTTAGCCTTGGCTTATGTAGGAAAAGTAATTTTAGTTGCCTGGCATATGCTCCAGCTGTTGCCCACATTGAAGTTGTGCCATGTAAATAAGCCCCAGAGCTGAAGTGGATGAGTTTTTACTGTTATATACTCTCACTCATAGTCTCCATAGGGACACAGAGAATGAAATCTCTGAGATGTTTGGTCCAGCCCCAGGGGGCTACTAAGTCATGACAGAGCAATTGCCTTCACTGTGACACTTGCTCCATTTACAACAGGGCTGTTTTGTTTCCATGCTCTTGCAAACACTGCCTTGCCAGGAAAGCTGAATTGCAGTGGGAGCACTTTAATGGTATATAATGGTATAATGGTATATGCTGTCAGTCTAGTTGCTTTTTTCTCTCTCAAAAGTGAAATAAAAACCAGCCAAAAACTGAGATAATATCAAATATGAACAGTGGGATATGAGTGTGCTGACCTTTCTCAAAGAATATCTTAATGCACGGATGGGTTATGCAAAACCTGTTTGTGAGACAGTGATGGGAACTGGGCTAACCTAACCAGGGAGAGTAAGAAGTTGCTTCAACAGCCATACCAGCAGTATGCAACCAAGCATAGAAGTGTCTCTATTGCAGGTGAGAACCTGTATGGTTCCCTTTTCACTGGTTTAAAGAAGAAATTCCTCACCCATCTTTTGCTGTTCCAGTAAAATGTATCCTAAACTATGGGAAGGCAGAACTCCCTGCTGCCAAATCTTCAGCTGATGTGCCTCAGCCATGCATGATCTTGATAGGCTTGGAGCATCAATCTCTAGCACTGTCAAAGCAGCACTGTAGAATTTATACAGAACATTAGGGGAAAAAATGTCAGTCTTTTCACAAGGGTTTTCTTTTTATTGTAATGTGTAATTCTCCTTCTGAGTCTCTATATTCAGAATTAAATGATAAAGGCTGTGTGTTACAGCACTGTCACGTTGCTGAGATTTATGCCAGAGCATAGAGGAGAATGGTGTTAACAGAGAGAAAAGGGATAGGAAGGAGCATCAGAAAGTGTGTCAAATCAGACACTTGATTGCATTGGAAAATCCATAGAGGCTAAAGATTAAGAGGACATTTCTTGTAAAATGAAAACTTTGTTAGCTTTTTGTTATTTGCTTTCATAACCACGTTTGTCATTCAGAATTGAAACGAACAGCAAAGCACCTTTTTTAGTGCCCTGTAAAGGCAGTCGATGCACAGCTCCTATAAAATAAAGCTCCTTTGCATTACTCACTGGGTGTTACACTGAGCATTCAATTCTCCAAGGAACCTTTCTCTTTTTTTCTTTTTTTTTTCCCCTGTGGAAGCCACGGAAGTTGTGAAGTGGCAGAAATGCCACCCAGACCTAGATTGCCCATCAGATTTTTCCCTTAGTTCCTAGAGATTCCCTTTCACTGCTGTTCCTCTTTCTGCTAAAGGTTTCCTGCATTGCTGGCCAAGCTGCCGGAGCCTGTGAAGAATGACCATTATGTCAAGAAAATCTTAAAGAAACTGGAAAAATTCGGCATGGCTCCTGATTTACACATTGATCAGGACACCTTCCTGAAGGCTGTGACTGATCTCCAGCCGTGGGAGCTGTGCTCTCCTGACATCGCTGCTGCTGTGGAGGTGAGATGGGTCCAGCCCTGGATTCTCTGTGTGATAAGGGTGGGGAAGGTGGACACCCATCTGTGAAGTAGGGTGGAGAGGTACCAGATGAAATCATTTAGGATCTCATTAAGTGAAGGTGGTACTGTTCACCTTTTACAAGACACGATGAACCCTTCAGAAGAAAGCTGTTACGACAAGAGCTGGATTATTCATCAGTATCATTTGATTATTATGTCATTGTTGATTTATTTGCTGCCACAGTGAAAGCAATGTCTGCCATAAATTGTTAGGATTCTCGAGGAGAAACATTCCCTTTCTGTGCCCTGAGGAGGCCTGTCATTCCCAGGCCTTACAGCTAGGAGCTATTCAAGTTAACCATTGTGTCACCAATCCAGGAGTTCTGCAGATGCCTTTGTTTTGCTTCAGCAACACATAAAAAATAATGTGCTTCTCAAGATTGTGAGCTGGGCCCCGTTCATGTTGTTCTAGAATCAATTTACAGAAGAGTAAAGATAGAAGGAAGAAACCTGAATACTTTATAATGTATGCTGCTGTGTAGCCTAACCATGATAAAAAAGGCAATGATGCCACCTTCTGTTCTTTGCTCTCATCATCATTCTTCCTCATTTGCAAGACAGCAGCAATCCCATCGAGGCAGCATGTTACAGTGTCTGTGCATCCTTCATATATTGAGTTTATGACACATTACAGGGGCAAGGTGTCCAGGGTGCCCAAACCAGACCACCTGCATTTTCTTGATGTCTTTTAAAAACAGCCATTTTGTTTTGTGCTCTAATTTGTGTGGTCACTAACCACCTTGCCTTGAAGCTCAATATTTCTGTTGCTTGTTGGTGTGGTAGTAATACAGAAAAAGAGATGTGAGCGTTGCAGAATCTTCTATTTACACATCTTTTGAAAATACCCAGAGAGGAAAGAGGACTTTGGTATTCCTTGGGCTGGAACAGATGAACTGAACTATTCAGGGGCAAGGAGAGAATCACTGAATGTAAACATATAAACTGGTGGATACCTACATGGATTCAAGGTGAAGTTATTGCACTTCAGGTTGCTTTAATGTATGTGGGGCAATCATAAGTAGAAGACAGCTGTATGTCTGAAAACTCAAAGACCTGACTTTGAAGGACTGAGGATATAAATTGCAAGGAAGATCGTGGAGTTTTGCTTTTAATTCATTTTAAAGCAAATCCAGCAGTTCTGAAATTCGCATTAAAATGTTTTGGTGATATGAAGCACTATATTGATTTTATGCAGAAGTCAATACGTTTGTTCAAATTGATCAAATTGAGAGACATATTATGCCTCTCTCTTACACACAGAATTAAATGCTCAGGAAATAACCTTTTTCTGTTTCAGTTTGTACGTGAAAGTATTGTACAGATGCCAGAAGAGGATTTCAGTGAGTGGTTCCAAGCAAGAGTAGACCCTCTCCATGCACAATCCTCTACTTTTAATCAGATGGACAGCTGAAACAGTTTTCCAGTTACAATTGTCATGCTTCAAGCAGAAAACTCCCTCCTGTTGAGATTTGCATCATGGAAGACTGGGGAAGGAGAATAAACTTCAGGAAGTCCCACTGACCACCTTTGCATGTCTGAAATTTGTCCCTGCAGAGTGCTCTGCTGGCTGTGCTCAGCCACAGAGAATAAAAGCTAAATGACTTCTTCCTGTGTGATGCCTTGGACTCACCATCAAACTTCAATCTCTCCTAACCATTTAGAATCATAGAATCACCAAGGTTGGGAAGGAAAGACCTTCGAGATCATCCAGTCCAACCATCCACCACCTCCCTGGGCAGCTCATTCCAGTACCTGACCACTCTTCTGGAGAAGAAGTATTTCCTAATGTCCAACCTAAATCTCCCTTGATGCAACTTAAGGCCATTCCCTTTAGTCCTATCTCTAGTTATATGGGAGTTACATTTGGGATGAAGGCTTAGTTCCTAGTCACAGGGCAGGTGACTTCTTCAAACATTTCTCCAGCAGTGCCTACATTGCTGCAAGCATCTTCTCAGTGCAGTTACACGTATTGCCATATCTAACCAGCACTGACTGACTGCTCTTCACTTTACCTTCCATTTACAAAATAAAATAAATAACACAAACACAGGGTGTTCTTTTCAGTACTTTGGATGTTTTGCTTTCAGTTGAGTTAACTTTGTAGTTATCCTGTGATTATGGCTTAACTTCTTGCCTTATTAATATCAATATTGAAAAGCCAAGAATCCTTAGACCCATTCCTGAGGTTTTCACTTGAAGATACGCTTTCCACTAATTACTTTTGCATATATTTTCCATTACTCTCCTGGATCAGACATTAGAATGACACACCTGAACTCAGAGATGGCCATATTCCATGAGCTTTGTGAATCTGTTCAATGGTCTCTTTGATGCTGGGTCACAATTACTAGATGTTGGGATCAGTGATCCAATGACCTTCTAAGCTGATGATCTTAATAAGCTGCTTACCTGCCTGTCAGAGCTTCCAGAGAACCCACTGGGCAGAAAGGCAGTTAATCCTTCTGCCACAATAAGAGGAAACAGCAACAGTTCAGGATGCAGGTGAGTAGTGTGACCACTGTGTGTAATATCTTACGTGTAATGACCTTCTTTTGCTCCCTCCCTCATTCTCCTAACAGAAGATAAATGTGTTTTGTTTTGTTTTGTTTTGTTTTTCACGGAAAAGAGTGAAGTCCACAAATTGCTTTGTCTTACAACTACTAGGAAACAAAAAAAAAAGATCTAAATTATGTTTTTTGTGCTTCCACTATTCTTATTCTATATGCAGTGCTGGTAACATAGGATTTTTACATTTAATGAAGCCATGTTCTCCCACATCCATATTTTTCTTTCCCTCCATTTAAAAATCCAATGGCAAACCTATCTCCAAACTTGGCAGGAGCTGATCCAGTGCCCAGTGAAATGGATGGCCATGCTTCTCTCAGATGATAACAAGGATCAGACCTCAATTCCAAATGCTCTCAGAAGCTTCATTGCAACCCTCCTTGCGCTTTGAGAATCTCTGTTCTCCTACCTCTACTGTCTATCTGGGACCTTTTCACCATACCTGAGCCAAGTTTCATTGTCTGTACTGCCGTGTCACCCTGTGGTGGCAGCTGATATTACAAGCAAACAGGGAGAAACCTTCGTTTAACAGTTGGGTTCTCCTGGTTGAGCTGCGGTTACACAAAGCGAAACCTTCACCTTGGTCCTTCCTCACCAAAAGGAGGATGAGACAAGAAAGTTTTGAGTTTTCTTCATATAAGAAACGGTAATGCTTCAGCTGGAGTACATCAGTAATGCTGCTGGAAACAGGTAATGACGGGGACTGCTCCTTTAGAAAGAAATTAGATCATCTTTTCTTCTCTGCTATGAGCTTGGGCGGTGTTGGGCTTGCAGATCTTAGAGCTTTTTCCAACCCTAATGGTTCTATAAAACCCCTACACAAGCTGTAGCCTTGCTGTAGCTCACCCAAGGGACGATTTGGAGTTATGGCATGTCCTTTTTTGGATGTCATCTGCTTGTTTTCCCCACTCGTTGCAGGGAAGGACTAGATAGCCTTTAAGGGTCCCTTCCAACAATTCCATGATCTGCAGGAAAGATTTGAGCTTTTTTACCTTTTTGATGCTTTTTTTCCCCCACAGTTATCTTGGATTCCCCCCAGATACTTTTGTGAATGTCTCACAATCTTCAACTTAATCTTTCAGCACAGCTTTTCCAGGTAGGTTCAGAGTAACCCATTTAGCACACTAGAGATGGACACACCAGGAGTCCAAGCAATTCGACAGAGGTCCAAAAATGTTTAGCAGAGCTGCTGGATCAGTTCTGTCTGCTCACCCTTACTCCCATTCTGCTCTGGTCCTTTACAGTTTCAGCTAATAGGCCAATCATTCCCAAACTCCATTAGCCCAGATGAACCATCCAAGCTTAGGTTGGTCACTTCATGCACCAGAGATGCACTTTGCAGGGATAGAATTAGAGTTTGAAGGAGGGAAAGGATGAGAAAGAAAGCCTTTCTTCTTTGTTGGCATTTCTTTCCTTTTCTTATTTTTCCTGGCAAAGGGCTGTTTGTTTTCTATATGCTTTATATCACTTTTTATTAAGTTGGCTATGTTTTAGTAAATGTTATTGTAAACTACAGCTGACTATATATGATGGACGTAGGCATTGTAATATAAATTGTAGTGGATGTTTAAAAGAACCCATCACAGCTGACAAATGCAACATTCAGTTCATTTCCAGTGCTAGATTGCTGTAACAGCCATCAAAATATTCTCTTGCATAGATAATTTATTTGAAAGTTTTGCAGGGTATCCTAACAAAGACTTGCCTTTAAGAGGCTGTTTCCTACCTATGGCTCTCCAAACTGTATTTAAAAAGTAGGGCAGGTTGCAGCAAATTATGTGTGGTCTATATGAAAACTGCACACAAGAAGTGTGGGGGAAAGATTGCAACACCCAAACGTTCCCATTTGTTGTAGGAAAAGAGGAACAACGGTGACCCATATAATCCAAGTGGGTGAGATAGATATGAGAAAAAGCAACCTTTTGTTTTTGGTGAAGGAGAAAGGAGAGGAGAGGAGAGGAGAGGAGAGGAGAGGAGAGGAGAGGAGAGGAGAGGAGAGGAGAGGAGAGGAGAGGAGAGGAGAGGGGAAGGAGAGGGGAAGGAGAGGGGAAGGAGAGGGGAAGGAGAGGGGAAGGAAAGGAATTAATTACAGTATTTGGGAATCCTTAATGAAAGTAGAGAATGTGTGTGTGTGGAGAGACAGTCCTATGGGGATGCTACACAATGGAAAAGTGCTAAGCATATTAATAATTTATAGAACAATTAGTATTCAGCTTATCCCACAATTTCATATCTGAATCCAGATCCAAACTGTCCCTAATGGGTGCATTTAGCCTTTTTGTTCAAACCCTGCTCTATTTGTCAATGATGCTACTGGCCTCAGAACAACCCTTCCAGCCAAGTCTTGCTCTAGTTTGTTCCCGTGTGAAGCCAGAGCTGATTCACAGAAGTCTGTAAAGCAGTTCCAGATTCACTCTGTGGTGAATGAGCACTAATTAAACTCATTGCAAAATGCCTTATTTAACAGGTTGAGATGAAGCAGCATTAAATAATGCTACAACGCTTTCATAAACATTAGAACATATGAAAATTATTCAAAGCATCGTTTTCCTCTTATTTGCTAGTAAGAATTAGACAGCAGATCACCACTGCAATTTCTTTGCTAATACAAATACCAGAGTTGGAGCTTTGCTTGAGTTCTGCTAAGAACACTTATGAGCTTAGTGATGGATTCAAAACGTCCTTTACAGGTGACCTACAAGCAAAATTCCTGTCTGTGGTTCATCTCCCCTATATTTAATCCTAAGACATGCAAACTCTCTGTTGGGCTATTAGAACCTACCTGGTGGATTCTAAAAGAAGTCAAACATAGGTGAGCTTTGATGCTCTGCTTTGGGATGTTGAAGGTGATGTAAGAGAGATCCTGTTAATTCAGCGCCTCGAGGGCGCTGCTCCGACAGATTGCCTTGCCAATCACAAGGAGAAAAACTTCCAAGAACACGAACTGCTTCTAGGAAAATGGGACAGTGAGATAAAATAAGGGCTCCTCACAGCACAAAACAGGTCACCCACAGCACTGAGCAGATGCCCATCGCTGTGTGAGCTGTGGGAACAGATCCTTTGATGCTGATGTGTGACTAAATGAGGCAGGTCAGAAGCCAGGAGATGGGATGGAAAGAAATAGATTGTGACAGATATATGGAGACATCTTCACGTGTGTTTAAGCACCAGCAGGTTTGATCGCTCAACTTATTAGTTGGCTTCAAATGATGATAGTACTTCAGGAATGTAACAGTGAATGGAAAAATCTCTGATTTTTTAACCTGGACGTTTCCCTGATCACACATTAATTGACTGTTAATAATTTACCAAAGCAACAGCTCATCAGGGACTTCTGATGTTTGCAAAGCCACAGTCCAGAATGAAAAATAAGAGCGTACGGCTGCAAGGATGAAATAGGAAAGTTATCTGTAAGAAAAGCATTTCTCTCCTGATACCTCTTAGAGTATGGGCACAAACCAGTCCCAGTGGTGGAGTAATGCATCAGCCCCACAGGCACTGCTGACTCAGTTATACCCACAAAAATACAGCAGCACAAGGAATTCTCATCACTGTAATGGCAGTGATGTGAACAGTCTCAGGGACAGGTCTAAATTAACTCTTGAAGTGCAGAGTAATGTATATGTATGTATGGCAAGCTAGCCAAAAAAAAAAAAGCCAATGGGATTCTGGTCTTTGATTCCTGAATGCTCTCATTTACTTATGGCAAAGGCTAGATTCAACACCTTGTGCCATGTACAGGTATTGACACTCTCTCATGGAAAAGAGGTAATTTTCAAATGACTCTTCTTTGTTAGCTCACCTACTACTGTGTTGATGAGAAATCAGCACCAAAATTATTCTTGTAACATTTGGATACAGGATTCAGTTAAATAACATAGCAGCTCCCTGTCTGAGGAAAAGTATAACTGTGTGAATATTTAATGTGTGTGAAAACCAATTAACTGTGCCTATCTGATTCAACCTCATAAATTAATAACACCCCTGCTAGACTCCCAGCAAATCAATTGGAATTCAAGGGCCCTTTAAAGGTTAGTTTCAGATTCGGAGATAAAGGATTATTAGTTTGTCATTATCTCACTCTGCCTGCCTGAATGGTTTGAGCATTCTGTGATTTGTCCATAGAGAAACTTATTTCAGAGCCAGGAATGTCTTTGTGGCTTATTGCAACAATTTCCTTTGCGTAAGGTCAGCAGAGAGAGTTTGATCCCAATATTTATTTTGAGTGGAACCACAGGTACCAATAAAGGGCATGAAGCAGCCTCCCAAATCTCTCCTTTCTTGTTTCTGTTCATGTTTTAGTCAGTTCTGTGCGTTCAACCTGTCCGTGCAAACCATTCTGTTTGCAAGCTCTGCTATACAAACACTACCTGAGCTGTTCCCATGAGGATATTGGGGTGATTGGCCATTGAGTCCCAAGGCCAGTAGCCAAAACCCAGCCAGCCAACTGCCCCAGACCCGCTCCCCACTGAGCTCCTTGATTCATCCTTCCTCCCACTCCCTTCCTCCCCTCCCATCTCTCTCAGTTTCCCAAATCCCGTTGCTTTTCTTTCCCATCTCCCAGTCTGTGCTCACTCTTGAGACATGAGTGACGTGGTTTAGTGGCATGGTGCTGATGGGCTGATGGTTGGGCTGGATGATCTTAGTGGTATTTCCCAACCTTTATGAGTCTATGATCCTATGATTACCACTGGAGAAGCACCTGGATGATACCAAAACACCTAAAACCAAAAACTTAATGGCCACCTCCGGGGCCTGCTATTAACCTTCATGGCATAGCTGGCATTGGGGTCAACGCAGTGCATTACAAAACCTTTTTGTACTTTTTTGAGACCATAATCATCCTGTACTCCTTAGTACTGCTTGGTCTATGAGTTTGCTATGTGGCCCAACAGTCATGAGAATGAACAGCAAGTGAGAAGAGATGTTCCCACCTACTTGTCAGTCCTAATGCATAACGTTTTACAAATGAAAGCTAGAATGACCAGATACAAAACTCTTATTTCTCAAAAAGAAAAGGGAAGGGAAGGGAAGGGAAGGGAAGGGAAGGGAAGGGAAGGGAAGGGAAGGGAAGGGAAGGGAAGGGAAGGGAGAAGGGGGTTTTGTTTTTCCCCATAGACGGATACTACTGCATATGTTGTTATTAAAAGGAGCTTTTGAGGCTATGGAAGGCTTCAGTCCACTTCCATGTGTCTCATCTCTGCCTGTTGAGAGAAGGGGAAGCACTGGTCCACATGACAAAAGTACCAACCCTGCTGTGTATGAACAGCTTCAATCCCTGCAGGTTTGCTTGTTCCTCTTGTAAAACAAGGATGTTTTTCATTATCATGAAATCATATGAAGAATTTTAAACTGCTGAGTAGTGGATACAGCATGAGAATTTTAGACATTGAAAATGAGCCACATAATTTCCAGTCTCCTGGGTTTATAGTTTTATCTTCCCTTGGTGTTACAAGGTAGGTAGGTTTACAGTCCCCTTGGGAAGGATAACATGACTAAACATTGGAAGATGCTTAGAATTTTTTCTTCAGATAAGTAGAACTCAGCATGGAGCCCTGTGTGGCCACTGACTGTTACTGTGACCTCCTGTCCCCAAACCATCTTTGGAGTGGAGAAAAGTGGAGAAAGGCTTCTGGGAACATCTTGTCTGCTCTTTTCAGAATGGCTTGAGCCCACAGTCTAGCCAGAAAATACTTTCTTGGGGAAAAAAATAGGAAGTGTTGTTCACAGCACTCCTTTGTTTATTCCTACAGTCTTTCTTTCTGCCTGGTTGTCCAGGAAGGTTGGAAAGAGAGGCAACCATGGGCAGCCATGTGGTCGTATTGAGAAATATCAAATTGTTGAAGGCAAGGTTGGATGGGGCCTTGGGCAAACTGGTCCAGTACCAGATCTGGAGGTTGGTGGCCCTGCCTTTGGCATGGGGTTGGAGCTTGATGATCCTTGAGGTCCCTTCCAACCCAAGCCATTCTATGATTCTATGTTTGCTTAGGACACTACTTGCAGTACTGTTGGGTTGCTATTTCTCTGCTCTCCCTTAAATCTTTCCGTCTCTTTTTGTTCAGAGCAGTCAGAGAAGAGCAATGTACTCGTCTTTGCTGTAGTGAGCACAGAAGGTGTGACCTGAAGTGAGGCTGTTGGACCTCACCAGCTCTGCTGCCATATGGGTTGACTGTGCTCATCTTCCCTTTGAGGTAAGAATCTTCCCCAGGTTCTTGGAGATTAACCACCATCTCACTGCAGTACATGAAGCCATTGTTTGAATATCCCTTTTTTTTCCATTACCTACAAGTCAGTGCCATTTAAAATGTAAGCAGTATTGTCCCAACATGATATATTTCCTGCATTTCAACCCATCTTCTCAAACCACTAAATTCAGCTGCAATAACTGCCTTATGGCAGAGCCTCTGTCTCACAAACCTCTTACTGAGCTGTCATTATCACAAATTGCCCTGAATGTCTGACATCTCCCATAGCTCCATGTGTCTTGCAGAAGGTGAGTCCACGTTCTCCATCCCTACTGAAATCAATTCTAAAAGTAACCGTGCAGTGTGATACAAACTCCATCTTCTGAGCTTATGTGTGTTTAAAGTCTCCTGAGAACATATCAGAGGTTTTACAGCTCCAAAAAGCCCATGCCCGAGCACTAATGGGTGAATTGGCAAGCAGATGTAACCTTGGCATTTCTTACTGCTTCCTAAAGACATAAAATCCTTTCTTTCATCATGTTTATAGATCAGGAGGTTCTCATTCTGTGTTACATTCCAGGAATGCAGCCTGAGAGATGATCAGTGCCTATGGAAGTAAAAATATTGCACTTATACAGGTCTTTATTGTGTTGACAGCATTACGTCTTGTGGGAGGACATCTGCAAGCAGGAAGCAATGGCTCCATTTGAGACAACTGCAGAGCTCCCAGTGCTAAAGGTGGCTCATTCATAAGGCTCTGTGCACACCTCCTGCTTGCTGTAACTTCAATGAATGAAATGCTCCCAGGAAAAGCCAGACACGGACACAGTTCAGCCTCAAAGGTCCCTCCATTTTGCTCCATTATTATTATAAAGTGGGTATGATAAAGCTTGTTTTCTTATGGTATATGGCACAGTTGGAGCCTGTTCCTTTCTGAACACAGGCTTCTCCTCACTAACTTCAAAACTGTGATGGAAGAAGAACTTTATTTGTTTAATTTATGTTTGGTTTTGTTGTTTGTGTGTTTTTATTGGTTATTATTGGTTTTTTTTCACCCATATCGTGGGCTTTGAACTAAACACATTCGTTTCCCTGCTGTCCCTCATGCTTCCCCCGAAGAGAATTTCATCATACAGATGTAATGCTCAGTAAGGACTGCATCACTTGCTAAAAATTGGCCAAAATACCCCTGGCCTGAGCCGCCAAACTCTTTAAGCAGATTATTTTCAGCCAATCTTTAATATTTTCGCTAAGTTTAACATGTCACTTGGGGTCAGTTGGCAACCTCAGCCCGGAGCAAAGGAAACGCCTTTGCAGCTGTGATGCCATTTGCTGCCGGAGCTCACTGAATGCAAGGAAATCCTCGAAGGGGATGATGCGAGCGCAGTTAGAAGAGACTTAACCAAAGGCCGGAAAAAACTCGGGGTGCACCGCGTGTCTTTTAGTCTCATCTTCTTTTTTCTCCCCCCATTCCTTGGACGCGTTGTACCGCTTGGCAGTAGAGGAGCCGCCCGCGGGGGGGGAGGGGGCGCCCCCTGGTGGCCGATCCGGGAAGCGCCGCGCAGTGCCGCTCCGGGCGGCTCCCTTGGCTGGGTGCCGCCGTGGGGTCACGCCTGCCCGGTACGCGGCGCTGGGCTTTCCGAGCCGCCCGCCCGCCGTGCCGCAGCCTCATGTCCTCGCTCCCCGCCGGCACCGACATCAAGAGGGCTTTGGACAACAGCCCCGAGACAAACATCGAAGATGAACTCCCCGACGGTCCGCCGCAACCGCGGCCGAAGAACTACCTGCTCCTCAGCATCCTCGCTTGTTTCTGCCCCGCGTATCCCATCAACATCGTAGCCTTCGTCTTCGCCGTCATGGTGAGTGTCACCGCGGAGGGCGAGGGAAGCTCTGAGTGCGCGACCCCCGGCTTGGGGCTGCGGGTGCGAGTAGGGCGATCCGCGGCTGTTGGCTCCCGCCCGGAGCCGTTCCCATCCGCTGGAAAGGGGCAGAGTGGGAGCGGAGGAGCCGGCATCGGAGTTAGTGGGGCAGAGAGCATCAGCCAAGGGTCCGTAGCGCTGCACTAGCAGGTAACCGGCTCAGAAAGGTTTGTCAGATGACAGACGCGGAGGGAAAGGCAATTCGGGGCGAGTTTTCAGTCTCAGGCTGTGTGAAGGAGGGAAGTTTATCCCAGTTCATGAGATCTGTTGCATCGACTGGCTTGCATGCTGAATCGGACTTACAGACTGGGAAAGGGGCGGCCGGGGAGCAGAAATCAGGTCCGCACATCAGTTAGGAGCTGTTTGCTTCAGCTAATCGAGTCTGATAGTGTCACTTTTTTGGGAGTAATCAGCCTTTTCTGCACGATGCTGAATTTGTCTGCAAGAAAAGCAGACGAAACAGCCGTGATTTTAGATTGTTGGCAAAAAAAGCTTTATGTTCTTTCAGCACGCTCAGAGAACGGGCTTACTCCTCCGTGCCGTAACCCATTTGCATAGCCTTTAATAATGCAGCGATCCCGTTAAAACAGGAAGGACTGATAGAATCCTCTTCTCCAGGCTGAAAGTTGCAGAGTCAGGTCCAGAGTTTTCTGATAGGACTTATGATCAGGGTAATCAGTAATGCTGCAATGTATTTCTGTTGTTTAGGAGCTGGAAAGGTTTTAAAACATGTTGTGTATTTTCCTCCTTTTCCCTGACAGCCAGGTTGAAAAGGTAAGCAAAAATATAGCTGTATCTTTTTGCGATTAGCTGTTAGAATACTTGCCCATCTCCAAAGTATACTAAAACAAACTCTGCTAACACTACTAAGATTGATCACAATTCATACCCTGATGTTGGAATATACACTTAAATAACTTAAAGGAGCCATTCAAAGCCATCTTCATGACCATTTTTGTTCAGAAAAGAAAAGTATTAGCTGTCTCTTTAATTTTTTCTTTATTATTAATTACACACCACACTCTTCTCATTGATTTGAGAAGGAGAAATCTGCCAGGTTTGGTACCCAGCACCTCTTCACTTAGTGGGCACTGCGGGTCCTGTACAAAGGAGTGAGAGGTGATGATCTGGGGCTGCAGGCATCTGTTCTGTGACAATGCTTTCACTCTGGGGCTGTGCAGAAGTTAAATGCTGAGGGCAGAGTTTGGCCTCTAAAGACTTTTGCACCCCATATGGAGGAACGTCTGCCCACGGCCCAGCTGAAGTTCACGCAGGCTTTGGGAGTCAGGCTGCAGTGACTGTCTCTGTGGGATGTATAGAAACCGAGGTGGGAAGAGCACTTCCTGAATGTGAAACAATCTGTGCAGGTCACAGCTGTGCAATTCCTTTAAAGGAGGGGAATCTAAAACTCAACCGATAAGTTCCACTGTGCGCGGATGCCTTCTGTTTCAACATTATTCTTTTCCATCTTCTCCATGAAAATAACACGTCTGGCTTGTTTTCCTCAGCCCTATCCCTTTCCTTTTGAAGCTGCAACCTGTATCTGCTCCATTCACCTCTGCTAGAGGTTCTGCTTTTAATCACTGCTCTGCTGGGGCCTGCATCCCCCTCTCTCTGAGCACATTTCCTTGAGTTGCTAAGTGTTGATGCTGAGATACAAGAGCAGGTTTCTTCTTTTCTTACTATAGCTTGTATAGGTTGCCTGAGATCTTGTGTCAGAAGAGGTCTGGACCCACAAAAGCAGAATTCTCTGTACTCATTTCCACTGCCTACAATGAACCCAAGGGATGGAAAAGTCCCCTTGGCATGCAGAGGGGCATGCCCCTTTCAGCACCCTGTTTGTATGTGTCTGTCCTCCTTAAGCGTTCTCAATTCAGACAATGAAAATAGCATTCATGCTAAAAGTAGAGTCTGGGCTCCAACACACCCCCGAATTAAATGACAGATTCGTCTTCGGTCTCTTCTGTTGCCCCACTTACAGCACTGCTTTTCTCACTCTTTTCTCACCTTTAGGGGTACAAATCTTCCCATTCCAGGTCTTAGCTGACTTTATTTTTGGACCTTTCCCAGGTCCTCCCTGTTGTGATGATAAACTTTTTTTTGCTCTCTGCCATCACTGTGGCCTGGTAGTTCCATGAACCTTGTTGGCCTTACTCACTATATCACCTCCAGTTGTCTTTATTTCAAAAATTTGTGTGGCAGACTGGTCATCCCATTCCAGGTGGCTTTTGTAAGTGCCTTATAGGACACCTAATACCTTACAGAACATTGCTACCTACTTGGATGGGATTAAACAAGGCACATCAGCTGTTCTTAAGCACGTTCACATTGTTCTCATCTCTGCAAAATGGTACAGCTTTCCTCTCCCATAACACTTTTAACTTGTCCTCAGGGTGACAGAAGCACAGCGTTTGCACAGAACTGTACAACCTGCAGAACAAACTATGCTGTCTCTGAGTCGTCCCCCAGGTCCCTCTTCTCTCTCCTTCTCTGTTTGTTGTTTGCAGTGAGGAGTCACACTGAGCCAGCACATCCAGTTCCTCCTTTGGTCTGAGTTAGGGAGAGTATCTCGTTTCCAGGCACAGTCAAATAAGATTTGTGACAGTCTGGCTTTTGCAAAAGCACAGAAAATATTGATCAGGGCACCTCTGTCTGGTCTGCCCAGAGTTTTAAGAGATGGGGAGGAAGATTTCTGTACCACTTCTGCTTCTACCATAAGCAGTCTTGTGGCAGTGCGGAGAAGAGAACGCACGTTGAAAGGGATTCATGGTTCATAGCTAATTCAGCACTTTTCTGTTTGTGTGAGAATTTGCTTCATTTTTGATCAGCGCACGTGAAACTGGTGTCAGTCACTGAGATTGCTCAATAAGCTGCTGTGGCTTTAGTTTAGATTATGGCTACACAGAGTGAGGTAGCAGAACCTTGAGAAACTGTCTGGTGTCAGGCTGACAGTGGCTGAAATTCACTGGAGAAGTTGGACAGACCAAACATCTCACACAGATGCTGTGTTCTGTACACATTGCAGTCACAGGAAATAATCACAGATGGAACGTTGAGGGCTTTAACAGTTAATGTTGCCTATCATGTTGAAAACTGAAGGCTCAATCCGAGGGCTCTTTGAAGTAGATGGAAGTTAATTTCAAAGAGCTCTACCCCAAAACCTCTTTTTTTTTTTTTTTCTTGGAAGCTGTCTAAATTACACCATTTCATTTAAGCCTCTTAATAAAGAAGCTTTCGTCTCCTTCCTGTCTCTCCCAAATCCTCTTCTTTGTCATTAATGCTATTTTCCTGCTCTTCGTCGTGGGTTTGTATTAAAATGACATTACTTATTAAGCTGCAGAGGGTGAATTATTTATGAAGCGCCCGCAGGAATCACGCGGGTGTTCTCCAGGCTTCCTAAATACATTAGCAAAATAACACAGAACTGCAAGCTTATGCTGCCATGTCTTCCTTACAACTCTGGCCTTACTTTGAGACCACATGTATGGGGACCTGAGCTTAGCGTGTTTGCAGGACCACTGATGGTCATGGAAACTGTGACCGGATGTCATGGAAAGCTTTTCCTTTGGTGGGCTGGGAAGCAAAGTCATGGCTGGGGTGCCAGTGATGCTTTTCCAGTGTTTCTCCCTGTAGCCACAGTCGTTCTGTTGACAGATGCAGGAGAATAAGTCAGCCTGCTCATGGCCAACGTAGACCGTTTTCCATTTATTGACCATTTATTGAGCCTTCCTGAAAGGCTTTTTTGAGAAAACCTAAGAAAGCTCTTCTTCTCTAAACAAGACTGCAGAGAACAGTGGAGTTACTTGTGCGAGAGGATCTGTGCCAGCCAACCTTTTCAACAAGAGGTTGTGTTGATGGAGAACCAGGGGTGACTGTGCCACTGTTCTGCCTGAACAATTATGTGTGGCCAGCCCATTAACGTATGGAAACAAGCATTTTTGTGCCCATCATTTCCATCTCTTCCCACTTTTCCCATGAATTTCATTAGCCTATCCCAACAAAATCTGATAGCCAAGAGAGGAATTAGAGGTATTCTTTAGGGAACTGTAATAGAGAAATGTTTAGGCATGTAGGCTGCCAGGAAGAGGAGAAATCTATCAGTGCTCTCCTGAAGGGCAATCAGCAGCTCACTGTTTCTCAGACACAAGAGAGTAAATACCTGGACTTATCCTTGAGATGCAATTCTAGGAATATGGGCTCCATTGCTCTGGGACTGCCTTGGCAAGAGTGATCCTGCTGCAGTGCTAACAGCAAGGATGTATCTAGTCCATTAACTTCTGTGTTCACTAATTGACAGACCACACAGAGATAATGTCTGTCATTATTTTTCTGCTTGGCAAAAAATGCTCTACAAACAATGCTTGGTATCCCATGAAGTCTAAAATAAACTTTAGTAGCCACAGTGCTTTTCTCTGAAAAAGAGTAAAGATAATTAGTGAGTTGTTTCCATTTTTTCAGTGGTAACTGAACAAAGAATGCAACTGCTGGATCAGGGATAATGTGTTGATGGAAGTTATATAGCATTAAAATAATATGAAATTCAGCATTAAGGCTAAATAAATTTTTGAAGGTACATAGCATGGTGGTCATGTAACTGAATGGCATTCTTAGTGCCATTTTGAGGCAAATCTCAGTGCTGTACTGGGTGGTGTTTATGATCTGGGTGAAAGCACATGGAAGCTAATGAATCAAGCTGTCAAATCTTCCGTTCAGCTCTGGGTCGGACTGCAGGATTTGCTGATTGCACAGCAGAAAGGCAAGTCTCACAGTCTCAACATCTGTGTTTCCCAAGCTGAAGATGATGACATCTCCACATGGTGGAAATGTCACTGGTGTTGTGACTCGCCTTGCTTTGATGAGAGAGAGGTGCATGAATCCTTCCAATGTGGTTCAGCTCCTACAGTGAATTCATTGGCAGCATCACCTTTAAGATCCCTTGTGCTTCTGAGGGACTCATTTTCAGGAGAATTAAATCACTTTAATTAAATCACCTTTCGTCTTTCACCCTTGTTCTCATCAAGATCTTTCAGGTGATTTTTACCTTGATGGATTTCATCCAAGCTTTTATGGAAATACACAGTGGCAAGGAATTAGAAGTTATTTGCTCTCTACAGAACAGCTCTTCTTTCCTTTGGTTTAGTTCCATTGCTTTAAAAGCATTTGTCTGAATAATCTCAGATTAAGTTTAAAACCTCTCTAGCTAAGAAGTCTATGTGATAATGAAGGCACTTCTACTGCAGAAGAGGCAAAGTTTGCCTTTAAATGATGGAACAATGATCTATATAATGCTTGCTGCTTTCACTTATCCGAAGTGTTCATTCATTTCCTGCTTTCCAGTCTCTGATCTCCACTCTTCTATCTTTGCTACCAAAAAAATTACTCGTAACCAAAGCACACCAAGTCTGATCTCACAGAAGATCCTATCACACCTCTTTCCATGTCACGAATGGAAAACATCTGCCTAGATGAACTTAGGCTGTTGAGATAATATCCGTATGCCTGATGCACACCTCTGAATGTATAAGATAATAATTATCAGTACGTTCTAACAGTGCAAAGGAGCAGAATTTCTAGCATGTGAAGATGGCACTCAGATGTGTTATTCAGATTACCTAGATGTCCTTGTTTCACCTTTTCTGCTGTGACAATGGTTTGTGTACAGATGCCTGTATTTGTTGGCTCTTTTTTAAAAAAGTCACAAATTTTGTTTCCTTTTTTTTTTTTTTTTTTTTTTTTTTTTTTAACAGGCTTTAAACAGTTATAATCAAGGAGACATAGAAGGATCAAAAAGACTGGGTCGCAATGCACTGTGGGTTGCAGTTGCATCAATTATCATTGGCCTTGTCATCATTGGAATCTACTGCGTAGTTCATTTCACAACGGTAAGCAAAATGCTGTCAGTTCCAATGCAAGCACTTCTTGCCTATGCAAGGGCTTCAGAATAAGAAGCTAAAGACAGTCAAAACCATCTCTATTACACATTTTCCAAAAGAGCAATTTTTACTTTATTTTGAAATTTAGAAAATGCTGTTTTCTGTCATTAAGTGCAAACGACTGTGTTAGTAGCAGAATATTCTGGAAACTCTTGCATTTCCCATAGGCTTTTTAATTCTGGGCAGCTTCTTCCTTTCTTTCCCACCCCTCAGTTTCTTCCTCTGCAAGACCTACAGCCCCCTAGAGTTCAGGTAATTACATCTCAAGCTGTTAATTTTCAGTCTCACAATCTCACAATCTGTCCAACATTGCTTTTTTTTAAACTATAAGGAGGAGAAACAGTCAATTACTATTTTACCATTTGATGTTAAGGTGTAAAGCTATATGTAAAGCTACTACCAATGTAATGCTGCCTCGACTTGCAGGTTGTTTGCAGCTGATCCACCTTCACACAGCTGGAATGGTAGTAAAGAAGCAGAGTCCCAGTGGCTATGCAGACTGTAAGCTTATTAGCAAAAAAGAACAAAAGTAATTAGAGCTTCGATATCCTTTCTTAACATGGTGCAACGGTATGTTCTTTCCTCCTCCCAATAATGTGCCCCCTCCAACAAAATAACCAATTTAAATCCATTTATTATTGGCTGTTTTGGTTGGAGAACCTTTTTTTCCTGGGCTTTCCAACTCACTGTACAAACTTCTGTGTAAACTAAAAATAGAGATCACCTCAACTGACACATGGACATCTCTGAGGGGTGGAATGGAGCAGCTGGTCAAACATGTGCAACGCTTCAGTGTGCCCTATGGAACTCAATAGTTAATGGAACTGGGGGCCGTTGCTGTAGGATATTGGTGCCTGGTGCCACCAAATCAGAGGTGACTTTCATTCATTATTATCCCTTGCATTTTGCAAACTCTTTTCAGTACAGCATTGGGTTTGTTGAGCCCTCACAGATTTAAAACCAAGTCAGTTCAGGCTGGGAGTGCCAAGTTTTGTAATTGACAGCAGCAGTAAATTCCTCGGTTCCCTCCTGCCACCTTATCATTTCCCAAACACGGAGAGCACAAGGGGAGCAGCTCAGGCTTTTTTACAAGTAGAGGGAGAGAAGGGCAGCATGAGGAGTGGCAAAAAACACTGGATTGAAGCATTCACATTAACTAGGGCACAAATGTCTACATTCAACTGCATTTAATATTTCACTTCCCCAACAGTGAGATCCTGTTTGCTGAACGTGAATGATTCTTTGTGCCCACTGACAGACGTTAGAAGTAGCACCTGACATCTAACTAGCATTTGTAAGCATCTATATCCTACCCTCAAGGAAGCATGCAGTGGTAAATCAGTGTAATATGACTTTATTACTTATCTTCTTAAGTTTTGTCTTTTTAGGATTGTTTATTTTATTTTTAAGAATGTCTGCATTAGGTAAAAGCATTTCTAGATGCCTGGGATCCCTCAGCATACTGCTGGGATAGTAATTTCTTGTATTGAATAGTTTCCATAGAGGCGTCTTGGCCAAATGGTACTTCCAGTTTGTGAGGGCTGAAGTGACAACTTTGGTGGATTCATCTTGCTCCATGGTCTTCCTGTCCCTTTACTACCTCCCTTCTCCCTTTAGCCCCTTGGAGATCCCTTGTTTCTAAGAAGGTATTTGATAGGGGTGACAATCTTCTTTGTTTTTCTAACGTGAAAATGAGTGAGTAGAGGGACTCAGCTGTCCTTTCTACCCTCTGTGCTTACCCAAATCTCCTTTCTCTTGGCCATTTATATTTTATACTAAATTGGTTTTGAGTTTGCCATATGACTGGCACGGATGGCGTTGCGTGCTCCATGCAGTGGTCTCACATCCCTGTGTACTTCTGTCATCATTATATGCAGCCACTTTGCAATCTCTGCTCACACGAAGTAAACCTAGCTGATTTAATAAACATGCATTGATATTGGCAAAATGGTACAAAAAGGCCTTAATGGAATGAGTCAGCCCTGTCACTGATTTATTTGATTACCACGAGGCACAGTTTGATGTTTCTATGATACATATACGTATTTTTCATGAAAGTTAATTTAGACTTCACCACATGTATGACAGACTTCTCCCTTCCAGGATTCATTCTCATGTATTTACCATCTACCATATTATCCAGTTGCTCCTACTGATATTCATGTTGGCTTTTCTTAGTCTTAAAGGATACGAGTCCCACTGAAAATTGTCATTAAGATACCTCCCTTTTATTCTTCTTCCACAACCCTATGCTTGCTGTTCACCATCTCATTTCCAAGTTATGTTGGTACTTCATCTATTCTCACTTGTCTCTTTAAGTAGAATTCTTCACCTGCTCTGAGGGACTGGCTGCACATCCCAGAAAGATTTTCCTTCCTGGCCAGAAGTCACAGATTTCGGGCCTTCCCCATCAGGGGAATCTCTCTGTTCAGCTCTTTTTCAAGTGCAATGTTTAGTTGTCCATCCTTTGCTTTGCCCCTGTTGGTCTTCACAGAAGAAAGCAGTGTTGTTGGTTAGTACACCCCAGTGCTTCGCAGTACAAACTCTTACCTTGACCACCAAAGAACTTTTTTGCCACTCTTGAGCATCTCTCATTGAAACTGCTGGGGAATGAGTGCTCAGATATCTCTCCAGATCTGGACATAGTTCCTTCAGCATTCACTGGAATGTAATTTGTTCACTGTGAATGGTATTTCTAGAAGACTAGTTTGATAAGGTCATTGTCTAATGTGATGAAACTCAGTGTCCTCTGAATAACAAAACTTGTGCCCTATTAAAAAATCTAGCCAAATTCACCCATTTTTTTCTGACATCTCTTCTGGCTTTTTGGTACCCAAGCCCGTTGTGTGTTCCATCCTGCTTTGGAAAGGGACTTTAGTCCTGTGCTTTAAGCAGAGCTGAGAAAGGTTCCCTGGAACGCCACCAGCCCCAGCCAGGAGAAAACCCACTTTGGAGAAACAGTGTAAGAAATTCCCAGTTTGAACAAGTCTAGCAGTAATTATACTCTCACTAATGATTATACTTCCTTGTAGGACAGCAAGGTTAAAAATACATGATCCTGCAGTTCATTTGGACTGTTTTAGCCAAATCTGTTGCTTATGAATTATGGAATGAATAGGAAGGAGCATGACAGAAGTTTTGATGCTCATAATTCATCCCTGCAGTGGCTTGTGATTGCCAGTGACACTTGGATAGCCTGCTAAGGGGAGTAAGCTGCCCACAGAGCTCTCTTTGCCCAGGATCTGTTGGATTAAATCATGGACCTGCATCTGGTAACAACTCACAGACCACAGGAACACTCAAAAGGCTGTTATGCATCTTACTGAAAAAAGATCAGCAGGGGCTGATAGGCTCAGGAAGAGGAAGGTCCTTTCACTTTTCAGCAGGTTCCTACCTTGGAGCCTCAAGCTTCCTCACTTGCTTTCCTTGGTTTACTCATTTGCCAAGCAAGGTAACACAGGAATAAAGGCAGGAGACACCTGCACCTGCATGGAATAAACAGCACTGACTTTCCATTTTTCAGATTTACTCGGTGCAAAGCCAACTCTGAGCTTGTGCTGCTGCCTTGGAAAGCCTCATTTGTTCTCAGTATTGACATGTTATCTTTAATAAACATATACACACAGAGAGCCTGGAACAGGGCTCACCCCACACTTAGGAATCATCTACTTTCTGCAGTCATAACCCTGAATGCAGACAAGGGGAAATCATCACTTTCACTGCTGGAGCTGACCTGTCTGTTCTGATCAACATAAACCGGTGTGTTCCTTGTTGTGGAGTGCAGTCACCAAGTGATAAGCTGCATTGTGCATCCATTCCACTCCAGACCCAATTTCTACTTACTCCATTCTCTAACTTTTGACCTGTCTTGCCAGCTTCTTCTGCACTCGTGTCTTGCCAGTCCATTGCACTGAATTACATTTCCACTGCTTGCTCAGATGTAACTTAAACCAGTATTTATGTCACCACTGAGTATAACTGTGCATATGTGCTCATAGGCATGTTGTCCATCAAGAAGTGCAGTGAGAGAAGGGCTGTATTTGTCTGCTGTGAGGAGACATAACAGCAAACTGAAATTGGGCAGTGCTATGTGCCACAGCCTGTGGATGATGTTAGTCTGCTGCAGTATGCCTGGTTAGAAGTAAATTGAGTTGAGAGATTAAATACTTACTGATAGATGACACTCAGCTCTGAGCCACATCCTGAATTCTTCCTGTACTTCTGAGGCCCTTTTCTCAAAAAAAGATGTAGGAGAAAAAAAAATAATAATAATGGAGAAGATCTGAAAGGTATGAAAAAATCTCTGTGTGTGGGGAGACAAAATGAACATGGTCTGTTTGGCTTGGAAAATGTGGGAGTCAAAGGCAAGCAGTTGGAGGCAGCAAAAGAAGGTAGAGAGGAGTTATTTGATGTCTCTTATGAATGAGATTGAGAGATATCAGAGGAAAGCAGCTTTAAGCTGGAAGATACTTTTCATGTGACATACAATGCTGCTGCAGAACTGATTCCTGCTGTTTGCAACAGACACCAAAAATGCAAATTATTTGAAACTGCAACAAGAGAAGTTAAGAAAGAAAGCTTAGAGATGCAGATATAATCTCAGCCTCAGAGAGTTTCTAAGCTACAGATTGCCATAGCTGATAGGCAATAAAGAGAGAAATATCCTCCAGGATTTGGGCTTTTCTTACGTACTTCTTCTAGGCATCTGCAGCGTGTCACTGTTAGGGGCAGGATGCTGTGGGTCAGGCTGTTTGCTCTCACCCAGTACCACCATTCTCCCATTCTTTCATCAAGCCTGTTAGTAGCCTTTCTACAGCAAAGCAAGGTTCAATGAAGCCTACTTGTCTGACTGCAGGGACTGATTTGCTGATAGCAAAGCACAGGGCACAAACTTCAGCAAAGTAAGAGCCCATTTCCTGCCACTGGAAGATCCCAACATGGATTGATTCGAGCAACCCAGTTTAAAAATTCTGTTCAGACTGACAGATACCTGGTGCCATTAAAAACACTGCTTTGATTCAAAGCAGTATTGAACCACTAATCTAGAGGGATGTTTTTTAAGAGAACAAGTGATACTAAATAATGTATCCATTAGATCTGTAGAATTAATAATTTAAGCTCACAAGGCAAACTCTCTGTCTTTTCCCCCTTTAAAAACATATTTTTGTGTCCTTGCAGCATGCTATCTGAAGACCAGGACTGCACTTGGAATACATCACCATGTAAATCTTAGGAGAGGAAAAGTAAGAAGAAAAGGAAACCCATCTTTCCAGACTGTTAGATTTGACCCTACAAGTCTGCAGAGGCATGTTGCTGATGGATGCAGTGATAACCCAGTTAGTAAATCAGCATGGTGTGACCAGGTTTTCCAAATTATTTATTTCTACAGAACCTCAGTATAAAGAAGTGGGTGTTTTTTTTTTTGTTTTTTTTTTTTATTTTACTCTAATGTGATAACCTTGCCCTAACAACTCCCTTTTCTTTCTCATTTACATGAAATGTGTGCTGGGTCCATAACGTTCCCTGGCTGAGCCAAGCCAAAGCCAACCTATCTCGACTGTTTCTAGTGCACAGTGTAAGCTCTGATGCACAGCCTGCTGGAGCTAGTGGAACTCCTGTCACCTTCAGTGGGTTTTGGATCAGGCCATGAAGGGTTTTTGTATTCCTGTACGATAGTCTCAACATAACAGAATCAGAACGACTTGTTTGTGGTTTATCCCACAATGTGATTTTGTAATGCTGTGGGTGTACTCTGACTCGGTGGCTGCTTTCTCCTGTCACCCCCAGCCTTTTGGTCTTTGCATTGGGTTTTTCACCACCTGGGACCGATTTCAATCCCTTAATTGTTAGAAGATACTTTTGTTCCGTAGCATCCATATTTTTAATGATTTCCTCTTGTTTAGTTGTCTTTCCTTGCTGAACTCCCTTAACTCAGCTCTAGTCCTGCACTAAAGTTGCACTGATCATATTTTCCTCTTCCTTCCTCCATGTATATAAGAAGTTTTTCTTTTTTTATCTCACAAAAGCTCTTTTTAAATAGATGTTCTTTCTCATCCCTCTGTTACTGTTCCTACAGCAAGTCACATTGTTTCATTGTGTTCTGCTTTGTTCGTGTCTTATTTTTAATTCACCCTCTCGTCTTGCTATGAATAGTCCACATATCAGCACAGAGATGGACAGACTTTTCTACACTCACTGATTTACATAGACTTGCTGATCCTGAGTTACCCCTCAGTGAACAGCCTTAGGCTGCACAATGGATGCCCTCTAAATTACTGCAGTTTCTCCATACCTTATGAAAATGTAGAGAGGGAAAACTAGTTTTAATTAGCTGAAAACTGTTTGAAAGAATGTATTTCTTTTTTATCACCCAAATATTATGTGTTCAGAGGAGTGAGCTGCGAGTGTTGACACAGATGACAGCATCTTTGGTGACTGTTGCTCCATTTGTTTTGATTGTTACTACACCTTCAAGCAAGCTATGCCAACTTACACTTACTCTCCTTGCAGTAACATAAATCTGGACTGAATACCCAGAAATGCATGGGAGTTTTACAGGTGCACGTGAGCAATGAATCATGCCTGGCAGGAGTATGCCTATTATTCAAAAAGAAAAAAGAAAAAAGAAAAAAAAAAAAGTCTCCCAGAAATCTGTACTTGTTAAAGCATATGCCTGGAAGTAGCATGTATTTTCTGTGCCTTGGTATTGTATTTTTAATGTGCTTTTTTCACTTTTCTTTCTGCCAGCTTCTGTTTTTCATTGAAGTCAGTGATGCACAGCCTGTCCTTAATTACTCCAATACAAAACTTCACTCTTAATCAGTGGAATGAGTTGATTTCTTCAGCACTTACACTGATGTAATTTGTACGTGGCAGAATCTGGCCACTGGTTTTGATGACCCTAAGAAGTGGCTGTTCTGTGAACTTCTCTTTGTTTTTTTGAATACTATTTCAGTGGTCTGATAATGTCTTGTGGGACTATGAGTAGCTTGCCTTATTATCAGATATGATACAACTGTCATTGAGAAGTGGAATAAAATTACTTTTACTTCATCTCCATTCTGGTATGTGGGAAGTTTCTTTCCTGTTTTTTGTTTCAAACAGTATTTTCCCTTTCTCAAACTTATCGGGTGACTTCAGAGTTAAGTCAATGGAAGCAAACATGGGATTTCTGCCCTACGTTGTTCTGTTCAACCGATCTATACTGTAGCTAAAACGTGCAGAAGTTGTTTGAGATGAGCTGCCACTCAAAATCTCAGCAGGTTGGGCTGTTGGCTTTGTTTTCAAGGCAGCATCCAGAGAAAGAGTGGTGGGGCATATTCAGAAGGGTCCATCGGTGTTCTCAGTGGGGCTTTCCTACCACAGCTGGGAAAGGCAGCCAGGTGAGCTCACTACAATAGGTGACACAGGTCAGCACCCACTGCTTTGCATTGCACTCATCAAAGTGAACACCACTGCATCGCTGCAGTAACATTTTGGACACAAAATATTCCATCCCAGCACTGCCACTGAAACCAAAGCACGTGGAATGGGAGGGGAGAGAGAGTTTCAAAGTTCTCCGAGCATTAGAGGATACACAACTTGAAGTAGTTTCTCCGAGTGCCTAAGCAGAATGTAGATCAATAGGAGCGAGTCACCTGATTTGTTCGGATGCTTTTGAAAACCATAGTGGAAATCTAACTTGCATCTTGAGGCTCATAAATATCTCTGAAATCTCACTCATAAGATAAATGGGAATTGAGCCATTGTAACTTCGGTGCTTCTGAAGATAAATGGTGCTACCTCACAGTGCTATTGATTGGTATAAAAATAAAAGCTTTATATTAAACTACTTGATGTGACAGATATGGGAAAATGCAGCAATTCCTCTAATGTCCTTTAGTGCTTCTGTGTCATAGGTAATCTTATTTCTGCTTTACTGATATATTGATATCATTTCTCTTCATTTATTTATGCTTGCATATGCTTCCAACCATGCTTGAGAATGCAGTTGAACACAAATCCTTCTCCTCCCCTCTTGGGCTGGAAATGAATGCACTCCTTGTCCAACCAAATCATGTTGTTGTAGGTTTGATGGACCCAGACAAAATGAGGTAATCAGCATCTTAATCTAGTTTGAAGAAGAGGAAATAACATCTCACTACATAAGCCATCAAGACCTTGGGTGCCAGCAGTAGCTGTGCAAGGCAAGATGCTGTTGTCTGACTGAGAAATTAATGTCTTCTTTTTCTTTTGAGAGCCACGCAAACAAATTTCAGTATCTACGACAGGCACAGGAGATTACACGTCCTTCATCACCATCTGTCTGGATTTGGATTTGACCCGTTATTACTATGCATTGCACCTGCCAAGGCAGATGAGAAAAAAAGAGTTGTCTTGAGCATGTTGTGATTTTTGCTATTTTGTGAAATAGAAGGGGAGGAGGGGGAAAGCAGTAAGATGTATTTCAACTCAACATCTGTGCCGTGGTCAGGAGAATAGTCTTCCTTTCATACAGCTGCTTCAGGCTTCCAGTTTTTTCTGCGGTCTTCCTGCATGCTGAGGGCACTGCTTATTGCCCAGAGTCCAACTCTCTTTTCCTTCCTGCATGTATTACAGGCAGAGACAGATGGAAACTTGAAATTGCTGGCCTCAGCTCCTGGATCAGATTAGCATCTTTAGCTTCTTCCAGGGCAGCTGCATTCTGCAAAACAGCAGCGTGCCTGTATCTTGATACGTAACCTTAGAGCATGGCTTCTAAATATATGAGGAGTTTCTTTGCTGCTGTCTGAAGGGGGTCAGCCAGACATTCAGATAGCATGGGGGTGTACATTTCATCACACTGCACAGCAAAGAAAACATCAAGAGGACAATGTGGAATCCTTTGGGTGCCTCCCTGCAAGCACATCTTGAACATCAGCGCTGGTTCCTCAGTTTGTGTGGTTGCAACCACAGTCTGTGAGCATTGTGGCTCGTGGGCCCAGAATCTGTTGCTTTTGTGCCTGTACCTATGGGTATGTGCACACAGTACGAGCTGTGCTTTGCCTTTCGACCCTAATCATCTCAAAATGAGCCAGGATACATCTGCTGGGCCAGTGGGCACACATCTCCCTCTAGGCTTGTTTCCTTACCTGGACGCTGGCTTTGCCAGTACTTAAGATGGATTTTGTTCCTAGTTTGCATCAGTAGGGAAGGGACTGTGCCACCTTCTGAGTTAGCCTTTATTTTGTATGCACTGTGTGTGCATATATGCACAAGAGGATGCATCTGAAATACCAGATTTCCCAAAACAAGTGAGATTTAAATAAAAGGAAGTCACTAATTGACATGGGAATAAGTTGATAAGCCACATCCTGCTGTGTGCAGGACAGTCTGCATGTCTGCAGCTCTTCCAAGAATCATAGGCAGTACACAGGCAGGTCACTGAAGGTGTGCAGTGCTGTGTTGGAGGAGAGACGCTGAGCAGGGATGCAGTGCTCTGCCTGCAACTGATTTTTATGCTCACTCACCATTTTCCACCTCCCAAACACAACGGCATGTTCTGCATGCACCACAACGGCACGCCTGCCTTGAAATGTGAGTGAGCCTTTAAGGAGGCGGCCCAACTTGACTTCCTCTGCAGCCCGGCCAAATGGGCTATATTCAGAAGTGACCTAAATGGAGAAGGGTGGTATGAGAAGGATCGCTCAAGCAATAGAAAGCTGAAGGAACAAATCCAGCATGCCAAGGTAGAATGGAAGGTTATAGAAATTTACCGGGGAGGTTTCTGCACTTTATTTTTTCCTGTCTTGGGCTCTAGGATAAATTCTGCTGCTGCTACCAGCTGACTCACTTGTCTCTGTGGCACAGAAGGAGCACTTGCTCATATATCCTTTATAATGTGATCTGTGTCATGTCTGAATTTGATCTGCTAGCTCATGACTGAGGATGGCTCCTCTGTTTCTATCATATCTATCTGCAGGGCTGAGTCAGCTTCCACTTAGCTTGCAGCTACTTCTCTTTGACTAAATAAGCTTATGTCATGTCAGATACCAACGGATACATCAGGATTTTAAAACACACAGTCCAAGATATTTGGCCACTACACTTAATTTTTCAACACATTTCAGGCAAGAGAAGGGGAAGCTCCAGTGAAATGAAGGGGTGCACACCAGAGCAGTCTATGAGGCCGTGATGAAACATGGCAGCCGCATCTACATGCATCTCAACCAGAGTTCAGTCATTTTGGATTTCAACCAACTCCAGGAGATTGTCCAAACAGGTCAAATGGGATTTTGACCTACAGCATTGGTGGTCGTAGCATCCCTTCCTTGTGTTACCTGATGAAGAAGGATGGGAAATGGTAGCTCTAGAAGATAGGCTGACTCAATGGTAAAGTTGTCACTTAACTCCTCAGCATTCACTTGACTCCATTTAAACTGTAGTTTTGATTTATCATTGCAATTTAGATGATACTTTCCATGGAAATCTGCGTAGTTAACCCCAGCTGGATCCTGAACATACCAGAACAAGATAGTGTTGAGTGCTGCATTTGTATTTAACTAAAAGGTTTTGCAATAGTCACATAACACAGCATCGTTTCCCTTTGGCTGATGATTGGGAAAGTCATGCTTTTAGAGGCAAGATGGGGATTTCTGGCTCATCATTTTCTCTAATTCTTCTCAGTGAAAACATTTAAAGTCACTATTCATGGGCATCTCCCAGAGTTGTAGGGCAGAGTACACAGCTGAACACCTAATGAGGTTAGTGTATTACCCATGCAAGGAGTGCTTACTAAAGGCTAAGTGGCCTGTTGCTGTGTCCTTTGTCTCATAAACATGACAAAACTGAAGTTTGTCAGCTGTCAACAACAGACAGTTCCAATGGCAAGTGACTGCTCTGGTATTCTCACTAACCAGGAACCTCATTTGTGGTGAAGAAATATGGAAGACTGGATGAAAGAATGCTGTTATGTCCTCATCTGGCAATAAGAGCAGGAAGGTTAAGGGAGGTGTGTGAAGGAAAGGGAGTTTGTAGCCCTCCTTTAGAATGTGGAGACAGGCCTAGGGTGAGGTAGGGGGAATTTTGTATGCCCTTCAGATTGCAGAGCATGGAAGGAGGCAAAAAAAAACATCACAAATTTGCCTCCTTTGAAAGGGAGGAGCAAAACTGCAGTGCTCTGGAGACGCAGCGGGCAGATGAGCTCTGCCAGGCCATCGTGGCATGTCTGCAGCTGAGCTCTCATTTCCCACATCTCCTTTAGGAACAGCTGTGAGCGAGCTGGGCTCTCCTTCAGGCTGATAGGAGAAAATGATACTGCAGTGCATGTATGACCATGCATGTGTCCACTGCTTCGGTCCTGTGCAAGGCAAGGAGCTCCCAAAGGCTTTGGAGTGACACTGCATGGGAAGCAACCATTCTGTCTTAATACCAAAGCTTTAAATTGAGAAAAGCTTGGACTTTTCTTACCCAACAGCCTTGTGGGCTGTCAGCAGGCCTTGTTCTGGAGTGTGTTATCAGTCTGTGTTTTTTGTATATAAGAAGACCATCGTAAAGCAGCGATGAGCCCTAAAGTGGAGATGCTGCTGCTTGCAGTGCATCCGGCTCTGCAGGCTGTCACAATGGCTCCCCAATGGGCAAAGTGCAGAGGTGTGAACCTCCAACCTGCCCTGCGTGTGCATTTGTGCCAGGGGAAACCCAACCATCGGGTCTGCAGGGAAAGAATATGAGCGTGCTAACCTGCATTAAGTATCAAAACAGCAACAGCTGCATTTTATAGCAGTGTAAGAGCTCTGTGGAAGCTGGGAATGGGCTCACAAGCCCTGTGATGGGCGCTCCCATGCTCAGGGCATTTTGCCCACGGAAGACAAATTAGCAGCAGCTGTTCCTGCAGGCAGGCAGCAGGAGCCAGCCACGCTCCCAGGGCTGGGCACGGGGATTCTGTCGATCCCAGCAGAATTCTTCCTCCGCGTCACAACGTGCCACAAGGAGACGCTCTGATCTGATAGAGAAAAAAAAAAAACAACACAACCCTTCCGTCCGTTTGGCCCGAGAATAAAAAGCAGTTCTCCTGCAAAGGAAAGCAGGGCCCAAACCGCAGCCTGCGCAGCTCATGAGAGAAAAGAGAAAGCAGCAAACTTTTAGAGCCTGGGCGACATGAGACAGTTCCAGAAACACGGCGTGGAACTCCGTGTGGGATTTACCGAAAAGCTTTCCAATTTCCAACTCGGAGCAGCGCTGCGGCCATCACCGCACAACCGCAACGCATTTCCTGCCCGGCGCGGTGCGCGGTGCGCGGTGCGCGGTGCTCACTCATTTCTCACCCCCGAGTCAAACCGGAGCTCCTGGAGCCGGCGGAGATCGGCTGCCCGCTGCTCATCACAGCGGTTCGGCAGCGATAAAGCAGACGCAGGGCGGCGGTAAAGGCCCGCGGCGCCGAGAACGGGAACCGCCGGACGGGAACCAGCGCTGCGAGGCCGGCTGTCGTCCGGGCGGCTGGCGGGGCACGCGGAAGCGGAAGCGGAAGCGGGGCGGGCGGGTGTCGCGGCGGGCGGAACCGAGGGGCTCCGGAGCGCCGAGGCGTTACGCGTGGCCGCTGGCGTTTTGCGTTGCTTGTTATTGAGAGCTGCCGTTTGTTGTCTGTGCCGTGTGATGCGATTCTCGGGTACGTTCGGATGAGTGGTGCTTCTTGCTGTTCGGCTCAGAGCCCGGGATGATGCTGGTTTTTTCTTTGCTTCGTGGTTATTTGGTTTCTAAAATGCACGTGCTAACTTGGCTGCTGCTCTTTTAGGGCCTTAAAAATGGGGAACACGAGCAGCGAGCGAGCCGGGCTGGAACGTCATGGGCACAAAGCATCTCGGGCTGATGGTGCGGGAGGAGCCGGCGGCACCAAGGATGGGGACAGACCGAAGATCTTAATGGACAGTCCCGAAGATGCGGACCTGTTCCATTCGGAGGAGATGAAGGTAGGGCTGCTGCTCGCCTTCAAACGCCTTGGGAACGCTGGGACAGCCTGACAGCTTTACCCGTTTAACCGCAGTGCCCCATCTTCCTTCCCATCCTTAATGCCTTGCAGTCACCAGTGTTGTTTCATCTAATGTTATTTTTGATATTGAAAGATCCCTTCGCTGCTTTTTTTGCTCGTTATGAGGGGGATCGCTGGAAACTTCTTGCTGTGTTTTGTGTTTGGTGAGGCAACCTACCAGAGCATTGCAGAGCTGTGTCCTGTAACTTCGCTGTAACAAACCACAGGTTTTGTGCTTACCCCAACCTCACTGCTTCTTAAGTGTATTTCCTCTTAATTATTCTTTTCCTCACTACTTATATCAGTGTATTTTGAAAGCTTTCGTGAGCTCGTGTCGTTTCTTTTGTACGTTACCATCCATTCTTTCTATAAACTTGGAAGGCTTTATCTTCTTTGCAGAATACTTGCTAACTAATGGCATCTATAAGTCTAATGTTACTGGGCTTTATGAAATTGCACCTAAGCACAGAATTAAATGGAGTGAAATGCAAGCTGTCTAAGGTTGCAAAGAGGGAACTTGTATTGATCAGGATGTTGTGCTCGTAGGCGCCATTGGATAAAGAAGAGTTCCTGGCTTGGCAGCAGGATCTGGAAGTGAGTGATAAAACCCCCACTCAAGCTCGACCAACAGTTTTTCGCTGGACCGGAGGAGGGAAAGAAGTGTATTTATCTGGGTCCTTCAACAACTGGAGTAAAATTCCTTTGACGAGGAGGTAATACACCTCTGTGGTGTCAGTGGTGTTCCCCATGGACTGGGAATGCTTAGAGCAGTGGGAAAAGTGCTTAGCTGATATTTGTATCGTATTGTGCTCTATTGCACTGCTTGGCAGCTGCTCTCCTTCAGCTCCCCAAGACTGAGTTTCTTTTGGTTTTTCTTTTCTGATTTTTAGATGGCTGGGAATGAAAGTTGGGTTGTGTGACATTGCCCTGAAAAAAAAGCAGGTTCATCTGCTGTCAGGTTTGGTATTGTAGGGGAGGAAATATCTGAGCTGTTTAGAGGCTGTTTAGGAATGGCATCTGCTGAAGTATCAGAGTTCATTGTGCTCCTTGCTTGAGAATAAGTGAAGAGATGCAGTGGCATCGATGGCCTGTTTGAGTTTGTATGGGAACTGTTGACTCCCAGCCTAAATTGAGCACATGGGGAAAGGATCTGGTCAGCCCTGGGAGCACAGGTGAAGGCAATTCAGCTGTGTGATAGGAAGGGCTGGAGCCTGGCTGCACCTCTCTTAGACCTCATTGAAGGGCTGGCTGCCACTGGGGAAGGATCTCTGGTTGTATTTTAAAGTTTTTGTATGCTAAGGGAGTTGTATCTGTGCTACAGCATTTGTTACAGTGTATAGGCTGGTTCACTTCTCAGAGTATTTCAGGAGTGACTTTGTTCAATTCCAGTCACAACAACTTTGTGGCAATCCTGGACCTGCCAGAAGGAGAGCACCAGTACAAGTTCTTTGTGGATGGGCAGTGGACACACGATCCTTCAGAGGTAGTATTTTCTTCAGTGCACTGTATTTCTTCCCTGAGGTATGTGAAGAGAAAAAAACTGGTTGATTTCTGTACCAGTAGATGGTTTTTGTTTATTAACAATAAAAACAGATGAAGCTGGTGAGAGACATAGTGATCCCTGCAGGTGATGCCATCAGGCTGACAGCCCCCAAGGACAGGAGGCTGTGTCATGAATGGGTGTTGAAATCTGTTGGGTCTTAATTTTAAAGAGATTGTGAACTTTTCTTGTCTGGTGCCAAACTGTTTTGTAAAGCATTACAGCACTGCTGACAGCCCAAGTCTCCCTGTGTTGTGCTTGCTATCTGTGCCCAAGTCATATGGACTTAGTGTGTTCAATTGACCCAAGACCCTCCCTACCCCTAAACACTGCTCCAGTCCCTTACCTGAACAATAACTGCAGTGGTCACCTCATCTGGTAACCAGCCTGTTTTAAAAGCAAAGTGTCTCATTTGTGCTCACTGCATAGTTTTGAGAATTCTAATAGTCTGCAAGCATTTTTATTTTGGCTTCTGTATCTTTTCTCTTCCCAGCCTGTTGTAACCAGCCAGCTGGGTACTGTCAACAACATCATCCAGGTGAAGAAAACTGACTTTGAAGTATTTGATGCTTTGATGGTGGACTCCCAGAAGTGTTCAGACATGTCTGGTATGAGCTTGTTAGTAATTTTGTATCACGTGTTTTAAAGCTGTTAAAACTTTCACCTTCCTTTATGCCTGGAGTTAGAGCTCTGTATAAATTGATCTCCCTTTGTGTAAGGCCCTCAGGCATCACAAATGCAAAGAGGAAGAAAGTGGAAGTGTCTCTTTACACCTTTTCCACGTGTATATGTGATTTTGGTCCTTCCCTTGGAGGTAACACTCTGGCAGTGTTTGATATTAAGTGTTTGCTGCAGAAGTGGCAGGGGAAGGTCTGGAGTGGCTGAATGGCACTCAGCCTCCCAAACCTGCATGGCTAGTGTGAAGGCAGACAGACTTTGGGTACCTTAAATCATTTATTGGGCAGTGACTGATCCTGTGGTATTGCATCTGCTGCTGCAGCTCGTGAGCTTTTAGAAGCCATGCGTTTCTTTTGGCCTCACATTCCTGGATATGAAAATTCACCTGGAGGACTGGAAGACATAGGTATAAAGAGCAGATATTTAAGAGTAAATATTTCACATCTTTCTGACAGAGTTGTCAAGTTCTCCTCCAGGACCATACCACCAGGAGCCCTATGTCTGTAAGGCAGAGGAGCGCTTTAAATCTCCACCCATTCTTCCCCCACACCTGCTGCAGGTCATCCTGAACAAGGACACGGGTATTTCTGTGAGTACATCAGTCTGTCTGCTGAATGAGGGCCTTGAGAATGCGAATGGATGGGGAAAAATTGGGGTGCAGACAGAGAGCACTCAAGGAAGAGTCTTAGAATAGATGCCACTTTGGAAAATTCCCTGTTTAACACAGGGAGTTTTATGGATCCAGATGGATCCATGTGAAACAATTTCTCTAACTTGACTCTTATTCAAAATTGAAAAGAGAACTGGATTGCTGTTTTACAGCCAGAAATCCCAATCTTTGAACTACAACATTTAAAAGGTTGGAAGCAAATAAGAAGTAACTGAGATCTGTTCCATGGTGGCAGTGAGGACTCAGGGTTTCACGCTGGAGGGATCTTGGTTTGTTTTGAAACTTTGTCTGTGTTTGCTGGTGGGTCGTGTGTACGAAGCAGCATGATGTATGTGAGCATGCAGCTTGTTGCAGATGGTGTTTATCACCCATAAGCTCTGAGAAGTAAACTGTGAGTTCTGTTGTTTTCACGCTGTCTCTCATTCTCTTTTTTTTTTTCCCAGTGTGATCCTGCTTTGCTTCCTGAACCCAACCATGTCATGCTGAACCACCTCTATGCCCTTTCTATCAAGGTGAGAGGCCAGGATGCATGCTTCACACTTGCAGCTTTCAGATAACCATGTCATATGCTCACTTGTTTTCCATCTCCTGTAGGATGGAGTGATGGTGCTCAGTGCTACGCATCGTTACAAGAAGAAATACGTGACTACCTTGCTATACAAGCCAATATGAACATCATAGTAGCTTGTCACCAAATGTTCTGGGCCAGTGCAGTCTCAGAAGAAAATGCTTCTCTTAACCAAACGTATTCCTCCTCTGTGCTTTAGCAAATGAACTCTGACTTCACGTTGTTTCTGAGACTTCAGGTTCTCCTACATTTGCCTTATTTTCCTGATCCCACAGTGGAAGTTCTTGGAAATGGCAGCTCCGTGTCAGCTAGACCGATGGCAGATGTGTCAGTGCCCATGGTCAGCTCACTTCAAAAAAGAAAAGCAAGCACCAATACAGTAAGGCTGAAAAATGTGAGGGTAGTAAAACAGATTAAGGACTTTCAGTGAGACAAATGATAAGAAACAAGCCAGCTCAAAGTCTAGAACATTCAGGATTCTTGTGGAATCTTATCTGAGCTCAGCATTCAGCAAAAGCAAGCCTTTTATAACTGCTTCATCACTTAGAATGCATCAAAGCCACAGTTATTTCAGTAGCAAGTTCCAAACTTGCGTGGCTGAAATAAGTGTGAATAGTGATGATTATTTTGTAGCAGCCTTTCTAGGCTAAACCATCAACACAATCACCTACGGGTTCATTTTTATTTTACAGTAGATTGGGGTGCTCTGTTTCTACTGTGAATAGCTCTGTAGTTTTTCTCTTCGTGAGAACTGAATTACAATTTTTCCCCTGTGGAATTTCTGGTAAAGACAATTGTTTTTAATGGCTGGGTTTTTCTGTCAATCCTAGACGTGTCTTGCAGTGATCTGCTTATTTGCAACCAAATTCCCTTGCTGTCACCGATGACTTCGTCACGCTGGGTGAGGTGGCTGAAAGGACAGCAGTAGGTTCAATGTAGGGTCTTGTTCTTCAGTAACAGCCTCTGTCAGACAATTCAAAGGTGACTGTAAGTTAGCTGTATCCCAGTGGCCAGACTTGACTGCTGGTCAAAACCAGCTGGGCTCCTGCACCAGGTTGCAGCATTGACTGCAGGTTGAAAATCCCTGATGCTTCCAAAGCCAGGCCTGTGGCCATCTGTGCACATTTTAGTCTATTCATATTTTCTAAGTAAGTGAATACAGTAATACCAGGTTGCCTGTATGTACTTACAATTACTTGCAGCCTGTTTTATCCCCAAATAAATGCAATGTTAATGTAAAACTGCCTGGCAGCATGCCTCAGATCTGTCCTGGGGGAAGCAGCTTGGGAGGTGACCAGCTGGATCTGTCCTCTTTGGTGTTTGGTGCCTGAGAGCATCAGTGCCTGTGCCAATGATCACCAGCCCCTCTCCTACAGTGGGGAAGAGCACATTGATCAAATCAGTGAGGAGTTAAGTGGGGACAAAAGCAGCCAGCACTCAGTGGAACCAGCCACAGCAGAGGAGGACTTGCCATCCTCCACTCTGTTCACAATCCTCGTTGCAATATTCCCAGTAGCTCAGTAGATCTGGGTACAGTGCAATGGTTTTCTTTGAAAACTCTCTTCATTCTGTGCTATGGAAACCATGTGGTATACTGAAATATGGAATTGCTTTTGTTTTCAGCCTTGATAGAAACAAATAAATAAAACATTTTCAAGGAAATGGTTGACTTGCTTTGTTACTATCTTTCCCAGTTTCTTGGTGGCCTACACTTCCTTGAGTTGTCCTTTGCTTTGAGCCAGATGATTGTGGTTTTTAGGCCTTGGTGGATGGGGTAAGCATTTCACTCACAGTTGCAGCTTGGTCACTATGTTGAGGGTATGCTAGCATGTACTCATAATGCAAAGTTTATAGGAAGAAGAGTCCAATTATTTATCACAAGCCCCAGTGATCGGGTCAGAAAAACTTGATATCAGCCTTCAGCCTCCCCTGGATGTTTTTGTTACAGCCCCCCCTTGTGCACATGGCTTTATGTGTGTGAGGGTTGTTTTGTTTCTCCATGACAGCGTGTGAGGGTTTGTTTCTATTTGCCTTCTGGTGAGATGCTGTCAAATTTCCATGAGGAAGCATGCTTTGGTAGGTTACTGTGACCACAGCCGTTCTTTGTTTGTCTGCCATAGAGAACTCTCATGCTTTCATGAAGTAAGCAATGACTTTTTCCATAGCAGCTTCCACAACGGTGCAGCTGTAGTACAGGGGAGCTGTCATGCTGCAGCAATGTGACTGGGGTTCTCGTGCTTTGCTGTCAGCATGCTAAATGTGGACGTGGTGTTTTATCAGAAATGTTGATAGTACTGAAAGAATAGAGGAGCAGCTTAGAGGTAACTTATTTCTTTTTCCTGCAAGGCAAAGTTTTGTGCATGGCGAAGACTGAAGAAGCAGGAACTCTGAGACGTGGAGAATAGAAAAGAAAGGTGGAAGTATGCAAGACTTAAAAGTATTTATGGATGTGGCTTTGTGGATTTTTTTCTCCCCCAATTAATATAGGCATGACTCACTGCAGGCTTTTCATCAGCAATGAGATGATGGAGCCACAGGCTGGAGCCAAACACTTTACAGGAAGCCGTTTTTGTTTTTTTTTTAGATTTGCAGACTGTAGCCATCTCTCAGAAGGCAAAAAGCATTTGTTACGTGGCATGCAGCTGGCAGTGCACCATTAACTCCTGCAGTTGCCCACAGGATGCTCTGCTTGTGCCCTTCAGAAAGCAGGGGAAGGGGCTGGATGAGAAAGCCCAGCACACCACACCGAGGGCTCCACTGCCTTAGTTCTGTGATCACCTCCATCTTTCTTTGTTCTGCTGCCCAAAGGCCCAGGGGCCTTTCCCAAATGCAGGGGGCATGTGGTGGAGGCGTGGCATTCTCTGGCACCTATGGCAACCACAGCCTTCCTCCAGGTGAGCCAGGTATCCCTCAGCACCCATATCTCTTTCTGGTCAGCAACACCAACTGCGGGCTCAGGTCCCTGCTGGCCGGAGTGCTGATAGAAGAGGTAAGTGGGTTTGGTTTGGTTTCTCCTTGGAAAGGAGAAGTTGTTGCTGTTATTAGTTTTGCTAAGTTGTCTTCTGCTTGACAGGTGAATGAATGAGATTAATTGCACTGCAGTCCCTTCTTGTAATGGGATGAATCAAATCCCTCCAAAAGCAAGAGCTTGAGCAGGAGCTGGATTGATTAGCTCACTTAAATCCCCCACCCACATCTCACAGTCTGTGCTGTTATGTTTATTCTTGGCTGTTGCTAAGAGAGCTGTTGCTTTATTTTTCAGTGCCTTTTGTTACACTCACTCTGGAGTAAGCCTTGTATTCTGTAAATAAGGAGAGCTCCTGTCCCCCGCCCCCCACCCCTAAGTCTCAGCACTCACATGGTGGTCAAGCTGAAGTGTTTTGTGCAGGGTTCTTGATAATCAAAAGGCTTGATAAGTAATTTCTTTTACTCCACCAGTTTCTGGATTATTTTAGTTTTGTTACAATTCTGATCATGCATCATAGGACTGCAACAATGAGCTTTAAATAAGTATTCTTTGTGCACAGTAAAATAGAAATGAACATTTAACAAGTTAGCATTTCATCATATACATCAGATAGTAGGCACAATAGATAAATCAAGCAGCTTGGTTTTTTTTTTTTTTTTTATGTAGAGCATTTTCATGAAGAATGCCATGTAGACCAAAATGTAATCGGAGCTATTAGTAACCCTCCCACACACCCTCCAACAAGCCCTTTATTGGGGGTAAGGGGGCGGCTATGTGCACAAAACCAAAAACACTGAACAGTAGGAGGACAAATTAAGTTACCGTAGGCAGCAGTGTGAATATTAAAAACCTCTTCCTGTGAAAGAATACTTCAGACCCTGTAAAAACTGGTTCAGTTAAAAATAGATGTATTTACATTTAAGTCTGATCTAGCAAGTTTTCCCAGCAGGTGTAAGTTAAGATGTACAGCAACTCTGCAGGTTGTACTCAATCTGAATTAGATTTGTGAATGTTTCTTTTCTTAAAAAGTTGCAGCTATTAGGCCTTAAAGCACCAGCATATTGCAGCGGTGGGATGAGTAGCTATCTGTCCCCTTTGCTACCAGCACACTGCTGGGATAAATCCCAAACCTGTCGTTAGATCACACTACTGCTAATTAGATGATGTTGTTTTATTCCAGCTCAAAATGTATGGGTCGTTTAGCAGGGCCACCTTCTTCTCCCTTATACTCACACGTGTCTTAGCTCTACCCACATCACTGGTTAAGTAGGTGAGGGCAGAATTTAGCTGTAGGTGTTCGCAGCTCACTGCTGCTATAGTAAAATAGTTGGACAAATCCATCTGTTGTCGTTCATATGAACATGCTTTGCTCTTGTGAAGCCACTTACGCTACTTGTTCAGGGATAACAACTATTAAAATGCTAAATAGTCAAGGTCAGCTCTTTGGTAAGCATCGATGCCTATAGATTACACAGCTTCTAATGCTGGGTGCAATATTAGGATGGCTTTGGGATACTCTGTGTAGAAGGAAGCGTTCATTTCACCATGCCAGTCAAGATAGTTATTTGTTTTATTTGGTTATTGTTCAACAACAAAGTTCAATACTTTCCAGGTGGAGCTTTGAACTGTCCCTCTAGTTCCCTCCCTCATCAATAATAAAAAGGTAATGAAGAAAATTCCTGTATTTTTAGATACCTAAAATCTCATTTATGCTAACAAGCTTCAGTTGCAATTTAATGTTACAATTATTTCTTCATGGGAGCTAGGAGGATTAAGCTGAGGCCCCTCCAGTGTCTGAAGATGGCTGTCCACAACCACCATTAAAACAAAAAAGCTAGTGTTGAAAAACACACAGTTTACAATAAAAAAGTAGAAACCAATTCAATTCCCTTTTTGTTACGAATATAAATTTTCTTGTAAATATGTACAGTCCTTTGAGCTATTTCTATAGCAGGAAGCATTTCACAAACAAGACACAAGAGATACGCTTTCAAGACTCAACAGGCCCATTTCTGAGGTCTTGAAGATCTTCCATGAGATGCAAAGATTTAAAGACTGATCTCAGTGACCTTTCAAAGTATTCAGACCAGGAGACAAAACTTTCAGCAAGTTTCCTGCCATATAGTCTGATCTAAAATAACCCAACAGACAAGAAAACAGAATACAATATTCATGAAACTTGCCAAAGGACACTGACAAAGGACATTTGACTTCTTATGGATCTTTAGGACAGGTTAGCATGGGCTTGCAAGGGACTAGCAGAAGTTTAAGAGGATGGCCAAGGGAAGATTGGACGCAGTTTTGCTCTTTCCAGTTGTAAAGAACATGGTTGTTCACTTAGGATGTCGCTATCGCAGACTGAATGGTCAAAACCTGCTTTGAAAATCATTTGCTCTCTGCTTCATGGTCACGGCAAAAGAGAATAGAAAGCAATAAATGGCTCAAGGTTAGATATGCAGAAGCAAAGGCAAAGGTGGTCAGTAACCGCTAAAGCTGTTCATTGTGAGTATCCTCTTGTGCAGTGACAGGTGGTTCTTATTGTATGACAAGCTACAGGTCACACGGAGGGCCCAGCTCTGTGCTGCTTTTCTCTCTTGGGATCTGAGCAGAGATCTGTGGTGTAACTACTGAACAGACCGTGTTTAATGCAGAGAGAACACGTGTGACTGTAATTCTTGTCATAGAATAAGGCCCGTTAACTCTTCTTTGCCAAATTGCCAGAGTAATTAACAGTTATTTTGCAGCGTAATCTAGAGGTTTCAGTTAATTTACAAGTGAGATACAATACACTACTCAGCAAAGCAACCTAAAAGGAGAGAGCAGCCAGTGATGGTGCAGCAGCATGCAGTGAACTGTCATGCAGAAGACCTGGATAAAGTCTTAACACCCCAGTAGCTTATAGATAATGCACTTTGTCTTGGAGTAGGGCACACGGGCTCATTTAAAGCAGGGTTCTTCCCTCCCCAACAGAGCTGCTCTAGAGCAATTTTAGTGAGAACAAAATAACTCTCAAAAGTGGCAGGTGAACAGACTCATCAAAAGTAAATTTTTTTGTGTGTTCTGTAGAGAATATCCAATCATACTTTCTATTGAAAGACTCGGTCACCTTGGCCCTTCTGGTTCCAGGCCATTAGGAATTCCCAGCACATCTCGGAACTACGATCAATTATCTGGTAAGGGGTGCTAACCACATTGAAGACCTGGGGTGGGACTCCAGTCCCATTTAATTTCCTTGATGAAGTACTAGGGACTATAGTGAATACAAAAAGTTCATGAACTGCTTGAAAGAGTAACAGTAGTACAAAGTGCAAAAACAGGAGTGCAGGAAAGTGCAGAGAAATTAACTGAGATGCGAACAATCTTCAAAAGCATCACATCTCCTGATATGAAGCTAGCTTTGGCCCAGAAATGCTGTTTTGGTAACTGGGCAGCAGACATATGGAGTGCATATTACTCAGTATATTTCCTTTTTTTTTCCTGCAGGTCAAGATGAGTAACTTTGTCTAGCTGAGACTTACACTGAAGACTGGTCCCAGACCTGGCAGGGAAATAAAATGACAGTTACACAATGCACATATTGTTTCTACAGAAGCACAGGTGCCAGAAGCAGTACATCACCTAACCACTGCTGCTACAACTGAGTGAGTGCTGCATGTCTGCTTGCTTCCTGGTGGCATAATGCTTAAACCACTGACAAAGGAAAGCATCAGCATCACACTGATCATGGCAGGCTCCCACATTCATTTCTCCGGTCACTATCTCGCTCTCAAGCTCTCAGTGACTTGATTTCTGTTAGTAAAACCTTCACTTTCATGTCTAGAGAACTTTAGCCTGTTCTCAAGTCAAGCTGCTTTTGCAGTTACAGAACTAACGCAAGGGAAGGGTGTTCACAGGGTCAGGAAGTTACACAACTTCAAACGCTCTGTGCTTCAATAGGAGCAGGGTGAGATCGGATTTGCTCTTACACTTTACAGCACCACCAGCCCTTCCAAAGTCCACATCTTTTCATGAGATTAGAGATGATCTCCAAGCTCCCCACTTACCTTGTTGACTTGAGCAAGAGGAGTTCTGGCACCACTCACAGGCATTCGTCCTCGGCTGCTTTCATCAAACAGTCTTCCAGGGGACCTTTCTCTGCGGGTGCTCAAAAGCCGGCCTGGAGATTTCTCCCTCTCCAGTGGTCGCCCAGGTGATTTGTCCCTTCGCAGCTCTGTCCTGCCCTCACGGTACCGATGGGGTGTGCTTGGTTCTCGAGGGTGGCTGGGACCTTCAGGTGGTCCTGGGCTCGACGCTACCCGCTTGGTTATGTGCTCGTTGTATGTAGGCGGACCTCTCTTGTTAGGGCTGCTGTCATTCAAAAATAATGGACGCGAACAGCTGAGCGACAAAAACCTCATGTTACATTTCCTTTTAGCAAAAATGTAACTTTCCTGAAATCTCTAGTAGCGTTCGCTTGAAAAATCAGACCTCCCTAAGCCACGCTAAAAAGTGCAAACGTGGATCCATGAGGCCTAGACCAGGTTAAGATAAGCTACGCTTATCCCAATTTTTCAGTTTTCAGCATCACTATCAACTGTGGTATTTATGCACCTGTCTGAAGTACCACTGCCCTGCTGAACCCTGCTGAACCCTGCCTCCCTGCATGCTCTCCTTTAACAGAAAGTGACTCCTGATTTAGAAATTCTGACAGTTGATATTTAGTATCACACCATCGCAACCTAAACTCACCCTGTTTAAAGTCACAGCCAACATAAAACAGCTGAAGAGCTCAAAACATCCTTTACTTGTATTTGTGGAAGAGATTCGCCGCAGATTCCTACAGAGCTGATGTTTCTCAGTGCTCTGGATTTTAAAACATGAGGAACATTTCTTGTTCCATTCCAGCACTACAATAACTAACACTAGCCCCTGTCTCCAAGAATGAAGTGAGGGCGACAAACATTTAAGGGGGAAAGGATATCTGGAGTGAGTTTGCTCACACAAGGACCATAACATACCAGCTTAGCCATACCTGCGTGTTGCAGAAGATCCTCTGTGGTGCTCATTGTTGGTCTCCTTCACCAGATTGCCCTTGCAGCAAATCACCCTTAATTTATCTTGGTAGGAGGAGGCCAAGTAGATAGCTCCAGATGAAATTGCAGGCCCTAGATACCGTGGATTTGGAATCTCCAAGTGGGCTCGTGCAGGAGTTCTGGGTAAAATTGCAGGAAAAAGTATTTACAGTGACAACACTGCACTTTTTCCTGGCACATGCTGTTCAAAAGAATGAAAAGAGAACAACTTACCCTAGAGAAGCCCGTGCCTGAATCTCTATCACTTCAAGGGAATTGAAGTGGGTCACAAACAGATAAGGCTCCCTGTAGGCTGAAGGAACATCAGAGAGGCAGGAGAAATACAATACAAAGTTATCTGTTAGAAACTTATTAAAACGTTCTGTGAAGACAACAGAATGCTGGGAAGCCCACTGGGAAAAGCTAGGAAGAGTACATTTTCTGTGATGTCTTATTACAAACAAAATTACTAAGCAGAGAGATAGGAGCTTTGAGAATTGCTGCTATAAAACCACCTGTATCCAAAGAAATTTTACTAACTGAAGTAATATGAATAAGGCATAAAAATGGGCTATTAACTGAACAAAATCCAGTGAGTAGTGCAAAAGGCCTGAAGGAGCCACACTGAAATAATATATTCTTGACTATTTCAGGTATTTCCAAGCATCATCAAAAATTCCACTAGCCAGTTTAGTCACTGTCAAACTGAGAACATTAAGGGAATACATCACTTTAGTTTAGTCTGTCTCAACTGTTTACACCTCAGAAGGTCTGCCATTTGGATTTATAATGACATTCATCATGTGAGAATTGCCATAGTTTCTGGGAGAGCTGGGAGAGGGAAGAGGAAATGGAACTGCTGAGAGCAAAGAATACCTTTCCCACAAGTATGTTTCCTCATTTCAGTAATATCCATAACCACTGCACCTACCAAAAGCTAAAGGTAAACGATTCCATTTCAGGTCATCAGTCCTACTGCGTCTTCCATAGGAATCCACGAAGACACCAAACTCTGCCAAGAAAAGTAATGTCAAGTCATGAGCAGTTTTGAAGACACAAAGGATTCTGATAGGTATTTTTTTCCCAGTGAAAAAAATGTACATGATCTTGCAAGTCCCACAGGTTGCCTTGACATTGTCTAGACTTAAAGAGTACTTGGATACCAAAAGGTATTTGAATTCTAGGTCTCTTTGTACCAATTAAAGTAAGGTTATTATTCTGTCTGTTTCTGCAGCTGGGAACACTATACTACTCCTACTGTAAGACACTCAGAACTACTGCTAGTGGGTTTTTGAAGACTTCCTGTGCGTTTCCATGACACTATCCTAAAGGGCCAATAAAAGCAGCTATAAGAAAAAGTAACACACAAGACATTTAAGAAGTCTCTTCTATCAAGAATTCCAAAGTTTGAAAACCCCTTAATGTTTTATCAGGATAATCAAACACCTGTTTTACTGAACATTAACTACAATCCCTCCTGTCTGGCCACAGAAGACTACCTGTGGTACTGAGCCACAGGTACAGAGAACTTTTAAGCCAGAAGCAAGCTGATCAGAAGCACTGCAGAAAACTGGATCAGGAATAGTTATTTTAGCACCAATTTTCTGTGTATCTTCACTGTTTAAACCACCAGCTGCAAGTCTTTCAGGGCTTTTAGACTCACTATTTCTAAGAGGTCTTTTGTTACCAGGCCCTAGGAAGTCAACTCTATTGAGCTTTTGTTAGTTCCCATACCAAGAACAGATGTAGTGCAACAACTGTACAACCATACAATACACTTACCGTGAAAACACAGCAGATACTCCTCTCTCTGCCCTGTTGGGTTCACTTGGATGATGCTGACTGGGAAACTGTTGGTGGATGCAGCAAACACAGCGGAGGCCAAAGTGTGGTCATTTTTATCCAGGAACTCTGCAAAGAGAATGGAGAAAAACAGCTTGATCAGCACACCAACATTTTTTCCCCTAAAGCAGTACTCCACAGAATCTGTGGAACCATTTGGTGCATTCCTTAGAAAATGCCTCCTACCTTCTAGTGTGTACTGCTTCATCTCAATTTCATAGAACTTGTTGGTTCCAATAATGATGCTGTAAGTGGTCAAATGGATACAGCTGCAAGGCTCTGAGGTTTCAATCTCCTGGAAAAGAGAAGGAATGTATAGACCAGTGTTAGTTCCCTGTAATTGTGTATAGATATTGCTTATTAAGGAAGGTTACACAAGGGCTGCACTGAAAGTAGTGCCTCCTATTTTATTAAGTTGCCCCACAATATCAGAGGTGGATATTGGTGGCATAGCAGTAAAGGCTGAATCTTCTCACAAATATTCTGTTATATTTTGCTGCTGTTTGATAGATGGCAGCAGAGGGGAAGCCTGACAAAACAGCACCTAAAGCAAAGGTGTAGGACTGAATTCCTCCATGTGAACAAAATGGCATCTACTGACATTCATCGATGCTTGCTGAATGCTTGTGGAGATCTGTATGGGAACAGCTGAATCATGGTCTGAACCTCTGATTGATCATTGAGACGAATGAGTCAACCCTGGGAGCACAGGTGAAGGCAGTTCACCTGTTCTGCTGGAAGGGGTGGAACCTGGCTCCACCTCTCCTAGACCCATTTAAGAGCTGCCTACCAGTGGGGAAAGATCTCTTTTTCTAGAGATCCCTCCTTTGGAGTTTTGCAGCGAGCCCAGGATAAGGGTAAACACTCTTTTCTTTTTGGTATAATAACCTGCTTAGCCAAACTCTCTTGTTTATTTCATACTTATAAATCTGTATATTCACTGATTATACAAGATCAAACAGTGGATGTGAGCACAGTGAGGTGGTGGGTGGTGTGTTTCAGCAGTTTAAAAACACATAAAAATAATTTGTAAATAAATACAAGGCATTACTTTTGGAGCAACCTATGAATATTGCCACATCTATAACGGTGAAAGACAGTAACTTCTCAGCATCATGAAAAAATACTCCTGTTTGAAGGAAAAATTTTATTTGGTTGGAAGTGATGCTTGAATTGAGACTTGCAAGTCAACTCATCTCCAGGTGCTAACCTCATTGGGAACCTCTTCCTTTTAGAAGGATACATTATTCTGAAAGACTTTCTGCTCTGGTAGGTCAGTTTACTGGAATAGCAGGGAGTGGCTCCCTGCTTATTTGTAATAGCTTGCAGCCACAGCAATGACTGCATGTCTGAAAAGCTGCCTGGAGATGATGTAACAAACCGTTTGGCTTCTCTCTCTCCTAAATTGTAGCAATAGTCACATGTTTGTCTCCAGAGTCATAGATTTAATCTAGACTTCTTTAATCTCTATTGTCTATTGTTTAATCCTAGTTTATCTGGAAACTTAGTTGATAGAACAGAAGAGCATATTCTGGGCTTGCTGCCATCTTGTTAGGATCTAAATTCAGTTGTCTGGATCAGCAAATATATTGAAGTTGAATGGCAGTATTTGCAGAGACCAGCAGCTGTAGGTCATCAGAGTTTTCTGTCAAGTGGCACTCTGTCATGAGCAGGAGTTGGTGCTTGTACACGTTGCAGGTTTGCTGGCATCCATACTGAGTGTGCCAAGATTTGTCCAACACGTGTATTTCAGCTCTCCAGGAGGCGAGCATCTGAATTACTGCATGTCTGTCTGTAAGTGACTGGCGGGCTGAAGAAGAGTGGCAGAGCAAAGCAATGCATGCTCCACAACCATGCAGTACTAATGGTGCAGGTGGAGATGGCTACATGCACTGGAAGTATATGCACAGCCATGTGAGATTTGTATCTTACTGCCTTGTTGGCTGTATTTATCAGTTTATTCTGTGATGGGATAATACCAAATAAACTTTGATCTGCATTGGAACAGTAAACAAGTTATTTAATTGCAAAGAGAGAATTCATTTGTTGAGGATTTCTCCAAAGACAACCCACTGATGGGTAAGTAAGAAAAAAGCCTTCCTTGGGTAAATAAGCACATGTATGGGTACAGCTGGGTCCAGTATCTCAAAAACCTCAATTCTGTTCTGTCTCTCAACATATGCCAAACCTCATCACAGGAAATTGCTCTGTGCTCTCGCTTTACTCTGTGCACATAGCAATTTTCTATCACTTCTGCTGGCAAACAAACGTTCTTATGCATGCAAAAAAAAGTTCAAGATGTTTGCTCCAGAGCAACACAAAGCCTTAGTACAGTATAGGAATTACCTCAGCTACTGAAAGGAATTACTAAGCTTACCTTTCTGATACAGAACTTGCTCAAGCTCTCATTGTATCGCAGAACAACCACTTTATTGGGCATGGCTGCACAGATGCAAAGACCATTCTCAACCTGTAAGGAGGATTACAACCACAGGTTAGGGTGATAATAAAGTAAATTCTAATGCTGAATGTGTGGAACAGATCCAAAGACCTTTCAACACAAAAGGAAATTTGCAGAGATAAGCAAGTCCATTTTTAGTAGGGTAGTTATAGAGCAAAGTAGTGAAAGGATAACAAGCCTCTTCAGACTATCAAAGGAATATAAATTTGAACTGTTTCTATGCTGCCTTTCATACTTAGAATATGAAGCTTTTCATTGAAATCAATAAGAAACTGACTGGGAATTAGCAGAAGTATCATGTGATACAAGTAAGTAAGTTTGCTAGCTTGGAAACTGTTACATGACATTTGAGAACAAACAGTGGATGGAATTCACTAACTATAAATCTTAAAGCTGAAGCAAACTCTGAGAAGACTGCTGTGCTTTGATGTATTTCTTATTATACAGCAGTTTAGGTTATACCATCACGTCACCCTGACTGAATTTATTCATATCTGTAGTAGATTCTCCATCCCATCTCCGTCTCTTTTCCACCTATACTGCTCTTATTTGAAGAAAAAAAGATTTTAAACAAGAATACAGACCTTGGATTTGTTGCCAGTGAAATAAAGATGCCGATTTGATTAATATTAAACTCAGAGAAGCCAAAGGGTGCTCTGGGAGCAGGAGGGAGCTGTGTCCTACCTTGCCAGCAGCAAAAAGATGACATCCTTTGACAGCCTCAAAAATGTTTGGTGAGATATCAGGCTGGGCTGGAAGGTGAGACTGGGCTAGAGATTGCTTCACCTTTTTTACATCAACAAGACACAAAGCTCTTTCTTCTCCTGCAGACAAAAAATGGTTACATTTTGTCAAGGGAAAACTCCTTGTTCCCTGCAAGTCTTTTTTGTTACCTAAGCAGCAGCTTATCATTACAGGCTGTTACTGTGGAAACAGTCACAATGTACCATGTAGAATTCATTTCATATTATTCCTATTAAAAGTGAAATAGAAAACTTATCTAAAAAAAACCCAAAAAACCAGCACAAAACAGGCAATAAATCCACTGGGAAAACAATTCTCTCTGTGGATTAATAGTGTTGCTAACGTCAAGTAGGTCATAACTAAAAGCAGCCTCATTAGTACACTCTCCAAAATTAACCAGAAAGTTTTCTTTTACCCTTTAGAAAGTCCCTAAGAAGAATTCTTCTGTGCCAGCATAACTGGCAATGAGTTTCCAAGTGCTCCTCTAAATGGTATTACAGGCCATGGATCAATGATTCCTCTCACATGAAAGTTTAAGCCTTCAATTACATATTCATTTATGAGAAAACACCAGACAGTATTGTGTTAGCCACTGTTCTTGATGACACATCAGTTTTAAACAAATAAACACAATTCTGTAATTAATCTAAAGAAAAGCCTGGGCCTTTGGTACCTGCTATCATGAGTAGCTTCTCCAGATCCTTGATGAGGTGAATTTGGAACACAGCACCCACTCCTGGGATGTGCGTTAAGGAATTCTTTAATACGTTCAGGGCATAGAGACCTTCCTCTGCACCCACCAGTACAACCTACAGCAGAAAAAAAAAAAAAAAGCACTGTATGAAGAGAATAAGGAACAGTCCAAGAGGAAGTTTGGATGAGTGTTTACCAGAAGATGTAGTGAAAAGGACAAAAAAAAGCAAACCAATAACCAAGTAGATAATTACACGCATTGCTGTGAAGGTAGAGTTTTTTCATGAGTGAACTATCCAGTATTCAGTAAGGTTCAACTGACCATTGTCATTACCTGGTCACTGAAGGGCATTGTGCAATTTATATCCAAACGGTCCTCACCCTCTAGCTTCAGCAGGGAGTTCCCAAGCAACTTCTGTAAATAACAGAAAGAACTTTTTTGTTATTGGTAAGTTAAACTTCCTCTGCTTCTCCAGTTGTATTTTAGAAAAGCAAAATCATGGTTTCAGATGGGATAAAAGTTTAGTATCGATTTTCCTTTCTGATAAAGCTAAACGTTGCAGGGATTTCTGCTACAAAAGAATTAGTAAGCTTTCCGCTGCCTAAAATGCAGTCAGAAACTGATCAGAATTAACCTAAACTTGTGTACAATTTATTGTTATCCCTATAATTTCCAATTCCCTCCATCTCCTGCATTGGAGCACTGATTTTTTTTTTCCAGAAGGATAAAGACATCCAAATGCCAGTGAGAGCATCTATTTTCTCAGAGATGAAAGAAATGATAGCATGAGAGACGATTTCCTCCTAATCCGTTATTCATTACTTCCAGAGCCAACATTTTAATATGAAATGCCATAGAATCAAGTCTCCCTTCATCAGAAAATAGATTTATCAGCACAGCAATGAGAAAAGGCTATCCAAAGTCATAATAACTCAATTTAACCTTTTATCCTTATCAGGAATAAAGCTAAAAGTAAAAAAACAAACACATTCCTCTCTGCTACAAAACAAAAAGAAACCTCAATTCTTTAGGAAAGAGCTTTTTGTTTTTTTTATTTCTTTCTTTCAAGACGTGCTCATTCCATATGGTACAACTATAAGATAAGATTTAAATCATGTTTTAGACTGCTCTTTCTTCCTTTACTGCATGCTGGAATTGCAGAGATACAATTTATGAGTCCTCTTACTGCATTCCCAAGCCTAAAGAAGGGTATTGTAATACAAAGGACCAGTCTGACAGTGAACTAGTTCCTGGTACTCATATTGCATGTCTTAAGGCAGAAATAAGAACTTACCTTCAGTTAAACCTCAGTATGTCAAATACCAAAAAATCATTTTTCAAAACTCTGCTCCCTCCCAGAATATTTATTATTAAATGAAACTTTTATACTCACAGCATCAGCCTCAGCTTTTTCTCTGGAAACTCTCCCACCTGCCACTATTGATTCCAGTGCTGTGACCCAGCGCTGTTTGTCAGGGAAGCTGGGTGCTAACAGGTAGAGTGTTCTACCAGGCCAGCAAGTGGTGTGTGGATGAGACTCCAATTTTAGGATATATGGCACATCTGAGATGTTGTATAGATAGAATAAGACTTAGATTAGATTTTGGCATATTGTCAATGGACTTAAATCAACACCTTTCAGTGTTATTGGAAAGAAGTTGTATTTAGCATGATGTATTATCACAGCAATTTATACAGAGGTTTCTCCTTTTACAGGTCCTGCACAGGCTAATCTCCTAAAGCTAAATATCAGCTAGATGTATACAATCCATACATACAATGCTGTCTCTATAATAAGTAAGAATCATTTCTTGTCTTTTATTCAAAAGAAATAATATTATGGGGAAAAAAAGAACAGCCACTCAGCTAGTTTTTTTCCTGTACTGTTCAAGAAATCTGTAAAAATTGGTTGTGGAAACCTTTGTTTTTAACAATCTGAAGCCTTTAATGTTGAAATCAAGACATACATAATCTTTTCATCAGTTCTATTCAATACATACAAATTAAAACATTAACATTTTTTAATAATAAGAGACTGTATACACCCACAGTGTTTCTAAGTTAACGATTTTCTGGTTAGAACACAATAGTGACACATATTACAGAACTTCACACTTCATAATGAGTATTAATCAAAGAAATGTAAAGTAAACCAAGTTTGCTTTTAAGTATGCTACAAAATGCTAATATTTACTTCCATTTGGCTTGATGATTATCTTATTCACAGTTCAGCTACCATGACAGAAGTAACTCCCTAGGTGTAACCAAATCTAACCAAACCTATTCACTTAATTCAGAGAGGTAACCTCTGAATTGCACAGTTACAGAATGAAAGTTAAAGGGAGAAAAATCTGTTTAGCCAAACAGAATACCAACTGATGGCAAATCAGATGAAATCCATTTGACCTCATTGATTCTCACCTGTCTTTGCTGTATTGGTAAGTTCAGTAGCTCCTACAGCTCCATGAACAGTTACATCCCCATCAGGAAGGCAGAGCTCAAATTCTTCCAGAGGCCTCTGTCCAGCTGCAGAGAGAATGGGGAGATGGATTAAGAAAGGACAAACAAACAGTGAGGAAAGTAACTGATAGCAAAATGAAGTGGATATTTCACAGCTGGATTGTGATAACATACTAGCAAATAAAACCATTAAAGACCTAAAAAAACCCACAACAACATTGCCTTATTACAGAAGATTTAGCTAAATTAGGTATGGCTACAGCAAGCAATCTTTAGGCCTTGTTCTTCCTAGAAATGCTAAGTTACCTTCTCTTGCTTCTGCATCATAAATGAGCACTTTTGTTCCTTCCAGGACAATATACTTCCTGTCCCAGCCCTGTTGCCCACGTTTATTATTCCTGAAGAAAATAAGCACAAACCCACGTTGGATTTTCTACTTGGATTAAGAACAATACAAACATGCAAATTTTAAATGAGATTTCATCGGTAGCAAGAAGTTGTAATGAATATATCCAATTATCATATCGTAAGAGCCAGGATAATCCACAGAACTGTCCCAAATGTTTCAGCACCTGAGATGGCACCAAGCACCATGTTTATACCTTGGCACTTTCATCCACCCTTCAAGACGTAGACTGCTGCTTGGCTCCTTCAGCTGCAGACCAGGAGAATTCATTTTATCCCGGCAGAACGCTTCAGAGAAATGCGTGGCATATTCTGCTGGCAGTCCACAAGTAGCTGGCAAGCAAGTTGAGCATTTTGGGTGACACATCACTTGGCATTCTGACAAAAAGACAGAGAAAAACTTATGTAAAATGATGAAAAAAAGCATTACAGTTGCTTCAACTCCTAATGCACAAATCCCAGTTTTTATAAGAATCTCCTTCTATTCTACATCAGATGTTTTCTAAAGTAGAATGTTCGCCCAAGAAATTTCAGTCTTCATGCTTGGTCATTCATTCAACCTTCACTGAAAAGCAATTCTAGGCAGCTGATGCTTCTTCATTCTTGTCACGTTACACTACAGGCACACACTCTGCTCTTACCAAGACATTTAGATGCCTGCCGTCCAAAGTGCACAGTATCCAGACACACTGCACATTTTGTTGCTCTCATATTTAGCCCCACATTAAAACGATGTGGGATATTATGATGCATTCGCTCTTTCAGGCGCCGACTGTACTCTGCAAGGGACAAAAATCTATTCTTAGAATGCATATTGTGACAGGGATGAAAATTACAGCAGGTTTTGACATTTTAAAGCCAAGGTGACTGCATATTTCTATCCCTGATGAACAAGGACACTGCCTATTTTCCTTTGCAGCCTGCAAATCTTAAGCTACCTCAGTAACTACCTTTTACAGTTGCAAAGAACATGGCACTTGAAAACAGACTGTAGAGCTGACATTGCTATCATGGTGTAGCAAGATTATGCTGAACAATCCAACCACATTTCAAGTCTGGACTTACCTCCAATTCCTAAAGATGTGCTGGACTAATCACAATTTTGCTTATAGGTAACAAACTCTCCAGCACCTATACTGTTGTAATCAATACATCACAGATCTTTTTCCATTTTATTGCCTTCATACTAACCACCAGTGGCAGTATATCTCAAAGCATACCTAAAAAAGAACCTGTTAGAGGTTCTATTCTGTATTTTTGGTCGTTAATGAACAAAGTCAATCCTTCAAAGCACATTCTTTCACTGAAAAACATCATTCTTTTCCCTGACCATTATCTGCCATTGAGGATACCTTTCTATGCCAATGCTACTCATTCTTATAGCATACTGTGCTTCCCCACCTACCTGTGGGCAAGACCGATATGTGATTTTGGCTTATCCCATCTTTTCCCACCTTCAACTGAAAACTGGGAGGTTTTAGTTTGAAGTCTCCCTGTTCGACATTCATTCTTGAACACTAGTTAGGTAAGTATAAAAGAGCAGAGCCCTTAACCAGTTCACTTTCTCTGATGACCCTGTCACATCCATTCTCAAAGCTATGGAAGGACATCACAGGTACTACACTTGATCTTAGCCAGAAGGCTGAGAAACAACATCCCTTTTTCTAGATAAGTGGATATCTGTATCTTTTAACTGATATCTTCCTTTTATGCCTAACCAAATCTTCTCCTATTACCAAAAATATACTGAGGGGGGTGGGGAGAGAGAGAGAGGGAGGGGGGGAGAAAGAGAGAGAGAGATCACACCTAAATAGTTGAAAACATGCAACAGAGAAGTTCACCAAGAACCTACCCTCTGGTGTGGAGGATTCCTTCCTGCGACTGGAGGGTGGAGCTAGCAGGCTGATTGGGGTAGGCTGATGCTCTGGTGAGCGGACTATGGCAGACATGATGATCTGCTGCCTGGCTGTAGCTGGAGTGGATGGATGAGGGTGGTCTGATATTTTCCGATGAGCAGCTACAGATGAGATAAATACCACTCATTAACATAACCAATATGAAGCACTAGCTCATAGCAGTGGTTCTATGTAACCATTCAATGGTTACAACCAGCAGAAAAACGTGTAGCCTTCCTGCATCTTCTCTGCAGTAGGTTAGAATTTAAACAACACGTTACTGCTACAGTGACACACAATTAAAGGCATGTATTCAGACCAAAAAATGTGCGCCGCCTCCAGATTCACCTTTTCTGTTAACTCCTACCTTCCTCACGAGCAGATCTGAGCTCAATGCGTGTTTTCTGTAGAGCCTCCTCCAGCTCAGCAGAACGAGCTTTCTCCTTCTCCAGTGCCACTTTCAGCTCATTGTATTGCAGGGGAACCTGTGTGGGTAAAGAAGGGTCCTCTTTCCGCCGACTAAACAGGCCCTAGCAACAGAAACACACAGACAACTCCTAACTCCTAGTAAGAGATGGCTTAAACTAGGCAAAGTGAAACTAGCTAGTGGCAGTCCGGCCAGAGGGCCTAATGGTAATTCTGATATAAGTAAGGATGGATTTTTAGTTCATATTGGCACTGGAGAGAAAATGTTGAGATATGGATTAATTTAAATGGGGACATACGTTACCTGCTAGTACTCACATGCTGAGTTTCCGAAAGCATCTAAACAAAGGATCTCAAAATATGTAGTTAAAATTAATTTAAATTACTTAATTGAAAATGACAGAACTGCTTATGACAAAGACGTGACACAAGTCACATCACCTGACTAATCAATCCTATGCTAAAAGACAGCCACTCTAGATAAACAATATGTTCATACACACATAAATACTTAGTGTTAAAAGGAAAAAAAAACAAAAACATGGTTAAAGCTCTGTATGCCTACAACAACCTCACTGACTTGTAGCTATTGGATTGGAAAGGCCAGAAAGACTTTCTGCCTAGCAAAGCTTATCCTCGTTAACTTGGAATGCTCAAATGACACATCTATGCTACACATAAAAAAAGATAAAACAAAATTTTGAAAACACAGCACATAGCTATATAAAAAGCCATCATTTATAGTTCTATGACTCTCAAACCTCTTTCACCCACCTTTTTCTTTTTTGCTGGTTGGTCCATCTTTGCTTGCAGGAAATCAATGAGTTTGGTTTGCTGAGAAATAGTGCCCTCCATTTTCACTTTTTCATGGGAATAGAGAACCTTTGAACCACACAAAGATGTAAGAAATTTCATCTGAATGGCAGAAACAAACAACTCAAAAGCAGAACAGAGCTAAAAATACTGCATCATTTCTCATAACTCTGAAAAATAACACTGAAAAGGTTCATATCCCAAAATGCCACCTTAAACGGGGAGCACAGAGTCCTGCCCTCTGTTTCCTCCCCTCACCTGAATGTTTTCCAGCTGATATTCCAGATCACTTCTTTCAGTCTTCAGAAGATCTGCTCGATCTAGAGCCTCCTGCAGACCTTGAGTTAAGCGGAAGATGTGGTTCTTTTGCAGATCCATTTGCTGCTGCAGCTTTGCCTGCTGTTAATAGCAAAAAAAGAGTGGTGTACTTTTTTGTTTGTTGTTGTTTGTTGTGTTGTTGTTGTTGTTTTACAAAGAGCTATTACACATTATTCTTTTTTTTGCAAAAAATTAAAAATTAAAAAAGATGATTGTACAACTTAGACCTTCTTTAAAAGCTAAATTACGGAGAGCTTTGAAAAGCTTCATCTGTGGTCTCCAGCTACGCACCCGCAGCACATTGGCTCCAGATTTGTTTATAAGCTATGATCCTCTGCCCAGTGTAGGAACGCTTTGCCTGGGCACAGACACTGCCTTGCAGATGTGACCTAGGACATGCCTTGTCATTACAAGCTTCTCTAATTATCACTGGGACACTGGCTGAACCCAATTATCATTACTATCACCAGACCTGCTTTGATTTTCTCATACAAATATTGTGGGACTGTATGCACTGGCTGAAGAGTCCTTATTGTCAACTCTTGGCTCCCAGCCCACCTTTCCCTGCACAGCAGCTCACTTCCATAACTCCCTGATGTGGCCATACATTTTGCAAAATTTCAAGTAAAAACAAAACTTCCATCTTCATTAATTGTTTAGTTACATATGAGAAGGATGGATGTGCAATACTGCTACTGAACAGCTTTATCCAGTCCTTCCCACAGCGTGGAACTTTCTTCTGAAGTTACAACTTGAATTTACAAGGTTACCTCCTCCAGAAGCCTCTGCTTGAGCTCCCTTTCTGTCTCAAGCTTCTGTTGTAAACTGCGTGCATTCATCTCCAACATAGCATGCTTCTTCTCCAGATCATTGAGCTGAGCAGGTGGGACAGATGATCAGGACAACATAAAAGAGTGATAAATATAGTGTTTCACAATCTTAAAATTCAACCTCACCAAACACACACAGGAGAAGAATATGATTATCCTTTTGTATCCTCAGATACAATTATCCTTTACTTACTATAAAGGGTTGAGGGGGAAAAAAATTGGTGTGCTACTGTTCAAATGTTGACAGAACTCACTGTACACACCTGGTATCACAGACTGACTTTTCCATCAGCCACTCTCAAAACAGACACAAGTATTGACTGTGAGACAAATGGCTATAGAGCAGTCCCACAGAAAGGGATCTGGGAGTGTGGACAGTAGGCTCAACATGAGCCAGCAGCATGCCCTGGCAGCCAAGAGGGCAAATGGCATTTTGGGGTCCATTAAACACAGCACAGCCAGTTGGTCAAACAAGGGGATTATCCCACTACATTTAGCATTGGTGCAGCCTCATCTTGAATACTGTGTGCAGTTCTAGGCTCTGCACAGCATTAAAAGGATATTAAGATACTTGAACGTATCCAGAGGAGAACAACAAAGCTGGGCTTTTAAAGGCTAGAAGGTATATCCTATGAGGATAGGCTGAGGACAAGTGGGTTGTCCAATACGAAGAAAAGGTGGCCAAAAGGTGACTTCATTGTTCTGTGGAAGTTGATGATAGAAAGCAAGTGAATGGCCCAAAGCTGCACTAAGGAAGGTTCAGACTGCACATTAGGAAAAATTTTTCCTAACCATGTGGCTGGTAAAATACCAGAGACAGGCTTCCTAGTGAGGTGGTTGATGGCCAGTGTCTGTCAGTGTTCAAAAGGTATTTGTTAAAGCCCTTAATAACATGCTTTAACATGCAGATAGCCCTGAAGTAATCAGACAGTTGGACTAGTTGTTCTTTGTAGGTCCCTTCCAACTGAACTATTCCATTGTTCTAAAATTAAATTCTAGGTCTTCGGCTTGAAGCTAGAATTCTATCCTGTTGATCTCCAGTATTTAACTTGCTCTCGCATCTTGAAAAAGCTGCTCAAGACCACAATTCTAGAAATAATATCTCTATAAAAGAAAAGTATCTCAGCTTGTAATGAAAATGTAAGATGGAAAGTTGCTTACCTTATCAGAAAGGCTCTCAGCTTTGAGTTTTTGTTCTTTTAGTGCTTGCTGGAGGGCTAGAATCTCTGCCTTGTGTTCTTTGACAGCTAGTTCTACCACCTGGCGAGATTCAGTAATACGCTGATCTGCTCTCACTCTGAATTAAAATGGAAGACAATGTTACCTAACACCTTTCTGGGTTTGACCTCTTCCTAGCATGCAGTGGCATCAATAACTTTCAGAGGTTTGCCTCAAATTCAAGATGTTACTTTATAAAGCCTGACTGTTTGTTGCAACACTTGTATTATATAACCTTGCCCCAATCTAGAAAAGCTGCTTGAAAATTTCAAGACTCTACAGTTACACTTTGAAGCAAGGACTAACTTTTCATATAATAAACTAAAAGAGAAAAAAAGATCAAAACTTCTATAAATTCCAGTGATAAATACCACACCCTCTTGAATCACTTACTTGTAAAAAAAAACAAAAGGAAAAATATTACTGGTGAATGACTATTAACTAATATACCATTTTTAGAACTACTTCACAAGAATTTATATTTAGTTCCCACTCCCATATCCTATTCCAAATATATTTTTGTACTAGCTTCTATAGAGCATATGCATACAAGTTAATATAAAAGGGGAGGAGGGGACAAAAGACCTGCTCTGTTTCTCAGTATCCAGCATCCTCTGCAACTCTCTGACACGACATTCAAACTGAGACTTCTCATCCCCTAGAACATTTCTCCACGCTTCCCACTGACGCTCTTTCTCCAAGAGTTCATCGTTCAGGGCCTCCAAGTCCATTACTTGCTCTTCCAGCATTGTACATGTTGTCTTCAAGGCCTCCATAGTCTAAAAATAAATCCTCCTATCAATTCTCACATCCCACATCAAGCATGCACTTTAAGCTTCAGCCTTACCATTTAACTTACAGTACATGCAAATTGGCAGCAAACATAAGCTGGTAAATCACAACCCATTTATTTCCAACTTGTGATTGCCTTTAATGTCAGCTCTATCTCATTATGAAGATTTGAAATTGCCAAGGTCACAAAATTAAATAATTCTACGTTATGATACCTTCAGAGTGCTAAATTTCATCGCAGAATAATACAAAGGGAAGTAACAAAAATTTTCAATTCATTCAAGCACTTGGGGAAGGAAGGTTTGAGCAATAATTGGTCAAATTGCCCCTAGAAGCATATTCATTCCCTACAGGCTTCCAGATTTAACATAATTTTTAGCCTTTCAGATAACCACCTAGTTATCATGGAAAGATTGTGAGCCAGATTTATATAAAGCCTTACTTGTTTCTGACTGGTAAGCTGCATCTCTCTCTCAGTGATCTCTCGACGGAGATGGTCAACTTCACTTCGCAACTGGACAACCTCATCATTGGCCCCTGAGGCCTCATCAAGTTGTTTGGACAGGAAGAAATTCTGATTGTTCAGTTCTGCGTTGTCTTCACTGAGCTGGTTCAGCTGTTCTTCCAAATCTGTAATCACCTAGAAAGAAAGATAAATTAGATGACACGTCAGTGAGTACAGGTTGTTTTGAAAGTGTTCTCCTCTCACAGAAACATTTACTGCCAAGCAAGAAGACCACTTGGCTTCTTTTTTTTTTTTTTTTCCCCCCCTTTTCAAATTTACACACATGAAACCTAATAATGACAGATTTTATGCAATGGGAGTATTTTGATTACAGAGTTTTGATTCTTGCAGAAAATGCCTTGAAATTTTAAGTTTTGTTTAGAGTATAAATAGGCTATAACATAACTTCTTTGAGAGAGAACTGCCTTATTTAAGGCACTGTGCTAGGAGTCAGGAGTTCTGGTTGTATTCCCAAATGTGCTGCTGACTCAGTGTGCTTTTGCCAAACCACTTTTTTTTTGTTGATTTTTTTTTTTTTTGCCTTACTTTCTCCTCAAGTAAAATGAGGCTAACACTTCTTACAGAGACTGTTGAAGTGTGACATTTAAGAAAATTGAACAAGAGGTGCAAAGAAGGCAGTATAATCTGATGAATCCTCCTAGTAATTGTGGAGATTACTATAAGCAGCATTATACATAGCCAGAAAAAGCAGAAAAATTGAGAAATACACTTCATCAAAGTAATATCAGCATAGGATATATGAAGAAAAAAATGTGGCAGCACAACAGACTAATAGAAAAATCAGTGAAAAGCAGAAATTCAACGAGCACAATAGCCTTGCTTTTAATGAAGTGGAAGCATTTATTTCTTAAATCAGAATAGCATTGTACTACAATGCTTTAAACCACATTCTGCTTCAATTTAAAGAACAACAGGAACAACAGTGGGCTCTTCTCACAATTCTTTTTAGCTTTTCATGAGTGAAAGGCCATCAGCACTGGGTGGATGAGTATTTCTACCTCCTAACTAAAAAAATGTCATCACAACAGAAGAGGAAGGATCCTCAGAATGATGTTAACAAAAAGAATTTCAGAAACTAGAAAACTTCTATACAATTAACATTCAATTATTAGAAATACATCAGAGGCATTTTTGCCTAGATGTCAAAGAAAGGTGAATAAAACACTTCATTAAATGGGAAAAAATATAATACCTCAGAACACAGTTGGCCACATTCAAATGTGTAGGAAATTGGAACATTTACAAGTCAAGCACTTAAATAAATAAAGCAGTCAAGTGTTGCACATGTCTCTTTTCAGCTATCTGAAAAGATGACAACTACTTCTTTTTGAAGAATCTGCAGAACAGGTATTGGCTGCTTCTTACCGTGCCTCTCCTAGATCTAAATTAGCAATATTTGGTTGTTGGCAGAAAAAGTCCAACTGCCATTATTCCCTGCTGGGTGAAGGGGAGATTCCTGCTATCCATATGTTTGGGGTCAAATCAAAGTGATTCATCCTCTAAAACACAATGCTGCTGATAAAAATCTGATCATGTGGATGTTTCTTGAGCACTCTTACTGCCCTGTTCAAAATATGAACAAAGAACTCAGACTGTATCATAAGGATATCTTAGTGCCAAATTGTTATAAGGATACTTGTAAACGTATTTATGAAACCAAAAAGGAACAGAAGAACACTTGCTTTTACAGTGTTTTACCCACTATTCATACAAACAACACTGGTGATTTCTACTAGCTGCCAGATCAAATAATACCTTTCCTTTTCTTCTACCTTTATTTTATTTTCTGCTTATTTAACCACACTAGTGAGTCTTAAGCAATCTGTTACAGACCTGTGGTTTCTTCCACTTTCATTTTATCTATTAATTCAAGTACTTTCTGTAAAGCGTATTATACTATATTTGAAATATAAGAGAGACCTGAGGGGTAAATCCAAAATTGATATGGTGACATAAGATGTAGTACTTCGAACTACAAGGAGGTTGTGGATGCCCCATCCCTGCAGGCATTCAAGGCCAGGCTGGATGTGGCTCTGGGCAGCCTGGTCTGCTGGTTTGCAACACTGCACATAGCAGGGGGGTTGAAACTAGATGATCTTTGAGGTCCTTCTCAACCTAGGCTATTCTGTGATTGTGATTTCAAGACGGCTGTATACTTTGATGGCTGGAAGTTAAACTTTATTCACCCTTATTCTATGTTCTAAGATTTTGATTTTCTCTGGATATAACCAAAATTAAACCAAACCACCAAAGCAACGTGGCTTAAATTCTGAACTCAATATACAACCTACATAACATAATGTAGTTTGAGTTTATTTATTTATTTTAGAGAGAGTTGTTCTTCTCATAATCTTCTGCTGTTTTTTTTTTCTTTTTCACAAAGAAAAGGAAAATATCTTGACTGTTTTTTTGTTTTAAACCTAGCTACAGGTATATATAATCCAATAGGGTTACAGAGTTTATAAACACTATAAAGCTTAGGTGGTGAGAGATAACAGTGTCAGAGGAAAATGAGACGATGTGTGATGTAAATGCTTGCCCTGGGAACTAAAACCAAACAGCACATGATAGGGGATGTGACCTTAAGCATACATACATACATACAAACAATCTATACCAGAATCCCATACCTGAAAAGAATTAATAGTTTTAGGCATTTTTCTTTTCAGTTAAGGAACCCTCCAGGCAAAACAAACAAACAAAAAAACTAAGCTGTAGGTAGGAATTGAAATTTGTAAAGGAAAGCCTCCAATGAAACACTATTATAGCTTTTAAAATCCAAAACATTATCACAAAAGTCTTCAGAAAACAACCAAACACTCCAGGCAATGCAGGCAGCACTATGTGCACCATGCACCATCACTCACAAAGCTAACAAAACGTTCTCCTCAGTCTATGTACGTATTCATGTACATCTATGTTCATCTTCACCCCAACAAATTCAGAAACTAGAGATAAAATCTAACGTGACCACACCAAACTTGGCAGACTGTTCACTACATACCACATCTAAGCACACAACTTATCTCCATATAGATACAGAAGATGGTATCTCATTTCAAACATTGTAGAGTAACCCGAGCACAACAAACTTCAGCAAAAGTGATCATAGCACAATTCCCTCCCCGTTGCACAGGATCAGAGGGGTAAAGTGTTTCTATATTGCATATCATACACAACGTACAAAATTTAATCCATGCTCTCCATGCATCAAAACTACAGTCAAAACAACATGGGAAAGAAAAAAAAAAAGAAGCAATTTTAGAACACTCTTAACTGCAGTTTGCAAGCTTCTCCAAAGCTGTGCACAGATCCTTCAGGAATACGTCTCTGTTCTCAGATGCCACCAATAAATGCACAGGGAAATGTTAGGATAGTACAAGGTTAACTGCTTCAGAATGCTATCAGCAGCATGTTATTTGGTGTTTAATTCAATTTTTAGCACAACCTTCATTCAGAACTTACAATCTAATGCATAGTTTTACTCCATTCATTTCCAGTCCCCACCCCAATCTTTACTAGAAAGTTAGCTGTCAGAATTAATAGGAAAAAAACCAAAAGCTATCTCACATCCCCAAGTTATTGTAAGGAGCACATGAGAAAGGACCACCCTCTCTTCATTGTAACTTATTACATGTGGATCTGAGAGATGAAGCTTTTCTAGCAGAGAAATACCATACATCTTAGTGGAGCAGAATATCAGCCCTCTTATTGACAACAGCTGCAGATAGATACTGGTCTTGTACATCTACCTATATGAATATGTAACAACTAACTCCTCACTTTCCTCCTCTCTCCTTAATCAGACAACATCTGCTACTTGAAAAATACCTTACAGTGAAATCTCAGTCTCCAAAAATTCATCATGGCACAGCTCGCAGGACATTGCTCCTGTTAGTAGCTGCAGAGCAGTGCAATATTTCACCGTCTGCGTTCCCTTCCTTCCCACACCAACCCATCCTTCAAACATACAGTCTCCTGTAGTCCTCCATCCTTGTCCTCAGAAGATGAGCTGCCACTCCAATCCTGAGGCTCACTCTCAAATCATGGCAGTCATCCACAGAGAAGGTCCCTCTTTCACAGCAATCTCAATGCAACACCCTAAAAATCTATGACTTTTTGCCAAACTACAAGAACTCCACTTTTGCCATAACATTTTTCATTAAACAAAATCGTCCCTCCCAACCAAAAGACAGTTGTAAATACGTATCCTCACAGGCATGCACATATATTTTTTTTGTTTGTTTGTTTGATCAATTTAACTAAGCCATAAAGAAGTTTTTGTCTGGGTATTAGCCTAGGGTGAAAGACCTTTGGGAGAAAAGGGATAATTTAGCAAAAGTGTATAACATGTCTGGACATCATTTTGAACATGTAAGATTTACTCTTGTATGTCAGCTAATTGAGTCAACATGGAATCAGGATAGAAGTCAGAAGGGAATTTTTTTCATGCCTTGCTATCCAATCTCCTAGAGGTACAGAATCAAGCTTGTTAATGCTTAAGATAGCAACATACAATGATGACAAAAGAACCTCAAGGATCTTGAATAAAGTAAAATGCAGTATCTAATTAGCATTTTTTAAAGCCACTCTCTTTTCTAGAGTAAAAGCAATGGCCTGTTATTCCCTTTCCCCTCCTCCCCCCCATAAAAATGGAAAATACAGGTGGTGGTTCCACAGAATAACATTAATATTTTACTAAGCTGACTGTAAATATACTTTATGGGATACATTTTCTCCTAAATTTTTATAGAAATTACTGCCTCCTTCCCGAATTATTTCTGAATGAAATTACTGAATGTTTTCTTCATGAAAGAATCCAATCATTAGTTAGATAACTTAGTACCATTCTTGACTCCAAATGTGTTGATGAACCAACAAGAAGCAATAATTAAACGCCAGATGGAAATAACTGACAAAAACGTGAATCTTCCTATTTAAGAAAACGCATTTTATTTCTAGACTGCTTGCTTATTGCCAAGAAAATAACTTTTAAAACTCAAAATGGATGGCAATATTTTTCACGGAATAATTCTTTAAAGGTAGAGAACGAGTCCTTTCCCCCTTAGTGGATTTGTGGCAGGAGCTAGCATTGTGACAGGATTACAATAAAATATCATTCTGTGTGCATGGCCATGTTCATCTGTGTGTGTGTGTGTGTGTGTGTGTGTGTGTGTGTGTGTGTGTGTGTAAAGCAGGTACAACAATTTGCAATTTTTACTGTAATTATGTATCCTCTCACTTATTGCACAATTGAAGTCTTTGTGAAAAAAGCAAAAGACACATTGCAAGATGAAACAATACAGAGCTACCAAAGCAACCGAATACAAAAATCACAAAGACAAAAGAAATTAAGACCAACAATACAACAATGATCAGATTTAAAACTGACAAATAGGAGAACCTGAAGATGTATTGACTTGAGTCAGAGACCTTAGCAAAAGGAAGGATAAGAGTGCAGCCACGGTACAAGGAAAGCAGACGCGTTTTGAGGTGTCAGTTCAGTACAAATGAGGTTGAAACATCTGGTGAAGGCACCACAACATTCCTTGATTCCTCACCGTCAAGATAAGATGGTCCTATCATTTCTCTCAGTACTCCTCAGTAAAAAGGATAGACAGCTACAACTACTTACAACATAGAAAAAGAAAGTTTCTACCCATGGTCAATTAAATTATACATAGATTTTCCTGGGCTGGAAAGAGAATGAATGATGAGCATGTATTATTCACATAGGAACCATTTCACTAATTTGTTACTGGTGAGGATGTCTGATGCACGATCTCACACCACTAAAAGACCTACAATGCACAACACTTAAAAAATCCTTTTATGCAGAACATTCAAACCTCTCAGCATTACTGTAATCTTTTAGAACCATAGAATCACCAAGGTTGGAAAAGACCTCCAAGATCATTCATTCCAACCATCCATCTCCCACCAATATTTCCCCACTAAACCATGTCCTTTAGAACAATATCTAAGCATTTCTTCAACACCTCCAGGGACAGTGACTCCACCACCTCTCTGACAGCCCGTTCCAATGCCTGACTGCTCTTTCAGAAAAGAAATTGTTCCTAATATTCAACCTAAACCTCTATGGAGCAACTTGAGGCCATTTGCTCTAGTCCTGTTGCCAGTTATGTGGCCATAATGAGGCCAACCCCCAACCTTGCCACAGCCTCCTTTCAGGAAGCTGTAGAGAGCTGGGCCTCCCCTGAGCCTTCTCTTCTCCAGACTGAACAATCCAAGTTCCCTCAGCTGCTCCCTGTAAGATCTGTGCTGCAGACCCCTCACAGTTTCATTGCCCTTCTCTGGACACCCCACGGCATCCATGTCTTTCCTGTAGCGAGGGGCCCAAAATTGAGCATAGTACTTGACGTGTAGCCTCACCAAAGCTGAGTACAGGGGGATGAGCACCTCCTGAACCCACTGACTACACTATTTCTTATGTAAGCGAGGATACCATTGGCCTTTTAGCTACCTGAGCTCACTGCTGGCTCATGTTCAGCCAAGAACATGGGTCACGGGTCAGTCTTCACTGCTGGAGATTGCCTGCCACACTTACAAAGCCAAAATTCTACTACAATGAGATAACAGGTTACAACCTTTGGAAGGCAGCCTACAGCAGAACACAATTGGTTTTTGCCTGCATGGAGATGACAAGTACTTCCACAGAAAGCCACCGTTCTGTAAAAAGGCCAAGACAGAACAAACAACAGAAAAGATAGCTATGGATGTAGTATGTGTGACAACACACGGGGCCAAAAGATTATTCAGCATAAGCAAAGTAGATGACAAAAAGCAAAGTTTCTTTTGCAGAATTTACCTTGGATGGAGATTAATACAGTTTGCTAAGCCCTACTTTCTCATTGCTTCATATCAGTGTATTCTATGAACAGAATACAAGAATCCCCTTGCTCAGTGCTGAAAAGGAACTGTGGAAAACACAGTAACTCTTAAATGGTATTTTTGAAAGATGAAAACTTTATGTTAGATACTTAGTCATCCAGCAGAAAATAATTAAACTTGAGGAAATCAGAAGTGGGAAAACAATCAAGATTAAAAAAAAAAAAGAACAGCAGTTAAGCTCTGTTTGCAAAGCGATGTAAAGAAAAAAAAGCCTAGAAATGTCAGCAGTCAGTGTTCATCCAGAGAAACCAACATTTCTGTAGTTCACGTCACTGGAAGACAGACTCTCCATCAAGTTTGAAGACAGTGGTAATTTGCAAGAATTCCTATCAATAGTCAAAGACCCTGAGATCTGTCCCGGATTGATGAAATGTGTAGAAAAACATGTCAAAAGACCTCAAGTAATTTAAGGTAGAAATTAAGATCCTCAAGTTCTTTCTGCTCTTTGAACAGATGTCCACATGTCATTGTATCCTTTTGAATTGAGCACTTTGTCTCTTCAGTCTTTAAATTCCCCTTAAAACCCAAAGTAGCAAGAATGCTTTTCCATCAGCTCTGGCCTAGATCTACAATGCAGCTCAGGATTTGGACAGGCAGATCTTTTCTTCTCCTTGAGAGTAGAAAACATCTTTACCTACAAACATTTTTGCAGCTGCTACACCATTCTTATTAGCTGCACTGCAATGAGATATTTTAATTTACTTTCTTCTCCAAAAAGAAGAATAGTGTCAATTTCACAAATGGAATAAAACCTCACAACTGAGGTTTACCCGAAGCCTAAAAAAAAAATCAAATCCAATCAGTCTAGCTCCTAACACCTTTAAGACAGAAGTCCACATTGGGAACTAATGTCATCGAGGAGTAAGTCAGAAAATCGTTTCCTTCCTTATCCTTAATTTCAAAATAATTCAATGATCTGTATTTAATACTCACTGTGCAGCTATTACGAAGGGCTTCAAATTTACGCTGGATTTCATCTCTATGTGCCTAAAGGAGGTAAGAAGTTAATCATCAATTTTTCATACATGAGAATTAGAATCCAACAGCTGTTGCTAAACAAACTGCAGAACAATCTACCAGCAAGCAAAGTTTGGAAGGCAGATGCTGCACGCTATGAAAGCACTCTGTAGTGACAAAGAACTGATTAGCAAGAGTCACATCCTACTTAATCAAATGTTTCCAGTTCTGAGCTACTTAGAAAAATGTACAAACTCAAGAACTGAATTATATAAAAAGTTCCATCTTAAATGGTCACCAGATCACTTATTGACTCCACGTTAAGTTTGTATATTCATGACATAAATTTGAGTTTTACTTTCATACTCAGATTAGTATTTCATACAAAATAAATACCACATACAGTTTAATGCTTGCAAAGAAAAACTGCAATGAAGCATTATGCAAGCTATCCCAAATAGCACTGCCAATCTACCTGAGTCCTACCATCAAGTACCATTTGATCCTAAACCTCTCTAAAAAGCAGTGATGAAACGCAATAATCAATTCTTTGGAAGACAGCATCCAAAGTATTGAAAAGTACATGCATTTATTTTAAAGAAAGCAGTGTTGCATGCACCATTTTACCTCCTAATTTACAAGCAAAGCATGACAAAGCAAAAGTTCTTGTTTCAGCCTCATGGCCTCTCTCAAAATTCATTCAGACCATCAAACTGATTTAAGAAGTGTAAAATGTCATATGCTATCTGAAACCTTAACGAACAGAAGGTTAGTGTGCTAGCACATCCAGCTATTCTTCATTCAGAGCATTTTTTTTTAATAGCTAAGAGGCTAAACAGGAAAAACTCTTTAGCAGAAGTCAAATATGAGCGCTAATACATTATCTTACCGCGACAGGCAATGTGAAAAATGAAGTATTTAAAAAAATGCCACATCATAAATACTCCAAGCCCACTGAACTGCGCTATCTTACAACAGCTGGTTCAAGAGCACTACCATTTTGCCAAAATAACTGAAGCAGTAACTGAGTGAACACAGGTCATATACATTCACCTGTTTTGCTGATGATGTAGGGTAAAGATATCAAGCACATAATCATCACCCTGTTAGCAGTGATATTAGCAGTTATGCAAAGTTTTCAGCTGGCAGAGGACCATAACAATTTTGAGCAAAAAGAAACTGATGCCATGTTCCAATGAGTTATTCTTAAGCTTTGGTGTTGCTGGAGTACTTTGCCAACATGCACCTGCTTAAGAGCAACTCGGAGTGCATAATTCTCCCATTCCCCCACCCCAAAGCACCAAGCTCATACAAGCACCTAGTTCAGCAAATCCTCACTGTCCCTTCTAAAACATAGCAATGGCAGAAATATTCTGAATAACAATTGTTTTATCAAATGTTACTGGACAAAGAGAATGCACATTTTAAAAACTTCAAAATAACTGGATTTGAAGGTCATTGAAGACTGCTCCCTCAGTGAGGGTTAGCTGGCAGACAAAGTAGCAGGTCAGTATATTCTCCCTCCCCCCTACTGCCCTCAGAATCCTTTCTGAGGGAAATATTTCTTAGAATCAAGCAGTGTGAAAGCATCTTTTTGTACTCAAGAGACAGCAACCCGCAGCATATAATTTAGAATTATCTTTCCAAAGAGGGGGAAAAAACGGGGAAGGGGGCAATTTAAATTTTCTTTTTTCCTTTATGTCATTCACACATGTCACCAGAGACTGCAAGATGCAAATAACAATTTTTAAATGAAATGAACACTGGAATAAAATTAGGGTGCTTAGCAACACTATTTTCCTAGTTTTCGTTATTGCTGTTTTTCAAAACAAGTATAAAGCAGGTAAGCTTACAGAAAGAAATCATCAAAACATTTCTGATCAAGTACTTTCAAACTTGTGATTAATTATTTAAATAAGTAAATCAGAGAACAAAGCTCCTAGCAATAACAATTTCATATGTAGTTTCACCTCATCACAGAATTATTTGTGTTCTTTGGGCACCAATGATGGAACTACCAGGAGCACACATAAGGTTAATTTAATAGATAAAATTGGACATCTTAGACATAGCTGCCTCTCTTAACACATAATTAGTGCCTTTTTCTGAAAAATAAAAGAAATAAAGAGTAAAAATACATATTTAACCTTCTTATAAAACATGGACCTTCTTAGTTCTAATCTAGTACCAATTTTAGGGCTCACCGTGAGAGCTTGAATCTCTTCCTCTGCCTCAGCTGTGGTCTCTTCTAGTTCAGTTTTGGCCTCACGGAGCTGATTCTCCAGGGCTGTCCGTGCAGCCTGCAGCCCAGTAATTTGAGATTCCCGCTCCTGAAGCGTCAGCTGCAATTCTGTCAACTGCCTTTTGAGTTCCAGCTTCTGTTCTTCATGCTCTAAACCAACCTGAAGAATGAAAAAGTAGCATCCAAACACAAGTTACTTACAAAGAAAAACACGGGCAATATAATCTAATTTCAAACCTCGCTTCAGGATGACATTGCCATTTCTATTCCAAAATCACGTCTTCACAGATTGCTTAAGTGACTGAGAAGTCAAGGATGCTGCTTTGTCTGCCTAAAAGCTACTCATTTGCTTTGAAAAAAGATCAAAAGCATTTTGAAATGAAAAAAGAAAACAAGAATAGTTCCAGCTGTGACTCAAATATCACATATAACACACTGATATAAAAAGCATTACAGTTGAAGTAGTTTGTGCTGACATTTCTTCACAGAAATTATTGCATTCGAGAATCTTTAGACATAAAGACAATATTAATATTTACATGTGTATATATATATTTAAGTTATTTTTGAAGAAACCAAGCAAATAACCTTGCTCTGGGTTTACTTGAGTAGCTTTTGTTCAAGGTTTTCTCGAAGCATAGTCAAGGATAAATGTGTTGTTTCCAGGAATGGATAAAAAATGAACAACCAGCAAAGCAGACCTCAGTGCTCAAATCAATTCCAAATTTTAGCACCTTCTCCAGGATGTTTGCATCCCACGTGACTCTGTTGTGTTGCAGATGTGAGAGAAGCCTGCCAGAAATCTTACACTGATCCCAGCCAACTTCCAGTCAAACAAGGACAAGTGCAAGTCATCCAACCCTCTTTAGCTAAAGGCAAAATTTCAGTCTGAAATGAAAATTATCGGAGCAAGACTGGAGAAGGTGAAAGATCTAAAAGTGGATTCAAAGCTGATATAAAACTAAAGAACTAAAAATGTGGCACAGGTCACAAAAAAATGCAAGTTTTCATATTACTGTTAATTTTTTTTGAAAACTTTAGAAAAATGTGCATGAGGGAACAGGTCTCCTGTTTTCTTACAGCACTTCTGTTGTGTCATTTGCTTTCTACTCTGTAGACTCTAGGCCTACAGTTAGCTGATCACTGTACATAGCTAAGCTTTAATTCTTTACTCCATAGCCACTCCAGCTGAAAAATATAATATTGTAGAAAAAAAATACAAATGTGATTCTGAGAAAGCAAGAAGATCTAAGAACTTTACACTTACTCCAATGAACAATCTCTTGTATTTTCTCTCCTTCCAGGAGAAGAACTCCTGGGGGGAAAAATACTGCTAGACTAAAATAAATTATTACATGTTAAAATACCATTTTTAAGACACACAGAACTGAGACAATTTTAATCATCACTGTAATACTTAAAATGAGATACATTCAAATAAGTTTGGGAGGATTAAACTCATTTTCACCTCTCGCAGCCTAGTCTCCAACTCTAGCAGGCGGTTCTTGTCAGTGTGATCTTGGTGACTCATCTTTTCCAATTGTTCCTCTAATTTTCGATTCTGGGCCTCTAACTTTCCAGCTTGGGTTTCCAAGTAGAACTTCTGTTGTCTGAGCTCTGAAATCATCTCCTCTTGGGCTTTCCTGATAGGAGAAAAAATAGAAACCCAAAGCATCCTTATATAAGGCCTTTCATTGTAGTGAAGCAGGGAAGAACATAGAACAAGCTCCCTACTACACTGAACATGAAGCTCATAGCTTAAGTTCTATGCTTTTATTTAAAAAAATACAAAAAGAAGCCAGCTTTCTATTCCCATCAACAAAAGATCCACATACTAACAGATTCATCCATATATGCCCATTAAAATTTCACGTTTGCAAGCTGAAAAAAAAAAAAAAATTCTATACATGATTATCTACCACAATATTTAAGATATACTTCATTCTTATCATTTCACCAATTCCTTGTTACATATTTTTCTTCATAGGAAAAATGAATGGTAAGAATAGTTGCTTTTGCACTAAATAATTCCATGAGATAAGAGAAATTGATGGGTTTCTGGTGGAATTTTTGTTTGTTTGCTTCTAGAAGATGAAATGGACCTAGAATAAGTTTTTAACTTGACCTACATCGAAACAGTGATTTGTTGTCTCTAAACAAAGATTTCATCTATAATGTGAATGAAAACAATTACCTGTGTGCATAAGAATTCTGAGCCTGCAACCTCTGCTAAAAGCAAGAATTAGCATTTGAAATGCTTGTGCAAAACAAACAAACATCACTCTTTCTACATTATTTACAACTCCAGGAATTATTTTATCATGTATGGGAAATTTCTTTCCACTTAAAGTCCAACAAAACTCTACATATATTAATGAATTAATATTTTAACAAGTTTACTGTGAGATAAGCTGTTACTAATCCTGTCTGAGAGAAATTATGTGGCTTGCCCAAGATCAAATGGGAAGACTTAAAAAAGCTAAAAATAGAACCCAAGTCTTCTGACTCACACTCACACTTCTGTGCATTGCACATAGAACCTCCCCTGTCACCCTGTGTTTTTGTTGCTTTTTTTGTTTGTTTGTTTGTTTTTTAAGTTTATCTCTATAGATTATTGGCAGACAGAACTGTCAAATGAGCTACCTGCTCAGGAAGCTGATTATCATTAGCTTCCTCAGGTACAGAACAAAAACTAGCCAAGTCCCACACTTCTTTGAAGGGCTTAAATCACTTAAATTCTAATAACTTCAAACATGCTCAGATTGATTGTAGCTCTTGTGGATTCAAAATGCAGTCCAACAGCAGATTCATACATATTCACCACCACAATTCACAAAATAAGTACAAACTCATCAGCTATCTGCTTTATAAACACAGGCATAATAAAGCAAATTTCTTCTCAAAATGCTGTTGATTCTGTAATATCTTCTAGCAATTCAGCAACATTAGATTAATTGACAATATTTCTTAAACTATCCCAAGTAATATTTTCAAGCATTATTTTATTTGTCTTGTTTTCTGTTGAACTCTAGTGAAGTCCCCTGCTATCAGAGGATCATCTAGCTCATGGGAGATCTTATATTCAGTTCAGCACAATGACTGCAGCACTAGACCTTGCATATGTTTCCCAGGTATGTGCTACTACTTGTGTTTTATTTCAGACTGAAGATAAGTTATAGCTTTTCCCATCTCAACAGACTTCATGTGTTATTAACCAGAAGTCATCTGGAGCATAAAGCAACTCAATTCAAATTTCCAGTTATTTCTGTGAATATTTCTGGCTGTTCAAGCTAGAATAACTTGCCAGATATTTGAAATATAGTAAAAATTGGAACCATTACATATCTGGAGGCATAATCAGCACTGAAAAGAAAAAAATAAAAATAAAACAAAGCAACACTTTGCCAAAATTTAATCTTGGTTAATTCTATTCAATATTATAGGTGAATCTGTCCAAGTGCTGCCCACAGAGTGGGCAGAGTGCTGCCCAACATTGCATCCAGCAGCTGATGGACACTGAAAACATTTATGCAGACAGCCAAAATTAATGAATCTCCAAACCCAGTAAAAGCAAATGCTATTTTAGCCCTATCCTGCAAGGCATATCAAACAATCCGTGCTCCTTCTACTGAAGTAAAATGCTTTTACATTATTAAAGAAGCAAAAACATTTTTTAAGAAAATAAGGAATCTGAACTGAAAAGAAAAGCAAAGTAGAATTCAAGTAGACAGAAAGATTTGATAGGGAAAAGAAAAGGTCCAAGATTTCCTCCATGTTTAACAAATAAGAATTCACCACACGAGCAATTGCTGTTGACACTGTGATTCAAGATGGCATTAGATGTTGTCCAGTAGTATTCCACAGAGATGTGTTATAAAGAAAAAATGAACTGAAACAGCATTCTGAAGTTGGGATGTCTTATGTTCCATATTACTTCTGCCCACTGCAGTAAAAAAATAAATCTCATCCTTGCAAATGCTCCTGGCTTGATAGTTTTAGTTCTTTTTACTTAGCCATGAGGCAGGACAGAATGTTTATGAAAGAAATATACGTAATGTTTTTCATTTGAACATTAAGTAACTGCCAGAGGAGCCAAGGAAAACGTTAATATATGAACAATATGTATGTTAAAAAAGGTATATATGCATCTCCATAGGTATTTTAGACATTTAAATTGCTAGCATTCATTTAACATAATTGGTAAACCTACATGAGGCAGCAGCCTCAGAAAGACCCCAAACAATTTTGGGAAAACACAGAAGAAGCAGTGAACCACAACTATTTGAGGAACATGCACATTTTACAGCAGAGAGCACAGCAAGCTTGTAACAAAGAATTTCCTTAATATTTAGAGAAAAGATCCCACTGAGAACGGTTCAGTGGTGACCAGTGTGATAGCAGTTGCTATACTTACATGTTCCTCTGGGTAAAAAGGCTGCTATTTGCAGCCAGTTTATTGGCCTCAGACAATTCCACTATTCTCTGCTCCAGTGACCTAATCTTCGAATCCATTGCATTGATCATCTGAAAAAGAGTGATGTGCCTTTGAGATTACACAATAAAAGTGATTTTAAAAGCAACATTTAAAAAAAGTTTTGGAGCTTTTTCCAGGAACAACACAATAGCAGAGAAAAAGAGTATTATGGGTGCAACTACTGAAGCAAGTACTTTCTGCTGCTTTAATAACTAGAGAAAAACAACCACTATATTAGCAACTTACGTTGTATCTTTAAGAAAATATTCTTGAAGATCCCTTGTAATAATTAAAAAAAATACATCTTTTAAAAGATATCTTTCAATACAGTTCAGCAGCAATGCAAACCCTCAAACAAGGCTAAAAATCATTGTCTCAAAAAAGCTCCTAGAACATTCTGATTTCCAGTTCAATGCCACATACCGCTTTCTGTTCAGCCAGGACTTTACATTTCTCACGCGCTTCTTCTTCGTGTCTTCTGAGCATATTCTCAAGTGCTTCCTTATCAGCAAGATCTTTCTTCATCTGGTTTTCCAAAACCTAAATGAAGACATTACTTTTGTCTAGATTACATTCATTTCAAAGGGCAAAGGACAAGCAGAAAAAAAATCATCAAGATAGACTATTTTTAAGCAATTCATCTCATCTCAAGCAACATTAGACACAGGATGCAACGGCATGAAAACCCTGAAACAGCAAACTCCCTCAGCTACCTCTGACGACTGAATTTTATGATGAAGTTCTATGAAGACATAAGACCTTATTTTATTTTTTAAAGATGTTTCTTGAGCACAGCGTAAATATTCCAGACTAATGCAACAGAAAACAAAAAAAAACCTCTATTACTCTGTGTGTGCATAGCAGAGGTGGTAAGGAAGTATGCATTCTGTGCTCACCCTAACAATATGGCTCAAAAGTCATTTTTAAGTTTTGTATTATGCACGAGACGGCAATTGAGACCCCATTAATTCTTTAGATCAGAGGCAGCAAATGAGTGAGCTAAGATTTCTTTTTTGTAACATAAATACTAGGTACAGGACTAAAGTAACTATTTGGTGTTGTTTTTTTTTCTTTTTTTATTCTCTTATTAAACACGTGTGTTTTGTTGGCAAGGCCAGAGTTTTAAATCAGTTGTTAAACTGAACATCATTTTCTTCAAGGACGGGTTTTCAAAGGCACAAAGAACTGCTACAGACATGACTCTTATTAGAACTTAACAAGTCTGGACACCACAGGATATCTTTTGCCATTCCAGTTATAAATACCTCATGCCTTGAATCTCTTTCATCTGGCTTCCAGATTCCATCTACTAAACCCTATGTCATATGTCCTCATAATTCACCGTCTGTCTTTTCCTTTTAACCCTATTCCAAGTCCTGTCATCTTTTCCAGTTTCCAACTTAGCACTTCTCCCAAGGTTTACTTCTTGCCTTCCTGCTTTCTGTCACTCTCATTACTGAATATCACAAGCTCGACCAGAAAATCTTTTCACTTTTTCCCTTCTCGTTTCTCTCACAGAAATACCTTTTTCCTTCCTAAGGACTACATTCTCAAACAATTAAGCTAAAATGTAAAGATAAAGTCCTAGGTAAATGTAATAGATAAAAACTGCTGAAAACAGGTTATGTTTAGTACAAAGAGCCTTACAAAATGCACTTACTGGCTGATGTATTGCAGGTTCTTTAGAAAAATCCTTAACCACAGCACATACTCCCATTTCCCAATTTGTTTTTCCTAGTTTTAGATGGTGTCTATAATTCTATTTCTAACTGTATGTTAAAGTCTTATGCTACCCTGGAAAAGACAAAAACAAAGTGGGTGGTTTCTGTGGCTTCTTGGCAGATGTTACAGCTCCAAGAAGATGGAAGTTTAGAAACATTCTAGTATTTAGAGAATGTAAAACTTGCAGGTAGGCTGTGCGAATACTCTTAAATCAGAAAATCTTCAGTAGGAACCAAACTTTTTTTCAGGACGAGAGATCCAAAACCATTTAGTAAGAATTATTTTGTCAGCAATGAATAAATTACAGTCAACAATTATGTAATTCCTACAGTTCTAACTTCAAATGTCACCTATTTTAACACAGATTAAAAACAGATAAGGTACAAGAACATGGACTAGAAGAAAAACTCACTCATATTTCACTAATCTCTCTGAACATTTCAGAAGTTGTAATCAAGACAGCAACTCATAAGACAAAGCGATCAAAGCCCAAAGGAAACAGTTTTTCCCTGAACCCCTTCTACCCACAAAAACTTGTGGGAAGATAAGAAGATTTTTTTTACTTTGAGTTTCTCCTCATAGAATTGTTCCTTCTGTTTCAGCTGCAACTCCAGATGTTGTGCTGAGATCTGAGCCTCTCGATGCTTTTCTTCCAGCTCCTAAAAGCAGCAGAGATTCATAGTCAGACACAGATAGGTTGTGCATGTGTGTTACACAGACACTGAACATTCACTGTCATTTTTTAAGGCTCTATACTGTATGATTATGTCATAGAGGGAAAGAGGGGGGGGAAAAAATGTTACAAGAGCTGCATGTGATCAGTTTTAAGCTTTATATATTGCTGCTGATCTATCCACTAGAGGCAACATGCTGCTAAAGACAAAGATTTCTACTTCCACAACAAGAATCTGATTCCCAGTATCATATTCTCAGACAGACCAAGCATGTTTTGTGAAAACAAGCAGTTAAAAACACTTATAGCTGCAGTAGCATGGCATCACAGGAAGCTCAATTTATTTTTAACAAGGTCTCTCACTTTGCTTTCTTGCAGAAGGCCTCAATAATGGGGTACTGCTGTTATGCTTTTCATTCTGTATTCACAGAGCAGGAATAGTATTTACTTCTCCACGTTCGTCAAGCAAATGTTGTCAGAATGACTGTTCATAAATTGTTTTGAAAATGAGAAGTACAGGATGCAATATATATGGTAGATGGTACCAGGGTATTTTTAACCTCTTTACCTCACAGCCCATAGTTGCAGCTATGCACAGCAAGGACTTGAGATAATTCTGCATCTCAGAGGTTAGTTATTTTAGTAAGAGGAACAGTCTGCTGTGTGAATCTATTATTGGGGATATATCTATAAACACCTTTCAATAGGACAACTCTCAAGAGCTGAGTTTAGAACTTTATGTTCCTTCACTGTCATATTTGCCATCCTAACAATTTCTTTAGTACAGCAGGCAGATCCAGGTCTGTCATTCACTACTGCTGTGTTGGCTGCTGCACAGACAAGTTCAGGTTTTGGGATGCATGCAGGACTCCTGCCTGCCTTCACTACTGCACAGCATAGGAAAATTTCCATTTCATATTCTTTTTTTCCCCTCAATTTGAAATCTACAAAGATTTCTTTGCTCCAGTAATTGCAGTAGACCTCTTTTTCCAGAAGAGGAAATCAAAAAGGAGGTTCACCAAAAGTAGGTCATCTACAGTGCCAAGTACCCAAAACTTCTGCAAGAAATGGAGATTGCTGCTTTTTTGCAATTGAAATGTATCTCCCAGCAACAAGAGGGACAATTCACCTCCCTCAAAAGCCCACACGTTTCTGGTCCTGGCAAAGAATCAGACCACCGGATCAGCAACAGTTTCAAAGCTACCAGTATTAGACTGCTTACATCTGAGTAGGAGCTTCACCAACTTATGACAGGCACTTAATAGGCTGTTTGCACTTAAAAGGTAACATTTTATCATTCCAGTTCTCTGCAACCACTGTTCTCTATGTAGCTCTAGCTTTCAATTGTTATTAGCATCATAGCAACAATCTACACTTTCAAGAATTAATAAGTATCTTCTCTAGCTTGTTTTTTACTTATTTAATTCTATGCAGACAAATCCAGCAGGACTTCTTAGCTACTAGATGACTATTACACAAATCCAATCCAATTTATTCAATAAGTCTACCTTATTCTATGCAATTCTGTATCATCAGCTCCTCTGCTATCCTTCTGTTCTTTCTATACCAGGAAAAGTCAAAAGTCTTTGAAGAGATCAACTTGAGGGAAGAAAGAGGGCAAAAGGGGAGGAAAAAGAAAACAAGAACTCATACCCTGTAGCTCCCGGATCAGCTGGGACTACCAGCTGCAAGGAACTAGGAAAGACACTATAGGATTATTTCTTTAATGCCTGCTTGACATGGTTGTTTTTCGTTTTATAAAATAACTTTGCATCTCTCCAATATTCTGTCAGAACTCCATGGAAACTATCTACGAGAAATGCTAAACATATCCCATGGAGTAAAACAATTAGCAGATATTTCTGCATTCCCTTCCAGATTTTCCTCCACAGAGAACATAATCAAAACCAATGAACAATCCCCAAATATACACAAGAGGCTTATGCAACAACAATTCAAAGTTTTACACCATTTCTAAATATAAAGTTGGCTCTGTGCCCAGCAAAGCCATAGTCTCCCACTTACCATGCATTCATGTTATCAAAACAATTTGAAAGAAAGAACACTACCAAAGATCTGGTTCTACCTTTTCATGAGAGCTCTCAGACATTCTGATGCTGAAGTCTATCTACGCAGCTACCACCCAGAACAAATATGGGTCATACTTGTCCAAATAAGGTAATGTATTTCCATTTGGCCTTCTTTGAGTATGTCTACTAATAAAAATAATACCTTTTTGTTCTTATCGTGTTGGCAACAAAGAAAGAACTCATTAGAAATGCAAATTATTTTAATTACTCTAAAATTAAGCTTCTTGTCCCAGGGAAGCATTTGAAATATCTTCTGTTTGGTTCCCTGTAGACTGAAGTACCAACTCAATATGAAGACTTAATATGTTTAACAAAGAGAGAAACAAGAAAATGCCAACAGAGATATGTGGGTGAAAATGGATTCCCAACAAATATTATCTTTGGAGAAGAACAGTTTAGATGACTAATTTCTCACTGCTACAAGAAGTAAGCATTTCAAGTAGATCTGGCTTCTAAATTCCTTTGCAATTTAGTTTAAAATCTAGATATCAATGCTTTTATTATTGCAGTACCCTGTACTGAGTTCAATGTGTTCCTACTGAGACAACCAGAATTTTAAAGTAGTCTTAAGATTACAGGTACAGTCATTAGGGTTAAGGTATAGTTTGTAACTAAAAGATGCAAACTGAATTTGAGAATTCAAGCTTTTCCAGTATGAATGGTACACAAAATGAATCCCTTTGTTCAACAATTTCCACCTTATTCAATGCAATTCTATGTCTTCTGTTCCTTTCCTACTCCTTTCTCACGAACTCTTACCCTTTATCTTTCATTTTCACTTCTGCTCACCAGAATTTTTTCTGCCATCTGTTGAATCTGTTGAGATTTAGTCTGAATATCTTCCTTTAGTCGATTTTCTCTTCGTTCCACAGTCTCTAATCTCTTCACTTGATTCTCCAGAGAATGGCGCCGTTCCTGCAGAACAATTAGTAAATGCTACTTAGGCTAACCAACACTGCATTACCACAAAGCAATGAGTAGTTTTTGGAAGAAGAGCTGAAGCTGATGCATGGTTGTCTTTTATATTTGAAATCCTCATCATGCCTCAAATCCCTTATCTTAATTACAAGTCTTTATTGCTCCTCACTGAAAATAACATCAGATTCCCTGTAAGCTTTCTTTTAATAAATAAACTGTATTTTTAATTAATATGTATAATAGAATAAAATAGATTGATGTCTAACATTACTTTCCTATGAAGACTTACTACAGAAATACAAGCTGTTCAGTCATCCAGATGAGGGTTCCTGAACTGAGACGCATCCCAATAACTAACTTACACTAGGCAGACCTTCTTCACTCACCTCTGCTTCAAGCAATTTCTTCTTCATGCTTTCATTAGAATCTTCCCGATTTTGAAGTTTCTCTAACTCCTTCTCAGCTCTCTCCTTAGCTTGACGGATATTCTGAAGCAATTCAGTTGCCTCTGAGCTAGCCTTCACAGCCTAAGTCCAAAGGAAAAGAACAGGAGTGTAAGAAAAAACATACACGTAAGAATTCTTGCTGTGTCAGAGCTCATAATGCCACAATGGTCAACACTCAGAACTTTCGCTTAGCAGTCTAAAAGTAAGATAGTGTACAAACGTGCTCAGGACCCCAAATTTTAACTTTTGTTACCTAATTCTTTTCTTTTTCTCTCACACACACACAAAATCTGAAAATTCAGGAGCTCAATATGTTTGTCTTGCTGTACTGCAAGTCTCTAGTTGTCTCTACATACTTGGTAGTCCATCCTGAAGTTCAGTTCAAGTTTTTGGAAAGGGCTGACAGAATACTCTTGCTAAAACACTAGGAGAATGACCTGTTTGCCTATGGATAATTCCTTAGAATTATTGAAAAGAGAAAAGCAGGGTAAAGTGTGACATTTTTGAAATTTTGTATGTAACATTTCTGAATGGTTTTGGCTTTCTATCCATATTCCAGATCACTAACCTTCAAAAAAAGCCCTTTCTGAGCAAGTGTCAAGCTAGAAAAGTCTTTCGGTGGATTACCACAGTGATCCTTTCTTCTCTGGTAAAAGACACCCCCCCAAAAGTGTATCATTTAGAATAAAAGTTCTCATGCTGTTGAGACCACACTACAGTCATTTGATACTTCCTTTAGCTTACATTGCTAAGGTATTTTATTTCTGTTGTGAAGCCTTAGCATTCAATTTTTTTTACTGTGAATAACTGAACCGGAAGGTGATTTTGTAATTAAGACACAGTATACTGGGAGACTGAGCCAAATTCAACATATATTTTGTAGGGAGTTAAAAGGATCTGAAAGCCTTGGCTTCAGAAACAAGAGATCAGAGCATTGCATACAGCATACCCAAACTGGCCTTCCAAATCAGAATTTCTCTACACTACTCCAGTTCTGACTCAGCTCTATTTGTAAAAATAAACACTGTTGACATGTCTCAAGAGCCCAAAGCATAGTGAAAACAACAAGGATTTCAGATATCAGCTTCCACCCCCTTTTCCTTATCATCCCCCATGCTATGACTAACTCTATTTCTGAGGATAAAACAAAGTGCATCCCTCCTCTGCATTAAGTTTTCACTGGAAAATCTCGTGGAAAATTCGCTTTCACCACCCAGACATTACCTTTGTCAGCTTTTCCTGCAGCTCCTGGATCTTGGCTTGCTGCTCTGTATTGATCTACAGTTAAATAGAACGACGGGGAGGGATGAATAAAAAGAGTGGTAAAACCAAAATCAAGAGAAGGCTCTCCACTTATGATACCATGTTTATTTTAATTCACTTCCTAAAAATCTTTGTTTCTCCCTGTAAATCTCAATGCCACAAAATGCCCCAGGGCAAATCCACTCCCGTTTTACTCGCTTCTGGTTGATTTCATATTTGGTCATCAAGTAGATTGATCAGTATGACAGAGCAATACTCAGAATTATTTTTAGTTTTCATTTGCTGTTCTTTACTCATGAACAAAACCTTCATGTATCAATAACCTAATTCCCAATTCAGATAAAACATAAATGGCTGTCTTTGCCTAGCATCAGAGCACAAACAATTAAGAACAAGATGCCAGAGTACAGCTTTGTATCAAATGAAAAAGAAAAGTGATTCACACCATGAAAACAAAAGGGGGGGAGGGGGTGTGGAGAGGTGGGAGAGGGTGGTAGGGTGGTGAGAAGAGGAGGAGGATGTGAATCTCTGCATGCCATTGATAACCAAAGACAGTCTTAGTTTTTGTGCATAATATGAAAGACCCAGGAAGCAAACCCTACTATATTAAAGTAACATACCTTCTCTAATTTGCAATATAATTCTCCTGCTTCGCTTTTTCCTTGATCTTTAACCTGTAACTTAAATACAAAATATATAAAATTCTCAGGAAGAGTTTCAGCACACTGTTTTTTACCCCTTTGTGTCATTTAAACAAAGTGTAATCTAAACACAAGCAGTTACACAAAATATACATAACAGAAAGATCTTTTGTATTAATTGTACAACGCTACACTAATCTTTAGAGAACTTGCATACAACTTCTGTTTGTCTAAAACAGCACTAGAAATATAAGCAATCATCAACTCCCCTCTCTCAAGAAGCCTTAAACTACCTTTTGCAATTTGTTGTGACATTCAGTAGCTTTACGTTTAAATTCTTCGGCGGCCATTCGGGACTCTCTCAACTCCGATTCATAAAGATCACTACGCCTGCGAGCTGAAATAAGATCCTCTTCCAACTGATTCATCATCAACCTCATTTCTTCTACTTGAGCTTGATATTCCTGCAGTTGTGGTGAAAGGGTAGGAAAAGGCATTACATTTTATAGGCAAGAGAGGAAATATATGGAGCAGCAGACCCCAGAACACCAACTGCAGGCAGGAGGTGCATTTAAAAACATGTAGAACAAAAGTGAAATATTAAATAAAACAGTGACAGCTAGATAAAGTAAAATGTCCATGGTGTTCCTTCTTGTTTGAATCTTTCCATTTTCAAGCCAAAACCTCAGAAAAGTTAAATCACTGCATTTTGAGTGGTTTTATTGCAGAAACACACACACACACCTATCTATCAATAGATAAAAATATCTACAGATAGATATATCTACATACAAGCGATTCATATTACTTACATTTCTGATCTCTGAAACAAAAATGTGCCTTTGAGATGATGTCTCTACTAAATGCACAGATACTCCTTCAAGATACATTTTCTCAGGCTGATAACATGATAATTACCACAGATCTGCACAGTTTGGATAAAAGAAAGGAGAAGCAGAGGGATAGTGTAATACTGTGGCTCCTGGCCATCCCTTATTTTCTCTCAACAAAGTCAAAGAGGAATGTACTGGTCTGTATAGGATACAACCTGAATCAAATACTGATTTAGAAGAACTTTCAGCCCCCTTTCCCACCCCCCCAAAAAAAAAACAACCCACACACATTTCCCATAAAGGATATTTGTCTATACAGACATTCCCCATGCAGAATACTGCAATAAATAAAGAAAGTGTAAGAAAGTGTGTGGAAAACATTTGAATTGACTATCTCAGCTGAGACTGGGTACTCATACTGACACTAGCTCATGAGATTGCTTCAGATTTCTTCACTGGGAAAACATGAATTATGTTTATTTAGCATTATTAGTCCTGTAAGTATACATTTTTATGAAAGTAAACAAAAAAAGTATTTATGATAAAGCTAAGAACAAGTACAAAAAAATGCACATCAAGAACTGTGCTAAAGAATGTTTTGAAGGACTGACAGTGGGGGAGTCCATTTTTCTTTGCATTCTAGTATCTTACAAAACTCCTAACTACCCCCATATTCAAAAGACTAACCATCTCATGACAAACTCAGGTTTGTCATCACTCCTTCCAGACAGCCATCTGTCCTCAGTTAGGCAAGTGACTGAACACAACCCTAATGTCAGCCTGTAATTCGCTGCAACACTGAGACCTTATGCTGCTGTTTTAAAGAAACTGAGACTAACAGATAGCTTTGCTATCCATTAGAGGGAGTATGGTAGAATGGCTCTTTGGATTGCAATCCCTAAAGTGACTCTCCAGTTCACAAGGCAGACAGATTCTCACTCCTCCAGTCCCTCCCTCTCTATGGATGATTCTATTTTCTTGCTGGAAGGAAGCAGAGCCTTTTGATAATATGTGAACAAAAATATATTAGCTCAAGTATTTGTTTCACACAAATACACTGATAATGTGTAAAAAGGGAGAGTAGTTTGAAGAAATGTGGTTTGTTCAGAAATCATAATTCATGAAGAATCTTCCTAGAAGAGTCAACTTCATCAGAGAATTACAGGTATGACTACAGTTGTCAGTGTGAAAATTAGTGTTTGGGAAGGGAGGAAAATGGGGAGGGAGAAGAGAAGAAAGAGGAGAGAGATAATTAGTAATATTTCATTTGTTTTCATGGTCAAGTAAAAGACTACATCACTCATGAAGACACCAAACAACAAGTCTTGAATGTACATTGGTCACAGTTTAAAAATTATCAAGATGTATTTAAGCACATATTAATGGACAGGCAAAGCTTGGGGCATATACCTGAAGCAAACTAGGTCACAGTAGTTACATACAAATGAGTACACCTTTCTAAACATATGAAGAATCTGATGTGCTACAAACTGATTAATTCATTTAGTCCTTCACCAAGTAATGACCAAGTAATGGGTCTCTAGTGGAAAAGAAAGGTGCAGTGAGGCTCAAAACCATCCTTTCAAACTCCAAAGTGCTCGTGGAAAAGCTGCTTATTCAAATTACATTTGATTCAAATTACATCGGATGCCTGGACTCAATTAACATTGAGTTCAAACAAATACATTAAAAAATAACACACACCAAAAAAAAAAAAAAAGGACAACCTTCAACACTTCAAGTACCACAGGAAAGCTGAACCTACTGTCTTGTCCTGAAAACACCAAATGCTTAATTACTGGTTTTGAAGTTTCTAGTATGCTGTTAATTTTACTGATTCTCTCTCAAGCTTGGGGTTTTCAACAGCAAAGCTCTGAAAGGACTCTCCCATTCCACCTCCCAGTTCCAACTGACTTAGAAATCATGATCCATGTCTTTACTGGCTAAGTTCCACCTGCTGGTATGAGTAAGCAAAAACATCTCTGTATATTTTGTTGCAGCGTTCTTGCACACTGCTCTCCAAGACCCCCACAGATATGGAAGTCTACAGCATATTACAGATCCATTTGCTGACCTAAACAGCTTTTTTAGGTCACTGTGAATCTTCACAAGACAAGTTAAAAGATTCTGAGATGAAATATTTGATTGAAAAAATACTTGCATTATTTTTCCTCTGTTAAATGAGTCTGTACTGCTCAAGAAGCTATTGATATTTATCTTTACAAAAAGTGTTCCACATTTCAATATTTAAAGCAAGCTTGCTAATGAAGCATCAGAACATAGAGTAATGAGCGTTAGATCCCTTGTATTACATAAAAGAACCATCCAGAAAAATGCTGTAAAAGTCTTTGGAGGCCTGCTACATCTAGAGGGTTGGTTTTGCATTTCATAACTTTTTACGTAAGTGTTTCTTATATCTGGAGAATTATTACCAAGATTTCTGGGCTTCCTTGCCTCAAACACTGGAAAATTAGTCTGCTAACGTGCTTTGAAGATGAAAATCATCAGATAATTGAAAGAATTGTTTGAACTCCATAACAAATTTCAGTTTCTTTAATATAAAGTGTAGCTATTGATTCACAAAACTGAATGGGGCTCTTTCTTGAAGAATATTTTTAATCCTAGAAGTGTTCACATTTGTTACCATATATTTTTTTTTTAATTTAGAAATTTTCCTTATGAACAACACTATGGATTAATGAATTTTCAACATTTTCCTGGTGGGAAAAATGATGAGCACTTTGGCAAATGGATGAAGTAGGAAAAACCCAGTTAGGGACGATAGGTTCTATTTTGAAAAACAGATGAGCACATTTTAAAAATGGCCAAATAAGAAGAAAAAAAAAATAGCTCAAAAACTAAGGCTAGTTCAGTTCTTTCCAAGGTTAAGATTCACAAACATGTTTAGAAATCTTCATAGCTTGAACATTTAAAATGGACAGTTCATTTCCAATGCAGCACATTACTAATGCATTTCAACTTCCTGCTAAGCTGGCTTTACAAAGTACCTTCAGGATCAGGAAAGTAAAGCCTGGAAGTTTGGAGTTTGTGCTTAGTTATATCACTTCTCATTTTGTTTAAAAAGCCACGTGGAAACATACAGACTGGAAGTTATCACAGTGAACAAACACAAAAGGAAGCCCAGCAACAGAGCTAGAATATGCCAAAGAATGCATGTTTGTAGGTAGCCATTCTACTACCCACAGAAGCAGATATACCTGTTCTTTGATCTCTTGCAGTTTTCGGCTCTGCTCTCTGATATCATGAAGTAACTGTAGGGCCTTATCATCTTCCTGAGACACCTCCATCCGTGCCTGCTCCAGGCTTCGCTTTAAGCTCTGCAGAAAGTGAAACGTTCAAAATACAGTCTTTGTTTTTTCAGATGGTTGTATAATAAAGATCTTTAACTATGCAAATTCTTCCTTGACTGTAGCGAAGCATCAGAAGAAAACCAAGGCACCAATGAAGGAACCATTAAAAAAAAAAAAATCACGACTAGGGTCTTTTATCTGTATAGAATCAGCCCATTTTACAAATAACATTTAGTACACTGAAACCATAGTTCAAACCTCCACTTCCTCACATCAGCCTCGAAGACAAAAAACAGAGATCACAAAAGGCATCTATTATTGACAGCATTTATCCATTTTTTATCTAGTACTATTAATTCACAACCTAGATACAATCCTTCATCTTCACATTACTAACAGTCTCATTCATTTTTTCTTGTTGCTCTTAAATGAGTTAAATCCTTTAATCGTCATTAAACTTCTCCAAAGGACAGAACTGCTCCAGGTTCTCAACACATATTTTACCTGCAAATTTCAACAGACCAGTAGTCCTCCTACCAACTGTGTAGGAATCTTCACCAGAAAGAGGCAAATGCTATTTATTTACCTGCTAGAAACTAGTATAGGAAAGAATCACTCTGTTCTAAGACATGTTTTCCAACAAACCTATCAGAAATGCTCCTCAGTTCTCTAAAACAGTTCATTATCTGCGTTGTTTTCCTTGCCAGGACAGAAGAAACAGACTAATAACTTCAACTTAACACAAAGAATATTAACCAGAATGAAAATACCTTCACTGGAATCTAGCCAGGACAACTGGGCAGACATTCCTACTCTCATAAAAAGCGCCAAAGATGTGGTTTTAAGACCTCATTTTTATATTCTATCTGAAAAATAGCAGCTCTCCTAGCATCATCCCTGACATTTTGCTGGGGAACTTGATCTGTCTGAGCTCCGAGAACCACAGATTCAGGCAACAACATCGTTGTTTCCTAATCATCTTATTTGTCCTTGAAGACCTCTGATTAGGCCCTCATCCTCTTCTGGATGAGAAATCAAACTCAAGGTCATTCCAGCACAACTAGTAATATAAATATATATCTTTCTGAGATATATATCCTTCTGAGATATATATATATATATATATATATATATATATATATCAGAAAGACCAAAAGAGTAGTTATTTCTATACGTTTTAAGTACATGATCACAAAACAAAGTTTGAACAGAATTATCAAACAAGCCTCTGCAAACAATTCAGTGCTCCATTTACTACAGAGAGCCTTTTCTCCTTCAAGTACACTACTGAAACCACAATGGAAGAGAAGACCACCAGATTTCAGGCCTTCAGAGGGGAAAGGACTGGGATAAGGGCTCACACTGCATTCTGTGATATAGGTGGCCAGGTCCTGCTCCAGGAGGGATCGCTGGGTCTCAGAGGCTTTCAGTTCCACCTCCTTTTGGCTAAGTACAGCCTCCACCTCTGACACTCTCCGGTGCAACCGCGTCATTTCCTGCTCCATCTGCAATAAATATCAAGAGGTTATAAAGGGGGGCTTCAAAAGCTTTGTTAACTGCTACTTTCAGAGCTCTGTTTGAGAAGAATTTGCCTCCAAGAGACTTCTATGCTATATTGCTCCAAAAGGTGTTTAAATTCCAATACCATTGTCTCTGCTCCAGGAATGCACAGTTCTTCTTAAGGACAAGTAGTAAGTCTAAGTCACCCCATTCATTCAAGCTGATTGTTCATATTCAGTCATTCTTCGAACACCAGTTAGCAAAGAAGCCACAATCATTTTTCACCTGACTTGCAGAGATGGTTCACTTTAACCTTATCCCAAATCCATGCTGGATCAGGAGATGGTTTCCCCCCATCTCCTTGTCAGGAACAAATGGTCAAATCCAGAACAGAGCAAGGAGAAAAGTAATTGAATTCTCATAAAAGTCTCAATCAAGCAGTGAGCTTTAAAAGACTCCACCAGGTTCCCTTTATTGGAGCACAGCAACTGTTACAAGATGTTCACCATAACCAGTGACACGACAGTAGTTATGTAAGCAGAAGCTGATGAGCTAGGAACAGAGAACCTCAGAGCAGTGCTGCTGTAATTGTGCATATGACGAAGACAAGGCAAGGCCTGCAGGAAGAAGCAGTCGTCTATGTCACGCTGAGAAAAGGACTGTTTAAAATCCAGAGCCGCTTCTTGTTATGATAAAAGTATCTACAGCAACAGCATGGCCTAAATTCATCTCCCTTTGTATTGGACAGGAATCCACCTCACTGAAGGAAAAGCACTTTGCCCACCACGAATCTGGATGATCAGCAGCATCTGACAGATCCCTGGACACACAGTGGTTGCAGATTCCTTGAGCAATGGAGACGGCCAACTGCATAAATAAATACCTTGTGACACTTGTCCTGGGCGTCTTGGAGTTCTTTGCTCTTGAGAAGAAGTTTCTTTTCCATGGAGCTGACCTTTGCTGGAGAATCCACACTTGAAAGCACGGATCTAAAAGAGCAAAGCCAAACAGCACATGAATATAGACAACAGGTACAGAAACCTGTGCTTACACAGCCTTGGTGAAATCACTGGGCACTTAGACCACACTTATAAGAAAAGACAACACAGAAGAAGCAACCATAGGCTTATAGCTGTCATTTTAATTCAAACATACCATTAAACTTGATGACACTATATCCAAGCTAAATCATCCATATACTTCTAGTTAAAATGCTCGTATTTTCCATCAGTGCTAAACAATAAACCTGAGCAATGCTTTTGTGTAACTCTTGTACAGATTAGTAGGTGCAACCAAAACAAAATGTAAAGCCAATTTAACCACTTGGAAGAATAATACACAGAGTATTGCTCTTCTTTTGTACATTATTGTTAAACACAATTTAAAACTATAATCAAAGTACTAGAGCCCTAAAAATATCAATATGTCATAATCTGCACCATGAGAATTTCTTCCCTTAATTACCTTCTATGAAACAAAATTGAACTAAAACTTTCTCAACATAATCCATATTATCCCCAGAGTTCCACTTTTAAGCACTTCCCTCACCCCCATGAGACACAATTTAACTGTACTATTCCAAACAATCTGACATCAGAAAACTGGGAAAAAAAAAATACTTGTTAGTCTAAAACCATTCTAGAGGAGAAAAGGAAGCCAATCAATGTCCAGGAGCATATTTTCTTGCTTTGCAGTCTGTATGTAATTTTCAATGCAAAAATTAAGTGCATGCATCAAAACATAATTAAAAAAAAATGTTGTACTGCCTTGCATAAAATGATTCAAACTCGATATTTAAGCAGTTAACAGTGCAATCTGTGTTAAGTGATAGATGAAAACACAGAAATACAATGAAGGTGCTAATAAAAGATCACACAGTCTGCCTACATTGCTTTCTGCTTCTCCTGGCCACAGCTTGGTATGCAGCCAGTTATCCCTATGGAGAAGAATACGCTTTGAGCAGCTCTCTGCATATAGCCGTACACCCACACACAGCAGCAGTCTCTTCTTAACACCAAGGAAAGTTTGATTCCATCACCACCATTTTCTGAGAAAAAGCTACTCCTAAATCCAAACATGTATGCAGGATAGTCACAAAAAAAAAACCCCACAGATCTTTATGAAAATGGTGCAGCAAAACGTACGTGTCAAAATAGGTCTTCAAAACCACCCCCTTAACACTCATTAGGAAATACAGTTTGAATATTAGCAAGTAAGTACAGCAAAATGCACCAATTCTATCTTGCTAATATTACTCCTTTTTTTTTTTTTTTTTTTCCCCAGAAATGTAGTGTGGAAAACTCAGAAGACAAATTCTGCATGTCAGTAATACAGATACAGTCAGACTTAATGAAAAGCAAATGTAAAGTGAACGCTTCTTTAAAGTGAACGCTTTAGTCCTGGTGCAGTCAACAGATCCATCAGATTACTGTATTTAAAAAAAATCAATTTATAAAGCATGTCTATACTCCTACAGAGAAAAAGCAACCATCTGAGAAAGACGCATATGAAATCCCTTAACAGCTGGGTGTACAAACAAGGCTAAAAATGAGTAGTTGAGAAAAGCTGTCTAAAAATACAAATTAAAACTCGCATTATCTAAAAAAGACACTAAGGAATGTGCTTGAAAATGTAAATAAAATCTATGTAAATAGCTGCAAATGTGTACCAAGTCTGGAAATCTTTTGATAATTAGAAGTTAGCTTACAGGCCGGAGCTGAACTGGCTAAAGCAAATTTTGTTTTGCCACCAGCCACCACCTTTGGATTTTTATTCTTTTCAAACTTGAGATATTACTTAACAAATCTCTACTAAGTTCTCAAGGAACTGATTTTACATTCTATTTCACCTCCTGACCATTTTATTTGTTATTTTTCCTTGTTTATTTGTTAGTAAAAGAATCAGAGTGTAATACTACAGACACCATCTTGCATTTCAGAAATCACTCCTAGCAAGTCACCTTACAGCATCTTTGTGCACTGCAGCCCAGGAAGCAACAGGGCAGATTCAGGCAAGATCCAGAGCTCAGCAAGGACACATTTTTCAGTCAGGAGTGATGGAGTGGGACAGAACAAGGGAGACTCACACTGACAAAGTTTTAATTTCATTCGGTAACTCTAGGGGGAGCTGCTCCTCAGGGCTGGTGTCAGTTTAGTAAGGAAAGAAATGGATATAGACTAGAATTACACTCTTTCTTTCTCATTCCTGTCCAAACAGAGTAAGAAAATCCCTTAAAAATACCTGTCCTTGTGACATGATGATTTTCCTGCCACGGAAACAAGTGCATCTTATCCCCAAACAAAGCTGGTTTCAGCCAGCACTGGACACATGGCTTTTAAGAGGTATCCTCTCCCAAGAATGCTTTTCTTTGTATAATCTATTTGGAACAACTTCATGAACATCCATACAACCTTAAAAGTATCAGAAAGGGAGCAGAGAGAGGAAATCAAGAGAAATGGAACAGTGACTAATCTAATAAGCCTTGTCATGGTGATATAAGCTCTCAACACAGCATGACAAGGTGGAAAATGCCCACCTTGCTGGTGCACTTATGTTCTTGCTCACTCAGCATCAACTCAGAAATGAAACATGAAGTTCAACATCAAAAAAACAGGTTGCAAAGCTATCGTCTAGGTTGGTGCCATCTCATAGTATTTCATTTAATTAATTGCTACATCTGGAGCTCTCCTTTTAGTACAACAGAGCAGATTCTGCTGCTTCCTCTGAAGTGTGAAAAAGAGATTGACAAAAGGTAACCAGCATACATCAACAAGAAAATTGCAACTGAAAATTTGAAAAGAAACAAACCAAAACCCCTCAAAGTCTATAGTACTAAGTGCTGATAGCACTAGCTGTGCCAATTTACTTTCAAAGGAAGCACTACCCACACGACTAAAAAAAAAAACAAGTTAACTTACAGCAGATTATCTAGTGATTTCACAGCTAGATCAGCAACAGCCTCAACCAGCAGAACCATCAGAAATGGTGCTAGTTGTATAAAAGCACCTTCACTCTTAACATGGCTGAGAAGAAAAAAGAATCAGCATGGGATAAACTATAGGATCATTCTGCAGCATGGAACTCATATTTCAGCCTCTCTTGTACATCATCATTCTTACCTTCCTTTATCCTTTTACGCCACTCTCACGCTCCCAGCTCACCTGTGCTTCTTCCTTCTCGTAACAACTGACACCATCTGTCCTAATCCTGCCCCCAGCACAGCATGCCTGGAACTCATCCCCCGTCCCTCATGCTCTATTCTTTTTAGCATTATACTCATCTGTACCTTCCGCCCCCTCGTAAATGCTTGCTCAGGCCTAAAAAAAACAACCAAAAACAAACAGTGATAATATCAATCTGTGAATAGAGCTAGCTGAAGCAAGGCATATTTTTGGTATGTTCATCCTCTGCTTCCTCTTTATCTTTGGTGAAAGAGCTCACCAAAGAACCCCACAAACTGTTGGGCAAAACCAGTGTTCTCCTCTCTTGGAGGAAGGGCTCCATTTCAATTCTCAGTATTTGGTAATGACAATCACCAATCAACATCACATTTTAAATAATTTTTTTTTTAAATTACCTTTTCTACAGAAAGGAACATATACAGTTCTACAGCAAGGATCATCTAGCACAGCCTTACAGACCCCTTCAGCTCTTTACTCCAAATCAAGAGAGAACAGAGTCAGGCAAAAATTTACATCATAAACTATTTGTTTTACTTGGGTTTTTCATTTCATATTTGGTTAGCTCTGAATCTATAACATGTTTAATCTTATGCCTTAGGGCTACTGCTAGTCACCTGCAGGGGACAAGAGTAATTTTCTTTTACTGCTTGATGAGTTATTCTAGCATCTAAGGGTTTTTTCACTTGTTCTGAGCATTGAAGATGAGCCATGCTCAGGGACAGGAAGTAAGGTGGGACTGGCTTTTAATGGAATTGAACTCTCAGTTGTCTGTTGTCTTTTCACAGCCACATGCTTATGGCAAAACCAGCAGCCAGACTTGCAGTCAAATGAGCATTTTTCCTCCAGATCAAGAATGCAGAGGCCATGACAGGAGTAGTTAGTTGGTCCTTCTCTGCAGCCTGCTTCCCCTTCCTAGGATCATACAGGAGACTTATTTAATTGCTAGTACAGGAACTTATGACATAAGCAATGCCCTTGATTTCTTCTGACTGCTTCTTACAACATATTACCTGCCATGCCTTTTGCTCTTCTGTTTGATCTCACATTCTTCCCAAAATTCATGGTGTGGGACAATGTAAGCAGTATTTTAATTCAACGAACCACTCTAAACTACACACTGACTAGGTAATTTCTGGCAACAGGCCTAAGTGACTTAGGTGAACCCTTCAGACCCTAAGTAATTAGGAGAAAGAAGAGAATGGGAAAACTTTTTATCCTTCTTCTGTTCAATTTTTTTGAACTATTCTTTCCTTTAAAGTAATTGAAATTCCCAACTCACGTTGGATGGCTTCTCACCATCCAACAAACTGGGTCCAGACTTTAACCCTAAACTTCGTGGCTTTACAGATCTCAAATTATAAGCAAGGAAAGTTTCAAGGTCCTTTTTAATGACACTCTGCAGTTGCCTGGCCTGACAGTGAGCAGCACTAGAGGCACTGGCTATCATGCTGCAGACACAGGAAAACAGATCTACATCTCTTAGCAACCATAAGGGATGGACTTTCCAAAGCAAGGTTTTAAGAAGAAAAACTCAGCGCTGATAAACTTGATGATTTTGGACTTTCAAGAGAAAGCAATCCAAGATTCACAACAGATAAGCCTGTACTTCATTTACTGCACTGTTCTCCATCTAGATATTGATATTCATAGTAGAATGGACAGAAGCAGTACTTTATTTCCTCAGTAAAGCACGTTCTGTGCCATATTTTATAAGAAAGAAGTTCACATCCCAATGTTGCAGTGATATTGAGAATAAACTAAGCACTGCATTATTTAAATGCAGACATTATTAAGCCTCCATTCTCTTGGCTATATTTAAATTGCCTTCATAGAACAAAATGCAAGTATTTATCTACTCTTAAAAATATCAGAGTGCATTTAACAAGAGTGTTTAAAATACAACAAAAAGAAAAGAAACCATTAGGACCTGTTTACATAGAAGTCATTTTGGTGAAAATGAGGTACCTTGTGATGTCTTTCTACTCCAGCTGAGGAAAGTCCAGGCCACAAGAAAAAATTCTACTTCTGTCATAGTTTCTCCAGAACGCATTAACATCTACATTCATTTGCTGTAGCCCTTCTCATCTATTGCCAAAATCCAAACACTGCTTCAATATACATCTTCGGTACTAGGTCCCCTAAGAAAGTATGTCAGTGCTACATCTGCATTACTATTAAGCCTCCAACCACCAGCACAGTTGTATCACTGCTCATTAGACTTTACCTCAAGCTGCTGCCCATTTAGTCCTGGACCCTCTGTCACATATACATTTTTACCATGTGTGTCCACTGTTGAACCTCTTCTAACTGTTACGTGAATGGCCATCTAGCTTTGACAGATAGATTACAGAGCCATTCAGGCAGAAAAGATAACAGTGAAAGTTATTTCACTTATAAATCAAGATAGGTTTTAACCCCAGGTTTCTACAGATACAGCTTTCCATTATTCTGATTCTGCTGACAATATTAGATCATTTCAACAAAACTGTAGTTTCCTGGTTGTTATGTGCTCTCCTTTCCTTCCTCTTTTGTCATAAAAGCAAGTGCACTGAGGAAGACAGTCAAAGCCTTCCTCTTTATTACTGGCATAACCATCATATAACCTTGATTCACGGTGTGGGCAAGATCAAAGAAGTCAACAGTGTCACCAGATCTGGTTGCACACTTCCCGCAGAGGAACTTTTATAATCAATATGACAGAAAAATGAAAACTTGATTAAGACAGATTGACAATTAAGTCCCTTCTGGGAACTAACTAGCAGCAACAAACGGTGGTTGACATGAAAACACAGCACAGTGCTTCAGTGCATTGAATCAGTATCCCAGCTAAAGCCATTGCATTCCTGAGAGGCCTCCTGATACTGAGGTAAGGACTTCTCAACTTAACATTCTGCACTAGTACTTTTCCCAATAGCTCTATCATCAGGAATTAACCACCTAACACACCAAATGGTTAACATCATACTATTTACATTCTTCTCTTTCCTGACTCCATTCTCTCTGAAATCACATTTCCTTACAACTGAAAAACCTTTTTTCTAGATTTTCACCTTTCTCCACAAAGACATACCATGCATACTTCACCTGAACCTCCAGTCTCCTAGCACACAACACAGCAACGTCCAGCCTTCACATTTAACTCAACCCAGCAGCACAGTCAGCTGCCATCAAGCTCCTTCCCTCGTTCCCCAACCTAGCACTGCATATTCCCAGATCAGTGCAGCTCCATTTCTGTGGATCACCAATTCAGCCTAACACATCCCCAGCACTGTGGTGTGCACTCTCTAGCCCATTAAAATGCCCTCCCCGCTTTTCCATCTCTGAACTCCTTAGAATTTTCCTTCTTTCTGTGGTCTGCAGTACCAAAAAATGCAATCACCTACTGCTCCCTGGTTAACAGCAGTAACTAATTCAAAGTAGCTGAACAACAATTTTAATAACAACCGGTTTAGAATCAATCCTCTGATCCCCTTCGCTCTCACCCCAAAAATCACAGAACATTAGGACATGCACCAGCCTCAGCAGCAACAGATAAAGCCAGAATCTGGCAGCTTCCCTAACACACAGTGCAGGCCAATTAAAATAGCTTTTTTTCCCACACGTACATCATTCTTCACTGTAACAAACCTTCATGTTTTTTTTCAGTGGTCAAATCCACCTAAGCAATAATTTGTACTTACTCTGATCTGAGGGTCCCCAATGCCTTGATGAATGAAAACCCTACAAAAGGCAAATCTTCACCCGAGAAACCTGCCGGGTTCAACTGCCGTGTAGAGGATAAAACCCCCGAATTCTTCTCTGGTTCATCAAAATTTGAGGTGTCATCATCAGACTTGAGAGTAGGAACGAAGGGGGGAGGAGCTGGTGAAAAAAGAAGGGATAAAAGACAAAATTCAGCTACAGTTCACTCTGCAACAGTCCCACTCATTCAGTGCTTGCAATGGCACTGCAGCTCCTGCTTTTAATCTTGCTAACACAAGCAGACTGAGCTGCTGCTCTCAAATCGTATTACAGCAACAAGAGATTAACCCTTCAGCTACCAACATGGCTACCACTCTGCAGGCAGAGTATCTCCCACACTGATTAAACGGAGTTATAGGTTGGAGATTTTTCTTTTTTGTGTGTGTGGATTTCTTTTTTCTTCTCTCCAGACATACAATGAATCAAATCAAAGCACGAGGCTAATAAAATCATTACCATAATACAGCTAAAGGTAATTCAATTCCGATTCATCTAGAAAATGTCTCCGTCCTATCCAGTTAGTGAAGCCACTACGTGAGAATGCAGCCTGATTCTTTGCTAGTTAGCTAAGGGATAAGATATCTACCCTTTAACATTACCAAAAATCTGCCCAGCGTGGGCTTCTAATCAATAGTTAACTGGTCTTTCATCCGGAAGGTTTTAATAAATTACAGCTACTGAAAGCTAACTGGTCTTCAGGATGAGAAGAAATACCAGCAAGATTTTATTTATCCAGAAGAGCTTGCTAAAGATCTGGAACTCTTGTTGGGACACCACTGCAGTCTGGCTCTCATACAATCAGCTTTGAAGAGAGGTATATATAGAAGGCATTACAGTCTATTTTTTACTATAATTTCTAAATTGGTACCACTTTAGTTGCTAAGCAGTTGTTTAATTTCAGCTGATTTTTCTAATGTTTACTTCAGTTTAATTAACCAACAGAATAAAAAGACGAGTTATTCTCAATGATGTGCAGCACCCCAGCTACCTGCTGGCACGGCTATGTGTGTGAAGGGAATGAATGCAAAATCCTGCTGTGCAATTCCTACCTCACTAAAGCACTTTTTCTACCTTTTTTTTCCCCCCCCTTCATCACTTGGATCCTCACTCACAGCAAATTTACTAATCTCTTTTTTGCTCTATGAAGGAGACAGCTCTTCAGCCCGTAACTAGAACACAGCCCATTGTCACAAGCTGATGGAAGTGTAGTGTGCTAAAACCGTTACCATGGAGCCAGTATAGATCTCCTGTAGCTGAGGGGCTGATGAGAATTGAAGAACCAGGAACAAACATTACAACCCCTGCAGTGCAGGCTCCCTGCTCCTCACTCTCTGCATGCTCGAGTTTAACCCTACCTGCCTGCATTCGTGACAGATGCTGATGCTTATCTGACTGACACAGGCAGAATGAGTCACGGCTGGAGCTTGCTAGCTCCCTCTAGGTTGCCAAGCCTTTCACAGTCTGCTTTTTAACTCTTAATTCTCTAGACAAACCCATGCTTAAACTACCCACCAGAACAGTATCGATAGCCAAAAATGTCCCTGTAAAGCATCAAATCACAGCTGCACACGCATGCTTTGTTAGCAGCTCTCCAAGGAGCCATTCTGACACTGCTGCCAAGCAGGGACGAGGAAAGAAATTCCATGGAGCAGATTGAATGCTGCTCACGTACAGTAGTTCCAAGTACATTAGAATGAGACAAATGGGAAAATACACAAATTAAAATGGGTCTGTAATAAGCAATTTTACTTACTGGTTTCAGATGTTAAAGTTTTCTGTCAATATTATGCATTTATTAAGTTCTGCTGTTTCACTGGTTACAATGCATATTTAGATCCAATACAATACTGACATGTATACATTGTAAACATAATTTTGGAATACATATTGTTTATTAGGATCTGCACCTAAAAAAAAATCCCTTACTGTCAAGATAGTGCCAAGCTATTCTTTATATGTTCTTAAAAGATTAAAAACATGTAAGCAACAGAATGCTGTTCATAAGTATATCATCTTTAATGCTAAGATAACCCCAAAATTACTGTTAACTCATAGCAGAGGAAGATAATTACAGAAAACATGTATTTTAGTGTAGCAGCTCTGCTTAAAGAACTTTGTGCATCCTCTTAAAGGAAGGGGTTGCTGTGAAGTTTTTTATGTTGCCTTTGGAGACAGATAAAGTTGATGAGGCAAAGTAGCAGAGCAAACAGCAAACTATTCACTTCGCTTGGGGAAGTCTAGAATCTTTCTTAAAGAGGTAACAAAAACCAACATAGCCACCTTTGTATAACGTTATATCACCCCTGTTATATGTTCCTCAGAATCTGACAGTTAATTTCAGCTTATAAAGAGAGATCTAGTGTCTAACTTCTCACTGGAAGGAAGCTAAGGAGCTCTAAAGAGTCATCTTTAGACATAACCATTAAAAAGAAAATCTTTTCTCCTAACAAGAATTTCTAGCCAAACTACTTGCATAGAGAAAAATACACTGTAAAAGTGCATATGATCAGCATGCACATAAAATGGTAAAACAGGCTAAGTGGAGAATAAAGGATGCAAAAATGAAAAACTGAATGCAAGACATACCAAATCTTTGGAGCTGGCAGGAAATGAGTTTGAAGAGCAAAGTGTTTTACGGTATGGTTTCTTCAAACGTTTAATAGATGCGAACAAAGAAATTGTGAAAGCTGTTTGAAAAAAACTCAAAAATATTTTTGCTCTCCATTTTGCATTTACTAAACAAAATAAAGTATAAAAAGTACTTTAAGTCATCCTGAACCATCACCAGTGACTGAACACGAGAATCAGAACTTTTTCAGTATACACTGAAGGGAAAAAAAAAAAAAACAAAAAAACCACACACACATAGGAGTAAGAGGGAATATCTTGAGGGAAAGAAGAACAGCTAGATCCATTCTGTTTAGTTGGTAGCTTCTTCATGGGCCATTATTCCTAAGATTGAAAGGTGCTTTGCATGATGTCCAAAATCCCTACGGAATCATTTACTTCAGAGAAGACCTATAAAAACAAGCTAATATGGATGAGCAATTTGGTTCTCAAATGAGGATCACATGGTGACATAATCTCTAGCCAATCTCTAATAATAATAACAATTATTATTTCTTACTGAAAATCAAAGGACTCCTAATTATCATATTTTTGGAACAAGATGAAGATTAGTGAATGCAAATGCATAGATGTGCTTATCAGCTCCTTCTTTAAAAGAATCTTTCAGAGGAGGTCAAGATAAGCCTCTAAGAGCTAACTGCTGAAATCATGTCATCACTGCTGACAAGGTGAAAGATTTGCACTTCTTTCAGGCTCACTCAAAAGGAAGGCAAAACTATTAGTCAAAAAGGCAGTAGAACTGATGCTTCTAGTCTTAGAAACTGTATAAAGACCTCTTCCTGCTTCTGATATATTGCAAATGAATATATATGTTCTGTTTACCATTTAAAGTATCTTGCAAGGAACTGCATGTTTTAAAAAAAGCCAATTGCTTGCCTAGATACCTCCCCACTTGTGGAAGGATGTAACCCTCTTCCATCTGTTCCAAAGAATGACTTTTCGAGGAAAAGAGGGTGTTGTGGGTTGCTAAGTTAAACCCCACACATGATGCAGTACTGTAACCAGCTTATCATTAAGATGAGATAAAATGTCCCTTATGAAAACAAAGATTTCTTTCATTATTTGTTTTATTTGGGGATGGATGTGTGTGTTTTTCCCTTCGAATGTGTGCATTTAGGACTAGTTCAAGGAACGCTGCCTCAATTGCGTCTCTCCTTCCTTTCAAAATATTTTCATGCAAATTCATGAAAGAGATAGTGCAGTTCCCAGGGGACAGTGAAAGATGAAAAAGGAAATTCATAGGAAATAAGAACACTTCTGAAGACTAAAAATGTGTCTTTTCTTGACATACAAGGTGATCTATATATACTTGCTGGGGAGAAGCATCTGCAGAGCCTTCTCAAGTAGGTTAGGTGTTACTCTCTCACGTTTTAAAAGGCATATTTCAGTAGAGTGTTATTGAATAAAAATAGAAAATAGCAGGTCTGACTGATATAATTTAAGGATATTATGTCTAAGACCATCTGAACAATGGAATTGTATGAGTTCTAACCCATCTATATATTAGTGTCTTAGCATCTTTTCTCTCAAGGCAATGATCCAACACATATGTTTCTGCTAATAAAAGTCATCTTCAAGCTGACATGAAAGTGATCTCCATTTAGAGAGACGAGTCAACACATTTTGCTGACAGCAAACATCTAAGTGAGACATCAAAACATTTAACTGTTAACATACTGAATGACAATTTGGGGTTTATAAGGATGAGCCTCAGAATTATGAGCAAAGAGATTTGAGTTCCTGGCTGTTTTATAACAGCCTAAAATCACCCTTCAACACTTCCTGAGCTTTTCCAGTTTGCTCAAGATTTTTGTTCTTTTCCTCTCGTTTCTTTAGTTTCCTCAAGGAAGATTAAACTGCTTTTCCTCTTTCAAGATCTCTTCGACTGCAGTCCAAGAGTCTTTATGCTATACATATGTACATCACGTAGATTATGATGGAACTTTCTGACCATCTATCAGGTAACCTTTATAAGACAGATTTTTTGTTTCCAATCGAACAGTTGATGCTATTTCAGGATTTCAGACAAGAAATGTGATTAACAAAATTCTCAGATCTGCAGCCTTGTTGCCAATAAACCAGACATGTCGCTTCCTAAGCTCTACCTGATTCTAGATACTTATCAAATACTCAGGAAGTCCAGTCAGCAACATTCCAGTTAAAATCCTGATCTGTTAGCTAAACATGTCTGGAAACACGTTCACCCTAGGCAAATAAAAATCCCAAATATTTTCTGAAAACTCTATCAAATGAATCAAAACAAGCTATTCAAAGATTTCTTAAAATAAGTTTTCAAAGTTGTTAAATAGGGAAATCAGCAAATACAGAAGGCAAGATCCATGGATATCTTTCAGTAAAACACCCTAAAGAAGAGAGGAATTTCCTGCTAAGACAGATTCAAAGTTCACCTTTGGTTAATGGCTGGATTATTCTGTACCTTAAGAGCTGCTTCTACAGGTCTGTGCTGCTTGATTCCAAGAAAGATTGGGGCTTTTCTGAAAGGCAACTGGTTTTCTTTTGGGAAGGAATTTACTGAGAAGTGAAACGTTTCAGAGGTTACTCTATCAACAAAACATAACACTGAAAAACTGCTTAATGACACTTCCGTAACCTAAAGTGATGCATTAAAAATGGTTATTCTGGAGTGCCCAGTAATAACTTAAATACTTGCAAGGCATGGGTACCAATTTTTCCCTACCTTTTCCAGTCCAAAATACAAATAACATCGTTGCTTTAATAGACTAGAAAGAAATCAGTTCGCCGACACAGAATTTATTTAATAATGACTTGATAAATTCATATAGCACGGCCCCAAAATCTCACACTATTAACCTAAGGAAATGAGATTCCTTGGTCTAAATGAAAACCCTGCGGCCTCTTCCAACACTTGCTGGCTTCCTGGTTTCCTCAGGTTGCCACTGCTCCAGTTAAACACCACTATCATAGGAGGCTGAAGATAAGAAAGAAACCTTCAGCTCATAGGCAGCCCAGGAAGAGTCTATCAAGGCTTTTGAATAGAACGATAGTGACACTATCCTGAATAGACCAGCAGATAGAGAACCACTGCAGAGAGCAAAGCAATAGGCAATACACTGGATCTGCTACTAAAAGCAAAAAGACTGCTGTGTTTTGTGCTAGTTACAGAGAGGTTTTATGATGTACAAGACATAACAGCCAAGCCAGGGGTCAAAACTGCATGAATCTTCACTGTAGGTAGGTCTGGATATTACAGGGAATGATGCAATCCACAGGTCAGCTGCAGACCAAAAAAAGAATTTTTTAAAATCCCAAATGACTACTTCAAATTTTATAATGACGGCAGAATTCCATCAGAATCACTGTTATCACATGAAATGGCAAAACACTCTCAAATTAACTTGTGCAGTTGTGTCAATGCTGGACAGGCAATTGCCAAGGAAACAACAGAACTTTTCCTAAATACTGTTTTTTTTCAGATATAAGATATGATAAAAATACAATACAAAAATTTCAGAAATGGGCACTGGTAGCTTAGACTAGATTCTGGGTAAGGAGTGCAGAGCAAGCTGAAGCCTGGGAAATACATGCTGAAATTATAAGAAAGATTTCTCATTTGAGGTTCAGTGGCTCTCAAAGGGCAGAAACAATGGCATTTAACAGAACAGCAGTTTCACAAGTTCAAAATGAATGAATCAACAGAAAAGCAGGTAAACATACTGTGGAGCTGACAGCTGAAGTGCTGAGACAGTCATCAAAAAGCAGAAGCGTTGGCTTAGCAATTCATGAAAATTAGAGCACAATCATTGCTCTTAATACAGGGGAGCATATTTGATAAAGAATATAAAGCAGACAAGTTCTGCTTTATATTCTTACAGTCCAACTAACTTAATAATCTTACAGTCCAACTAACTTAAAATAGCACCCAACACAAGTTGGGCACTCATAGACAAAATGCTTGCTTTACAATGGTGCTGGTGCCTCAGTACTTCCAAATACTAATTTCCATTATTCCCCCAGTGTTATAAACAATTTTCTGCTTAGAAAATTATCTGCTTCAGTGATTTTAATCTATTCCTACTGGAAAGAATAGATTTGTGACAAAATATGTAGCCATTTATTAGACACATTAACTTAGAGGAAAAAACCACCAATGTTCCCTATGACCTCTGACATTTTATCTTACAGAAGGTTAAAAAAAAAATCTAAAAGTTGGATAGCAAGTAATGAAAGAAAGAAAGATAAATGGACAATATACCAGAATGCCAAAATGGAGCAAACTGAGGTGGAAAAGGCTTGAAGAACACACATGCATTTTCATCTGAGGAAAGACATGTAAAGGCCATTGTGATTTTCCAGCCTAGTGCTCACAGTAATACAACAGTTGCATCAGAAATTCATACAGAAACATATTAAACCTCACCTTACCATACAATTTTCACCTAAGAGATATCCTATCTAAAAACCAGAACAAATTGTTTTGTTAAAAAACACCTGCTCCTGAACACAGTCCTGTTTCATTACTAACAATGACTCAGATCAAACACGCTTAAATACTGACGCTGTACAGATTTTCACATTACCCAGAAATCAGGAATTGTTTATGAATGCAATGTTACTTTACTTACAGTTACGGATATTATTCCAGTCAATTTTAGAAAAGAACGGATGGCAGCAGAGTCCCTCATAACCCAGCCTTTCCTTTTGCCCACAAAGCAAGCTCTGGATCAGATCAAGAAATTCACTGCTAACTTTCACATCCTCTGGGAACTTCAAGTATCTCTGGGTTAGAAAGAAAAGAATTTCTGCTTAGGAGGAAAACAGTAAGATTCTTAAGTTTCAATATACTAAGATGCGTCAGGCACAAAGCACACAAAGAGGGGAAAAAAAACACAAAACATTGTGGATATTTTCCAAATAGACTTTGATATAAATTTACTATGCTATAGGAAAAATACAGGAATGACCATATCAGACCAGACAAAAAGCAGACCCAGTTCATCATGCTGAACAAGGTGGAATGGTCTTAAACTGAGACAGGGGAGGTTTAGGTTAGATATTAGCAGGAAGTTTTTCACACAGAGAGTGGTGAGGCACTGGAACAGGTTGCCCAAGGAGGCTGTGGATGCCCCATCCCTGCAGGCATTCAAGGCCAGGCTGGATGTGGCTCTGAGCAGCCCTGGTCTGGTGGTTGATGACCCTGCATATAGCAGGGATTGAAACCAGATGATCATTGTGGTCCTTTTCAACCCAGGCCATGCTATGATTCTATGATACAGAAGAGTAAAGCAAGACAGATCCACAGAAAATCCTCTCAAACTTCCAGGAATTTAGGATTTTCTGAACCACAGATGATGTCTTCGTATTTGCCAGATCCCAATTCGTTGTTCTTCCATGAATTTGTTTAGTCACTCCTTGTACCCATATAAATGTTTAATAGCTGCAAACAATCATGCTGGGGAGAACTTTGCCACACATGAAGTGTCCTTTTTGGTTTGTTCTGTAGTTGCAGCTGATTACTTTCATCTAACACCCCTAACTCTCATACCAGAAGAGAGAATTATTTCTTTTTGCTTTCTCCCAGCTTTTCTTTCCTACAAACTCCAACCATTTTATATTATTTTTCTTTTTCAGTTACTAAGAATTAAACTAATGTTTCTGTAGATTATAACATCAAAATACTTAAACCCACCACTGGGTAAAGTTGGGATACCTATCCTTTCACACACATGGGGTTTAAGTGTATTTAACTTTCACTTGACATATTAATTATACATTCATTCTATATCCTCAAGTCCTCAGTTCCTCATAGCTGGCCCTTACTTTACCAACCAGAAGCATTTTGTATCATCAGGAAACTTTATCAAATCACCTTTTCAATCCTTCTTCTAGATTATTTTGGAGATGCTACTGTTATAATTGCCAAAAATTGACAAATAAATATTTATAAATTCATGTATTGCAGATGCTTATTTTTTTGACAGCGATTATAAAAAAAAAAAATCACTTCATATTTACAATATGAGGATATATATATAAGATTTTTAGCATTTTATTTAAAGTATACATACGTTATATGAACATGACAAATTAAGAGACATTACCTACCTTTTTCAATTGTAAAAACATTTAGTTTTTAGTTACAGCCTTTTTACCCAGCAACATAAAAGCAATGATCTCTACCTGGAAATTCATGATGTTATTAAAAGTTTTTGCTGAAGTTCCTTCAGTGAATGGAGATCTTCCATAAATCATTTCATACGCAATGACTCCTAAGGACCACCAGTCACACTCTGGACCATAAGAAGCTTTGCCATCCCCATTCAAACCTGTTAACATTTCTGGTGCCATGTAATCAGGTGTGCCAACAGGCAGCTTGGCATTTACCTGGAATAGAAGCAAATACACTCCAAGTGAATTTAGAGCACTTCTGTTCATTGATCATACTAATAAAACTCCCTGAAACAAGAGACACGTTTTCAGCTCTCCAAGTTTAAGTAATTTTAACCAAGACTGATAAGCAAAACACTGAAGTTAGCGTAACAAAGAATTATTAGATATAAAAAAGGAGTACAAATATTAGAGCTGTCACTGAAAGCTGATGTTAAAAGAGCAGCACTGTAAAAAGAACAGTGCTACAGAAAAGTGATGTTTTGAGCAGTATGCATACCTGAGCACTCTGTTATTAATGGGAACATCATAGTTGAAGGTTCAAAAAAAAAGTACCTGTCACATTTAGACACTAATGTTCCCTGGCCTTGTTCCATTCCGTGTCATCCCTACCTTTTTGCCTTGTGTTCAGGATCAGCTAATGTTCAAATTTCATAAATGTTTGGAAAAGGTAATTCAGAAATGAGAACTGCAATAATTTTTTTTCACCGAGTGGCAGAAAAGAGTAAAAGAAAACAGCAGGGATACTAACAGAAACCTGAAGAAGACTGAAAAGATAAGTAACATGAAGGAAAAAACCATACAAGAAAATGCAATGCAGAGGAACACTGACAAACAAAGAATGAGGAAAATAAAGTATAAAGAATCACAATACTGACAAAATGTTATGAGACATGAAAAAATCATAAAACAAGTGAGGAATCTGATGTAAATTTCATATTCTCACTTAGGTCTATTTTAATTGAAATTATCACTTGAAATTGTGTGCAGTTTCCTAAATTTAAAATCATCTTATAACTACAAGCTCAACTTCTTCACAACTATGAATACAGTGTTTTTTGTGAGCAAAGCTGGATTTCAGAATGCTGGAATGTGACTCATTTTAATCAAGAGTTCCTCTGTCTTCAAAACTATGTTACACCTTAGTTACAGCAAACATAATTTTCAGTCCAATTACAAACAATTATAAGTTCACATTCTTCTTTAAACATAATATTTAATACTTGTGAGAATCTCTAGAAGGATGATTTGGTATTGCAGTGTAGCAGCATTGGAAAGTAGACTTGCTTTTACCCTTCTTATATATTAAAACTCAAATAAGCAAATATTCGTCTACTGAGAGCTGCAAAAGATACTCAAGCTTTTGTTTAAAAAGCCTGTCATAACTGGAAAAATGTCATCACAGCTGGATTCTATATTAGACAGGAAAGAAGAAGATATAATCAAGCAACACATATAAAGTTAATTTTCTCTTTTTGACTGTAATATCCATACAAGTCATAGACAAAACTTAAATTACCGTTTTGTTTACTGTCATTTTGGCAGCTGACCCAAAGTCTACCAATTTAATGTGTCCTGTCCGGTCAATAAGAACATTCTCTGGTTTGATATCTCTGGAAGCAAGAAGAAAGCAATCAGTGCCTTTTTGTGTCTTTCCCCAGCGTCACATCTGGACAATAGCATCTCCCTTTTCAGCTACACTCAAGCATATACTCAGCTGCATAAAACCTTAACAATGCATTACTATTTGAGTCTCATTTCCCACTGCTGTTCTGCTTCCAATTAAATATGAAATTGGTCAAATTCCCTTCATCATCACAAGATTCCTTCATCTCATAACTCTTCATAAATATCTAAACTGCGGGAGCCAAGTTCATGGAGGTGGACTCTTTAAGGTGGCAAGCAACAACAGAAGGAGCAATGGGCAGAAACTGGAACACAGGAGGTTTCACACTAACATAAGGAAGTCAGAGTGACTCAGCTTACTCTGTGCACCTTTCAAATCCAGGCAGCCAACTTACATCAGAAAGCCACAATCTATATCTAAATGCAACCATTACAGCTGTTTGGAACATGAAATACTGCGTGACACATCTGAAGTCTCAGAAGTGATGGAATAAATCTTCCTTTAAAAAAAGGACATCTACAAAAAAGGAAATGTACAATTCTACCCATCAATAAATGGGATAAATCAACAATATGAATTAGTTGTAGCCTTCATGCTTTGATATAATTTTTAGAAAATTTTGCAATATTTAATTATTCCAAAATACTATACCACCCTCTTCAACAAGCAGGTACAGCAACTTTAACAATTACATTACTTTCTTGTACTGCTTGGTACTAAAAAAAAATAAGCCTTTGCTCTGGAAAATATTTTTCTATTAAAGATTTTTTTGCCTTTTTTTTTTTTTTAACTAAGCCTAAAGAAAATATAAGTAATAATATTTTCTTAATATTAGTTTGAAATTTACATCAAAGTTAATGCCTTTATCTGCAATTACAGTTTATGTATGATTAATTTTCTAATCCCCTCTTCTGATACAGCATGTGAAATACTGTCCTTGAAGAGGACGGAATACAAAAAACATGAATGCATCATTCCAGAACACTTGATCTGGAATGATACTGATTAAATACTATGTGTAAGGACAAAGCAGTTATTACCTACCGGTGTACATAACCCATCTGGTGGACACTGTGAATAGCTAGAACCAGCTCTGCAAGATAAAACTGCACCATGCTCTCATCTAGTTGGTCCTCATACCGGTTTAAGAGTGACAGCAAGTCCCCTCCAGGCTGGTACTCCATAACCTTCATGAAATTTTAGAGGAAGAGATACAGTTTATATAATACCAAAGGTATATATAAATAGTTTATATAATACCAAAGGTATTCCATTCAACTCCCCCATATCACACATCAAAGAGTAGCATGGAACACCGGAAAATTTGCAGAACATAGGCACAGTTCAGACACCACACTGTTCTTAAGTATAACAACGTTAACAGCGTTGAATAGAGAAGAAGACTAGCATTACCAAGTAAAGATTTTTCTTGTCTTGAAATGCATATTGTAACTGTGGAATCCATGGACTGGTACTCTGAGATAATATACTGCGTTCTTCCTCAAAAAATGACACCTACAAAAAAAGGAAATGTTCAGTTATATGCTGGTGAGAATGGGCTAGAATACATTAGAATTCTCTGGTTTTAGAAAGACGCAAGTCTGTGCCAAAGGCATTATATATAAAAAAAAATTGCTTAGAAACCATTAAATACCATTTCCTGGTAACGTGTCCTTTTAAAAAAGTGATATTACTCCTTTGTGCTTTCAGTTCCCTCCCACCTTCTGTTGTCCAGTTTGTTGGCAACTGAATAGTCCCTGAAGAAAAGGTCAGCTCTCCTTTCATACTGGTGAAGTATCTACCAGTTTGGAGTGCAATCGTGACCTCATCTGGATTGGCCCTAATAAAATAAAACTAATCTCAGACAAGAAGAAAAGTTGCTAGGACAATTATAGGGTAGCACCTCACAGCTAATCAATGAGTGGCTTGGGTTGGAAGGGACCTCAAGGATCACCAAGTTCCAACCCCCTGCCACAGGCAGGGCAGCCAACCTCCATACCTAATACTAGACAAGGCTGCCCAGGGCCCCATCCAACCTGGCTTTGAACATCTGCAGGGACGGGGCATCCACAACCTCTCTGGGCAGCCTGTTCCAGCACCTCACCACTCTCTTGGTAAAGAACTTCTCCCTGATATCCAACCTCAATCTTCCCTCAATCAACTTAAAACCATTTCCCTTGACCAGCCATTATCTATCCTTGTAAAGACTTGTATTTAGTAATAAATTCATGATAGATATTAAAATACAAGTTTTTTTTTAAATCCTGTTTTCACAACTATTCCTTTATTCAGACATAGTGCTGGACAATAAGAAATTACAAAAATACTGATAGTTCATTTAGATTATTGTTCCCTACTTTCACTAACTGCCATCTTGTGGGTAACAACACAGTTTGCTCTTCTTGCCAACCTGTGCCATAGCAAGAGTAATTATAGTTTATTTCCATTTCTGACAGCCACAAAGAATGCCAGAAGCTAGAGAATCTCAGGAGCAACTTCACTGCAGCCATATATTGGGAAAAACTAATTTAGATATTGCTGTACAAATTCATGAGACAAATTCACAGACTCTGTCCTACATGTCATCTCTTATCTAGTAGAAGATTAACTTCCATTTCTCAACAAACTGTGGTAGCAACCTTATCATTACCTTGCTGGGACTTTTTTTGTTGTTTGTTTGGGGTTTTTTATTTGTTTTTAAGTTTTCAAGTTACATGTCTCTCAAGATAGCAAGAGGCTCTCCGTAGAAAATCAGTCACCACAGTTTGCCATCACGTCTACTCTTGACATTCTATGTTGCTCTTTAAAATAAAATAAGAACTTAATGAACAGATTACCTGAAAATTTAAGCCATACTGAGTTGTTCATCAAGCTGATCAAAATAGACTCAGTATTTTTTCATACTTTTCATTGTTTCTAGCCTTACAATTTAGATGATAAGCTCTTTGAGACAAGGACTGTTTTCCTGTTTTGCATGGCACCTCTCCCAGTAGATTCATGGTCTGAGACAATGGCTTTTAGACATAGCAGAACTACACACAGTTACACTTCTTCATTAAAATACAAGATTATTCTTCCTATCCCATACTTACATTAAATGAAATTTGTAAATTTATAAAAGATTTATTTTTAAGTATAATAGCAGTAAGAAAAAGAAAATGCCCATCAAATTGTAGTTTATGGTTCCTCTGCCATCACAGAAAAATATACATACGTGCTCCTGTGCCAACAAAGACTCCTTGCTCATCACCTTCATAGCGTACACATCACCAGTAACTTTCTCCCTTACTACTTTTACATCTGCAAAGTGACCACAGCCAACCACGCTCTTTACGTCAAAATCCTTCACGCTGGGTTGGAGTTCCCTTAATTCAGCTATAGTCTCTGCATCTATAAAAATAAGACATTTATTTTTAGGTTAGCTAACTGGCACTTCATAATGAACACAACATCCGCTATGGGGAATAAAACAAAACAACAACAATAAAAAAACCCCAGAATATAAAGAATTGTTAAATCATTCCAGAATATGCTTCTTAAAAAACAGTATATATAATACTAAAAAAAGACAGTATTAATACATAGTTAAAAGTGAAACATGTACATACAAAAGAATCAGGAAATGCTAAGACAGTTTCCATAGCAACCATAATTTTGTCCCATTCATCACGCCATAGGCTGATAGCCTCTTTTGTTTCTAATTTCTTTCCAGCTATCCCTTGCCAATACAAAGCACATTCACTAAATATGAGGGGTTTAGGCAGTCAAGTTGTGCAAGTCCAGAGGCAGGGTTCAGTCCTCTGCCTGTGGGAGGCACTAGTCCATTGTCTAACAAACAACCATAGGCATTTCTTTCAGAGGTTACTTTAGGTTTCCCATTGAGGAGTCTCAACCACTGTGCACCGTGACAGATAATTGATCTCTGTAGAGCATTCTAAAAATTCTTCATACTCTATCAGACAACTATTCTCAACTAAAAACTGCCGGTTGGAACTTTACAAAGAGCATGATAAATTACTGTTTACCCAGTTTTTTGTGTTTCTTAACAGAAAGGTTGATTAAGTTTTTTTGTTTAAGTATTTGAACACTTTTTCAATATTTAGTCCTACCTGATTAATCCATCTGGAATTATTTCTGAAGTACAGGATTGCTACTTTAAAAAGTTACACAAGGCAAAATATGGATAAAACGTGGAATTGAAACTACTACTTCACACTGAAAGAACCAAGTATTAGCAAAATAATTCCTATGGTTTTTTTTTTTTTTTTGGTCACCTGTCTTGCTTTCAACATCATTCTATTGCATGTACTTGGAACATTATGCAGCATTAACAAAAAATACTTCTTCAACTAGAAACATAATACAGCCTAGGAGAGGTGAACATTAGAGTCACAGAATCATAGAATCATTGCAGTTGGAAAAGACCACTAAGATAATCTAAGCCAACTGTCAGTGGCATCCCCACCACACCCAATAACCACATCCCCTCAGTACTACGTCTCCACAGTTCTTGAACACCTCCAGGGACGGTGACTCCACCACTGCCTGGGCAGCCTGTGCCAGTGCAGCACCACTCAGAAGAAATTTTTCCTGATATCCAGCCTGAGTCACAGCACTTCAAAAGCCACTTGCAATCCGCCTTTCTGGACCTAAATAAAGTTTAGTAAGATGCCAACGTTCCCTTTGCAATATTGAGTCAGCCCACAGAAAGCGAGATGCAAGTCCTACGTTACAATCATCAACAAATTTAAGCAACTATAACATAATTTAAATATTCAGGTTCTTAACGACTATCTTTTAAAACAACACCTAAAAACTACTCCAAGGAGCACTTACACTTCTTGACAAAGTTGCCAACGTGTTTGATTTTCATTAAAGCAGGGTTTCTACATTCTTCAAAAAGAGCGAATAAAGAATCGAGGATGCCTTCCCGGGAGAGAGGAGACATCTGCTGTTGAGTCACAAAGAGTGGCTTCCCCTGGAATAAAAAAGAAGCAACAGCAGATGGAGTCTCAGACAACAATGAAAAGCCCCAAATCAATAACATATGTATAGAACAGATTATATATTATTCATTTAAAAATCACTATTTTAGAGATTAGACAAATAACGCAAAAGCATGAGGTAAACATATCAACTCAGGACTTCTAAACATAATGGCTGTTACAGGTACTTTACCTTTAGACAAAGCAATCTTCTAAAGGTTGTTAAAGCTCAGATCTCAGCTTTCTTGGATCTATCTACAACCACTGATGGCTCTGATCCGACTGCTTGTCCTTGACATCGCACCATATGTTTTATTCATGGTTCAAAAGCAATCAGCATCAATATTAGCTCCAGAAGGAGAAGCTGTTGCACCTCAGAGGATCAAACAACAGCTGGCTGCGGAAATTCATCTCGTGACAGACTCTCAGTTTTACCTCCCATGGAAAGGATGTGGATTAGAAGACACAGAATGCAATATTCCGTCTTTATGTGGGAAAATCCACTCATATTAAAACGTTACCAGATGTACAACTCAACTTTGTGCAAATGACACATGAACTCTGAACTTTAACAGCTGATCTCCTTCCTTTACAAAAAAAAAACCACAAACAAAACACCCACAGTTGTGCTCTGAGATCCACACAAACGAGAGCTGGGCTGTGGTACACCTGAGATGGACACAGACAAACCTGAGCTGAGCAGAGCCAACAGCAGACAGGTGTTTGCAGGTTTTTTTTTACCTGAAAGAGCAGATTGAGGCGAGAGGCACGGCTGGCAATGGGCTCCATAGGACCCGTGTCAGCCGTGGTGCGCGTGCTGTGCTTGAACTTCAGCATCCCGGCAGCCTATCTCGTATAAAAGGGCACCTGAAAAAAGGAGAGGCATTTGAGCGAGGGACGTTGACTAGAAAAATAAAGAAGCTGGGAGGAGAACCTAAGCTGCAGGTGTATTTCCATAGAAACAAAGGTTATTACAACTGGATTGCCGAGAGCGTTCAGAACATCGAAACGATCGCGTTTCCTCAGAACGGCGGTAGGTAGAGAACAGAACCCTCCCGGCAGAGCCCGAGCACCGCTGTTTGCGCGTCACGGAACGGCCACCCGCGCTCCCGCCTCGCGTCCCCTCAACGCCGGCAGCGCGAACCCCGACTTTACCGCCATCCAGGTTTGAACGCGGCCGGGGCGTGACCTCGTGACCATCACTTCCGGCGGCGCGCCCCGCTCCCTCTCCTCAGCCAATCGGGAGGCGCAGCCCGGCGGAAGTGCGGTGCTGAGGGGACGCGGCCTCTGCAGAGGCGGGTAACGGCTGTAAGAGGCGGCCCGCCCTGCCCGCCGCAGAGCGACACTGGGGAGGATCGCGGGGCTCCCCAGAGCCCGGCGGAATGAGGAAAAGGAGAGCCCTCAGCGCTCGGGCAGCGCCCTGCACACCTAGCGCGTGTGCTGCCTGCCCTGTAGCATATTTATTTTTGTTCTTCTCCCAGCCCGTTACAGAAATGACTCATTCTGTAATAGCTGGGGCCGCAGCCGGTTCAGCTGTAGGCTGGACGTCATAGCTGGCAGCTGCGAACTGCCCGCTAGGACTGCCAGAGGGGAAATAAAAACGTTTTCAGCAGCTTTAAATTTTCAGGTTTAAAATACTCGTTTGACCTTCCTGTCCTTTTTGTGACGTGTGGCCAATTTTATTCGTGTCTAGGATAATGAGCTTTCAAATGGAGCGGCGCCAGCTCGGCCTCATCTTCAAAGCAGCGACGTGCCATCCATCAGAATGCTGAGTTGGAATGCAGCATGACCTTGTTTAGCAGCAGAGCGGTAGCAGTGATGTCAGTGGAGAGCAGCAGTGTGAAACGTTGGTCCTGTATGCACACGTAGATATGGCATGGTTATGCAAAACACAGGCTGCCATTGCAAAGTGCTCCTTGTGTCTTGGCAGGATTTGATCTGGTAATAGGAATCTAAACGATAGCGTTCTTTTCAAATAACCAAGTTGCCATATAGTGACTTAACACGTCTTGCTATCCAGCAGTCATCTTAGTTATACTGATACTGGCTTGACATCTAGCCATAGACTGGTGTCTTGATTACATTATGGCTTTATACAAGTCATTTTTTACAAATCTGTGCTTCATACTACCTCTTCCACTCTACCTCCAGAACAATGACATTTTTAGTGTATTTCTCACCTCAAAGTTACATATTTGGGCTCATTTCAAGTTATTAAGCCTGAAAGAGCTTTTAAAAACCTAATTTACTGTCCACCACATACACTGCCAATTTGCTTTTTGGATTCCGCTCAGGACACTGTCATTGCCTATATCCCATCCACAACTGCAAAGCATAAGAGTGATCAGCTCTGAAAAAGAAGTGCACCAAAGAGTTTCCTTTTCATAAATTGTTCAGTCTTCATGCTAGGGTATTTTAGTAAGATACCACACTGATATTTAGAACTCCATCTTGTCTAAAGATTTTGGGCAAGTCTCAGTTGTCTGCCATCCAACCACAGAGGAGAACTTAGCACTTCTTTACTTTCCCCTTCTCTAGCCTATCTCTTGTAAATGACAAAAATCACTGATAAATAGCTACACTATTTCTGATGCCACTTGGGAAGTTATCATATCTGTTCATCAGTTTAGATTTAGCAAATGGGGAAGCAGCAAAGGTTTCTTTCTGACAGATCATTTCTATATTGTGTTCAAGTTATAAGGTGTGTAACACCCCTTTCTTACGTGTGGGCTGGCATAGAACACCAATCCACAACCCGCCTGAGCAGATGGGTCATTAAATCTTTTACCTCATCCTCATTAGGCTGCCCTTCTCCTTCTGCAATGAGAACACTACCTCTGGGTGTCCCACACAAAAGCCTGGATTTGTTAGACCAGCCAAGTAAGTTGCACAGCCCTGCTTGGCTAACAAGTCTGCCTGTTGGATAACTGTTCTCTCCGCTGCCCAGGAGGTTATACTAAAGTATGTTTCATGTTTATAACTTAATTTTCCCTAATAAATGTGTCCTTGCTTTTGTACTGTTGAGTGCCTACAAGAAAGGAAGCCGGCATTCATTGGGACAGATTCATTTTTCTTAATAAAGCGGGTGAGGGCTCAAGTTAGATGAGCTCCCTTCAGTAACATCCTTCAACACATACTTTTGCTAGAAGCAGCTGTGATCACATAAGCAATACAGATTACATATTTACTTCCATGTTGCTGTGTAAGATACTCACGTAAACAAGAATGTATACTTATGAAATAAAACATAGCAAAAAACACAGTTGTGTCTAAACTTATCGAAACGTTAGGGGAAAAAAAAAAAAGATGAAGTGATGGAGGGTGTTGAGGAGGCAAAGAAAAGCAGCGCAATTTCAGTAATAAAACCCATTTCTGATATCTCAGGTGAAAAATACATAACCTTCCAAACCAATATGTATTTCATTTTCCTTTAAGTTGGAGACCTGAAGTCTCTGAGTGAAAGTGATTCCCTCCATACTTCTGATTTTTGAGCACGAGCAATCTACGCCTATCTAATATGCCTAACAGCAAAGTTACACATCACTTCTTGATCTCATCAACTACTCCAGTGAATAACCTCACTTAACTAAAAGGATCATGAGGAAACCTGCAATTGTACAAAACAAGGGGTTATTCCCTGCAGTTAAATGAATAGGTCATTCAAAAACAAACAGTGAATAGCTCTATGATTTTCACTAATCAGGTCTCAGTATGGTGCTCAACGTGTTTCAACATCTTACCAGGCATTGAACTGGGTATCATCTGTTTGGTTTTTTGTTTTTTTTTTTTTTAATAAAAGTAGGGATTTCCCTTTAATTCCTCAGCCAAAATTTCCTCCCTCGTGCTGTTGTATAGTGTGCCAAGGTGACCATGTCGCATATATATACAAAAGCAGAAGATCAGACAAGCAAGTATGCTAACTTTTCACCAAGAACCTGATGCTCATTCTTATCCAAACCAGCATATTTTAATGGACAGAGAGATGCCAAATCCCTTTCTAACACCCAACTGGCTGTGAACTTCTGTATGTACAGCAGCATTATTCTTAAGTGCCTTCATCTATAGAGCAGCAAGACTCTTGTGACCGTTCCCTGGAAACTAAGTTCCTCAGACTTACCAATGGCAAGAAGGTAAGAAGGCTTGTGCATCACAATTCTAGGAGCTGAGCATGATGAAAAAACTCCTATCTCTTGTCTTACCTCAGAAATCTGCTGTTTCCAAATCTTAATGCTACTCCATCCACACAGGCTGGTGTCAATTTGTAATCTAAGCTTCCAGAGCACGTGGATCAAATAAATAGATCCAGTTTTTGGGTGACTTTTTGTTATCGTTAAATGTTGTGGCTGACCTTGAACCTAGCTGATCCATATGCATATTTTGATATGTACGCATTATTCCATCTTAGCTCTAGGCCTTTCAATAACCCAACAGTATTTAAAAGATATTCTAATAAACCAAGATCTATTTTTTTTTCCCCCTAGACTTAACCCTGAGCACAGCTGGGTGACCACTTTCTGCATCAAAATAAAGCTTTGAACTTAGCTGGTGTGTGTTCTGTCTTCAACCCTCAATAACGAGTAGCTCTCACCATTGATTATTGGGACCTAAATAATGCTTAGCTCCTTGGCAGATTTTTTCCACTTTGTTTTCCCAGACTATTACAAAATATCTAACTCAGCTGCAACAGACATGCACACCTATAGGAAAAATACATATTTGCACAGTACATATTGAAGAATAACAGCTATGGAAGAGGCAAGTAACTTCCTTTCCAGAGAAAGCTAGGAAGGCAAAGAGAAATAATCCCTAGGAAAACAATTACATTGTCTTTCCTCTGCAGTACTTTTAATTTCCTCTTTGTAATTTTTGGAAAAAGACCACTCTGCAATTATTCTCCTAGGATAAGCAGAAAGGAAATGAAACTTTAGGACACCTATATGGTTTTCTTGGTGTTTCTTCCCTACACTTCCTCTAGAAATTAGATACTGAGGTACATCTGATAATATTCTTCAAGGTTATTCTGACTGAAATACTGAAGGCCTTTTTTTGTTTGTATTAGCAATGTGCTCACGTATTATCTAAGTTTATCTTCATTACTTTTTTAATACAGTGTTTCAGTTTTCTTTATATTTACACAAGTAGAATCCATTAAAATAATGTTTTAAATAAACATGGTAGCCTTCCTGTTGGTTACACAGCCATCATCTATATGCTTAATTATTTAATAAAAGGCAAACAGATACCTGTGATGCTCTTCACACCTAATCCTTCAAGCAGCATTCAGTGATTTTGCCCACGCCACCAAGCTCTTCTAACATTACAGCCCTATGCTGAATCTCTCTTTAAAGCCAAAACAGAACCGTGCTGTTCTGGTGTGACCAAAATGAAATGGTAACTGAGTCACCAGCAATCCTTTTTATAGGCAACCTAAGCATTTGTAGAGGCAGCTACGTGGGGATCTCAGAACAATAAGGAATACCTGCATCTGAGATCTGTAGCCAATATTCCAAGCAATGCTGCCCTACTCTTCTCTGGAAAGCGTGATCCCTACTCTCAATTAATCAGCTTGCTCACAGCCTGATTACTAGAGAAAAAGGGATTTTCTAAGGAAAAAAGCCAAAATTCATGAGGCACTTATATAGAGAATAAAGTCTGTACAGTGCTCAGGAAAGCATCTTTCACTGCTAATACCCACAAAGTGTGTATCTGTCTACTACTGACATCACCACAACACTGGGGAGCCTTATTACATACTTAGAGGTGAAGAGCTGGTTGTAAATTTCTGATGTCAGTCACATATAGGAAAGAATTTGTTATTTTTTTTCCTTTCTTGATAAAGTTTGTGTTAAGGCAGTTGAGAGAAGCTGGGCTGAGAAAATAAGATTATATTCACTTCTGAATGCTGTTCCCACCTCGAGCACTCAGGAGAAATTTATACTAGAAAGATGTTTAAACACTTTTGTCCTTTTATTCCTGAGCCTCACTCTTGGCTACAAGTTTCACATCTCTCTTGTGGTTAAATGCACATTTCTTATGGTTAAATAAAACATTATCTTTTCTAACTTTGCAATTGCACTGATCAGCACTTTCCCATTCAGTTGTGTGACCACAGCTTATATTCAAATCTATTGTTAGATTCTGTGGAT